AAAACAGACGCCACCTAAAATTTAACATTTGGTTATTAGCAACCCTAAAGCTCTATTTGCTGCAGGTGTAACGGCCTTTGCTGTAATATTATAGTCTAAATGATCGTGTAAAACGAGACCAAGATTAGTATAATTACTAGAAAACTTAATAATATGATCATTACAATTAAAAATTACATCAGATCTAGGTTCAGATGGTGGTCTAAAATGTACAACGTTACTCTTATTTGTATTTATTGTCATACAATTGTCTTCACACTACGTAGATAAAGCATTTAACAAAAGTTGTAGCACTTTTTCATTGTTTGCTATATCAACAAAGTCATCAGCATATAATAAAATACAAAGTTTTGCATTATCTCTTTATTCTTACAGAACATAAAATATTTGTATAAATTGTCTTAATAGCAGAACAAAAAGTCCACACAACACTAATTTTATTTAGTTTATACCATAAAGTATCTCTATGTATAGTGGCGTAATCCTTTTTAAATAATCACACGATATGTTTTTCTTTGTTATATAACATATATACTCCAATGTTTTCTATAGAACCTTTTTGTTACTACAAAACATACCTTTGACCTAATATACAACACGTGTCTAGTAAATATCACCTGTCGTAACAGATTTACGAAACAGATAAAAATATACACTGTAATGGACAGGTCTAAAACTATCCCCAAATTCCAAATTACAGTTTTCAATGTTGGGAGTGGTTATATAAATTTTCTCGAACATTCGTGCTGCTAAGGTTTTCAGACTAAAGTTCAACATAGTGAAGCTCACTCTTCCCAGGCATTTCAGTTCACTATTTTTTCTTCTGGTTGTCTGTCTGTTTCCACGGTTGTTGTCTGTCCATCTTTGATTTGGTGTTTAATTTCCCTTAAAATCTACATTTATTTTACATATTTACAATTAATATAGCTTGTGATTCAAATAAGGCTTTTTTATACGTATTTATAAATCTTAAAACATAATTTGATATCAGTCAACTCCCTCCTGTCAGGAGCATACCGAGATAAGCAACTAACATTTTGACAAAGAAATCCAAGTGAAATATGGTATGATTGGGAGAAATATGCTAAAAATATGGGAAACTATAGAAAATAAAAACTGAATGTTGGTATGTGTTTCCTCTTGACATTATACGAAAATTATACCAACTGTCACTTAATCAATATAGATAACACAAATTAACCTTTTCACCGTAAGTTTGAGTGTATATATCGAGCACATTTGTAAAATCAAAGATGTGGGAAGTCTATTTATTTACAGTCGAAATCCGTTTTAATTAAGCTATTAACCTGTAGACCATTGTGAATTTTCAAAAAAATCATGAATTTTTAAAACATGTACATTTTAAATTTTTATTGAAGTCTGACCTCAAACATCGCTCACAGAAAAAAAACTAATTTGTTTATAATGTCTTGATGTAACATTTTTTAAGAGAAAAAGAAAAAATAGGAACAGTAGTATGCTCAATACTTCCCTTTATGTATAAAATACCCGGATTTTTAATATTTTTTTTCAGAATTGTTTGGGAGACCAAACCCATGAAAGACACAGAATGTTACAGTATGATTGTACCTTACGAAAAAAAAAATAATCCTTTGATGTCTTATTGTATTTTGTCAAACTAATTTAAAGATTATTCACATGAGTTTGATGCAGAAAACTGACAACTGTTGTGAGAATACAGTGTGAATGATGTTAATTAATTCTGCAAAAGGTTTAAGGTGGATCATAGGTATATATTTCCTCAGATAGAATTTTCTTATACTATGCCAAAATGAAGATTTTACCATGCTTTTTTTAAAAATATAATAAAAAGTATGGGTCACCGTGCTATATTTCAAGCTACAAGTCGTGCAAAAATGCCCAAATTTGTATAGATTGTTCATGAAAGAAATCTATGATATAGAATTTTGAAATAAATTATGAGAAGATAGGTTTTATAATATGCTTTAAGAAAACAAAAAGAAAAAAAGGTGTCACCGAACTTGTTTTCCCTGCTACAAGTGAAAAAATGAAAATTTCAGTATCATTCCAGTATAAAAAGAAATTTACTATAAGAGTTATCCCCCCTTAAACGGCCAAGTTAAAAAATTGATTCTAAAAAACACAAATATTGATATTTGTTCAAACATTTTGGATTATGCAATAAATCACTTATTTTTCTTTATACAAATAAAAGTCTTACACATAAATTGCAAATCTGTCTCAAAATTTGCAGATTAATGCAAAGAACTAGACCGAATGTGAACTGCTATTGTACAATCCAAGATGGTGGTATACAGTAAATCTACCTTAAGGTGGTAAAACTTTCATTATCGAAGAACAAGGTGATCGATTATAGAATGAAAATAATTGTGAAGAACACTCAGAACGAGACAGGTTAAGTTAACGAAGAAAGGAGTTCAGGCAAATAATGCTTCAAAACTATCTAATTTTGGAAATAGTAAGTTTTCATTAATGTCTTCACCGAGATTTTGTCTTCCCACTTTGCGATTATATTTGTTGATTACATATACGAGAGTATCTGAATTAGCATTCGGTTAATGGAGAACTCAGACCGTTGATCTAAGTTTTTATGGAATTAAATGGAAGAAAAGCCCGTTGGTCGATTAGTATCTGGTATGTTGAGGGTGAATTTTATATAACATTCCATAACCATTGTAGCTTTTTATTATTTTCACGTAGTCAATCTAGTATTCATAGTACCGTATGTAGCAGAATGTGCATTATAAAAGTTAACCTTTAGGCACAAATTCTAGTAGTGTAGATTACTAATAAAAGTTTCATACCCGATCCTCCAGGAGTTAGAGAGCGGAAACGATGCTTGTAAATATACACAGGGGTTGCTAAGTTGAACTTAGCTTTTGACCATGGCTTTCAATAAACGGTGATCTTCCTAGTAAATGACACACTTTCTAGAAGTGGTAAATAGTTATACTAACTTTCATACACGAACTCCAATTAGTTTTTTTGAGTTAGAGAGCGGAAACGATGTGTGACTGACACGCGGTTGGACTAGCTGAAATTAGTAGCTATTAGTCTTCCTCCGATTAATCGGCCGGTTCCTAACACTAGAGAAGCAAAAACGCGCAAAAATAGTTCAAGAACGTAGTAGAAACTTTAAATAATTAAGGATTTATCATTTTATTTAACATATTTTCACAAAATTACGAAAGTTTTTTCTTTTATCTTACGTTGATAGGTAGAATATATATTAACCATTTACGATTTTTTATTGTTTAATTTTCGTAATTTTGACGCTAACATTGATTCTTGTCCTTGAAAAAAGTTACCTTTAAGACACTTTTTCGTAAGCGACATGTTTTTCACACAAAACTAACATGAATGCAATGAAACAAAAATATAGATGGCGTAAATTACTTTGCCATTCGTTTTTCGTTTGCCATTTTACAATGAAAGTACCTTTTTGAAGTGACCCGCAATTAACGCATTTTTTGTTGATATAATTTGATAGGTTACAATCTTTCCCTCGTCAAAGCTGTTATAAGTAAATTATAAGATAATCTTCAAAAAAATAACACGAATTACTAAAAGCATTGGAGAACACAGTAGATCATCAACCATTGCTTAAGAATGTAAATACTGATTGGTACGTATTTTTTTATATGAAACTATTGTCATCCCTCTGATCGAGTCTAAAAACGGGGAGCGTTCAGTGTTATCCCTCTGATCGAGTCTAAAAACAGGGAGCGTTCAGTGTTATCCCTCTGATCGAGTCTAAAAACGGGGAGCGTTCAGTGTTATCCCTCTGATCGAGTCTAAAAACGGGGAGCGTTCAGTGTTATCCCTCTGATCGAGTTTAAAACGGGGAGCGTTCAGTGTTATTCCTCTGAGCTAGTTTAAAAACGGGGAGAAGTGATAGCAAAAACTATATAAACCACGCCACATGTTCATGTGTCATACTTGAACCTCGTCAGTGGTTGTCTTTAGTATGTTTTTGTCCATTTGGGATGGAAAGCACAATAGTTTGCTGATAAATGGTTGTCAAAATGTATTGCGCAAAAAAAAACTCAAAGACCAGTTTCAACAAGAATGCTTTGCTTTTGTTGCAGAATCGCCATAAACTTTATGTTATCGTATTTTTGAAAAGAATTTACAATTTGAAAAATATTTTTCATTTTTACTTTACAATTTTATTTATACATTATGCAAATTTAGATGTGGTAGTCACCATCTGCCGATTGAATCTAGAAGGTGGCAGGGTTTACCGAGAGAAGACAGAGTCTGCCGTCTCTGTGACTCAAACGACATTGGTGACGAGTACCATTACATTATGAATTGTAGAACATTTTAGTTAGAAAGAAAGAAATTTTTACCGCAGTACTGTTGATCAAACCCTAATATCTATAAATTTGATCAATTGTTTAACTCATCAAATATTGTAATATTAGAAAAATTTTGTAAATTTATCAAAGTTATAAATGTGAAAGTCAGTCCTCTAGGTTATTTTCATTGTATTGTTCACACATGCATGTAATAATTATATATTTATGTTTATATATGTTACTATGTAATTGTAGTTTTATGAGAAAGACAATATTCGTATATTCGTATTCGTATTCGACAGAATTTTAAAGTGGATATATATATATATTGCTTTTCGATTTTTTTTTTTTTTTTATTTAATTAACATAGAAATGTCAATGATAAAAGCATTTTAATTCGTATAATAAAACCTGTTGCTTTTATTGCAAACGGGGATGATTTTGAAGATACTTTAATTCAACTTATTTAGAATTATGTCCTTGATTCTCCTGTGGAAAATGTGATTTATAGAATAAAGATGGATACCTCCATTTATAATAAATACGTTTGGACCCTGAAATGTGATAAGTCAGTTGAACAGTGGGATATGTAAACAGTTGTATGTGTTTTTAAATAAGACAATGCCGTTCACGCTTTTAGATTCTTTTCACTTTCAATTAAATATTTGTAAAACGATCTTTTTATATATTTTATTGTTTACTTTAAACGTGATTACACCCTTGTATGTGGTTGTTAGGTAGACATCGATTAATTTAAAAAGAAATTTCCAATTACAGTAAGTATTTTCAAATTCTATAATCTACGGAGATAGAGTATGCAAATAAAATAAACGTACAGCACGCGGTAATTGTCATTTTCCAATTACTATAATGATATTTTAGAGATGTGGTATGTATATGCCAATGCGACAATCTACCAAAGGTCAAATGACGTTGATGTACAAGCAATTACTAGTATATTTAGAGTACTATATAAAAAAAGAGATTCGTTTAGCTTGTTATTGTAATCTTTTATTTGATGGTCATTATTTTTGTTTTGCACGGTATTTGGTTAACTGGAATCATTTTATAACAAGAGAAAACATTAGTCATTTATTATGTAATAAATGTAAAAGCTTCCATTGTCTTTTAATAAGTCTGGACTGTATTGGCATTAAAGGAGATGTAAATATGACACAAAAATAAAGATATATTACTGTGTGAGTTTTAGAAAAAAATCAGATCGAACACATCTAGTTATGCTTCTTTATTCATTTAATGTAGTCTACAAAATGGGGTGTAAGCCATCCATTGATGTTCATGTTGAAGCTGACGACATTCAAGATGGTGATGTTGTTGGATGCTTCTGCGGAGGAATCTCTCAAGGGTGCATGGGCCGACTGAAAAACTCACCTGTTCCGTATATCCTACGAGCGCCTTCTGGAAAGAAAAAAGAAATCATCAAGTATTCAGATATAGAAAAGTTCAAGGAAATTGATGATCATGCTTTGAATGTGAGGTCACAAACTTATCACATGTGTGTGTGTGTGTGTTTGTGCATTTATGTTGTTAATCATTCAATTTATTGAAAATATTGCCTATAATACTGCTACCTTAATCCATGCTGAATTTTCGATAACTTAAATGAAAAATATGTACTTACATTTTTCGTTACAAGTCAATATTTTCAGAAGAATATTGATGTCAAAAACCGGTCTGAAACTTCGTTTGAGAAGAATAAAAGCTAGGAAACATTCATTCAATAATAGCAGAAGTCTTGGTATCAAACTCCTGATATTAGCTATATTTGAATTTTTTAATCGTTTTGGCCTAATAGTTATCTGGATTATCAAATTTATGCTTAAAGTTGAAAAATCTTAATCAAACTTGATTATAAAGCTGGAAATGTCTGTCAATTAAAGTTACACGTTGTTTTTCTATTTTACTTCTCATCATTTCCAAGAGAAATAATTCGTATTTTTAAATCAGATTCGGGCTTTCGGAAGTGAGTTTCTAGAAAGTCTTATATACTTAGTGGCGATATAAACACAATACAATGTATTCCAAGACCCCTGCTCCTTTTTTGAACGGAAAAATAGAAAACAAATGTTCTTTCAATGCATTTGTCTGAATGTTACTTGAACCGCTAGGTTTCACTCCAAACTTGTGGAAAGTCTCACAGGGATCAAAAGGCCCGAGAACACAGTTATTTCGCATTTCTTTTAGACAATAAATTCAAATTAAAAAAATCGCACCTGCTCTATCTCAAAAAGATTTTTACAGTGTAGTGTACTACTATTGATACAAATAATATCAAAATTATAGAAACTTCTACCAGCTCTAACTCAAAATATTGACAATTCTGTGTTAAGGGGGGCTAATATTCAGTTTGACAGCTTCAGACATTCTAATTTTTGACCTTATTTAACCGGACCAAATCACTACTTAACATAAAGATTCAGCACCCAATTTTTTTTTTAAATGTAATTTCATCCCCTTACTTAATATTTCATGCATAAAATATCAAGAAATAAATTGGGAAAGTGTATAAAAAAAAATGCAAGTTATACACTGTTCACACTAGGGACTATATTCGTACCAAAAGCAAACTACACAGATGTTCGTACAAATGATTATCATCCTTAACCAAATGCAAAGGATAATTGCTACTTTGCATCCATTTCTGATAACCTTTGATTAAATGGTCTATTATATTATTATAGTGGAAATTTGCCATTCAAAGTACAAATTTCTATTTTGGGGTTAGACATGTGCATTTTGTGTACGTTGATATCTGAAAAACGGATAGCTCTAAAAATTAAACTTACTGTTCTTTATACATATCATAGGAAGTCTGCAAAATATCACAACGATTAGTCAACTTCCAAAGATGATTTTTCGGTGTGAAATATGTGTATGGAGAATACACTTTGCGTTTCTGTTGGCACTCATTATATAAAAACCAAGTTGTTGTTCTTGATACTATTATTAAACAAAAAGATTGTTCGGGTTTTTTTTTTTATTTTCACTTTCTATGTATATGTAACATATCCAGCAAAATTTTCAATAATAAAATTTGTTATTAAAATATTTAATGCAGATTTGGTTTTCGCATTTTGGCATGCCGGGCCTTCTATAGTTTACTTTATGATCTTGGTTTTGCTTATAGTTGAAAGTCGCAGTTGTTTACATCATCGTATATGGTATCTGGTGGATAGTCGCCTATTTTATATAGATACAGTGTAAGAGATATGACAAGATTTTTTGAAGGAAGATTCAAATCCAATCACCGAACAATAATGTTGTATGATGATAGTAGATGTCTGAAAAGGAATCGTATATCTAGTTATAATAATTGTACTTATAGCACTTCACTGATAAGCAAGCCTTTTGTGCTTTTGAACTTTAAACTAAAATATGGAAATAAATATTACTATATTAGAGATTTGCATTTGTCATCAGTAAATGTGATGGTGAAAATGAACTGTCTGTTCCTTTTACCCCCGTTATCAGTATTAATATTATATTCCAGGTTCCAGGATCAGCACTGAAGTCCATTAAAAGCTTAACAAAATATCTGGTAGCAATATGTGATACTGACAAAGAAAAAGTTCGATCATTCTTTGTATGGATAACAGCAAATATTTCGTGAGTAACATAGGAATAATAACATGTATGTATACACGTTCTCAGTTTTTTTTTTTTTTTTGGTATATGGTTTTCAAAGTTTCAAGTGCTAACCAGCATCTTTTTGTTACATTATTTCATGGTCATATGAGACAATAAAAATAAAAATAATTATTCTGCAATATAACGAAACAACGAATACTTTTCTTTTCGATTTTTATTATTTGTGTTTGTTTATTTGTGTTTTTTTGGTTTGTTTGTTTTTTGTTTGTTTTTCTTTTTGTTAGTTTTTTTTCGGGGGGGGGGGGGGGGGGGGGTTAGTTGAGTATTGAAGTGAGTCTAGATGAATGCAATGATTTTCAAATATTATACTTATATTTTAAGGTATGAAACATCGAACAATAAAGGTGGTGGTGAGTCCCTGACAGACCCAAATACTGTCTTCCGCAGACGAGCAGGAGATGCGGTAGGTTATTGCAACCTGTTCGCAACAATGTGCAAGTAAGTATTCAATGTATGAATAACATAGAATATGTGCTTTACTGGTTTCATGTTGTACGGCAATATTCTTCCTTTTAAGAATTAAGAAAATGTTAGAATAAGCCACTAAGACGAAAGCGTAGCCATTGAAGCTGGTTACAGCTATATCGTACAACAGAACTATACATTTGATGAATGTCGATTGATATGTAAAATTAACATATAATACCGTTTTCCAATTAAAGTTTGAGAATATTGTTGCTGTCTCTTTCCATTCACCTGTTCTTCAAACATTTCGTGCGTAAACCCGTTTTTTGTTTTATTTTGTGTGTTTCCGGAAACTAATTCCTTAAAGTTTATAAGAGAGGTTGTTCAGTTTTTGTAGATGTGGAACTTTTCCATGAGAAACAGTCACAAATGTTGGTCCTCAAAAAAACGAACTTGAAAAAAATTGATTGTGGCACGTTCTCTTACTATTACTATGGTTTTGATATTTATACAGTGATTCTAAATACCAACTGCAGGTGCGCGGTAAAATGTTTTTAATGGTTTTTATTTTCGGACATAAATTGAGACATTGGGAAATACCCTTTTGATGCGTTTTATGTTTTGATGTATTCTTTTTTACTTTTTTTCTTTTGTTGTTGTTTTGTTTTGTTGTTGTTTTGTTTTGTTGTTATTTTGTTTTGTTGGTTGTTTTTTTTTTTTTTTTTTGCCTTTTATTTTTGGGAGGTTTTAATTTCTTATTCAAGTAATTGCCTATCCTGTACAGATACGCAGATAAAAGGGACCTCTAGCCTTTGTTAGTCTTGTGTGTTTTTTTTATGTTGGTTCATTTATATGTTTCGGAGTTTAGTGTGGCGTCCATTTCGCTGAGCTAGTGTACATTATTGTTTAGGGGCCAGCTGAAGCCCGCCTCCGGTTGCTGGATTTTCTCGGTACGTTGAAGACCCGTTGGTAGCCTTGGGCTGTTTTCTGCTCTTTGGTCGAGTTGAAGTCTCTTTGACACATTCCCCGTTTCCCTTCTCAATTCTATATGTATGAGCCAAGAACTTATCTATAAAGATACGTGAACATTGACATCTTTGTACAAGACATCTTGTAGCAAAAATCAAAATAAGAAGATGTGGTATAATTGCCAATGAGACAACTCTCCACTAGATACCAATTGACATAGAAATAACAACTATAGGTCATCGACCTTCAACAATGAGCAAAACCCAGACCATACATTTATGGGTAAATATGTGGCTCATATCTGATTATTAATGACAAGATCCTAAAACGATGATATATTTGCAGTGTTGCAGGCCAGAACCATAAGACACTAAGAGGTTTTGTTCTATTATTTCTGTAAATAATGTTATTAAGAGGTGGTATTGTATTATTTCTGTAAAAATATTAACTAGTTATCTCTGTGTAATGTGGTTACATTTTATCATTTTACTTGTATTTTTTATTGAAATTCAGACCTTAAAGGATATACAAAATGAAGACTATGAAAATGAAGGGTGCAGGCTATATTAAAAATAGCAGTAATTATTTTCTTTCTATTTGTATCAGGAGTTCCGGTGTTCCTGTTGTGAATCTATCTGGTTTTGCCAAGCGCACGGATCACGATCCAGAAATACCTTACACACCACATGATTCTCCCGATCACGCATGGAATGCTGTCTTTGTTGACGACGATTGGCGGTTTGTCGACTGCTGTTGGGGAGCTGGTTACGAAGATGAGACTGGTTATTGGGTAAGGAAATATGAAGAATTCTGGTTCCTCACAGATCCAGATAAATTCATCAACGATCATTATCCATGGACAAGCTCTGATAGAAAGATCAACAATAATTGGCAGCTTCTGAAACAACCAATCACTTTAGCTGAATACAATAAACTTGTCAAGCTCGAGGAAACTGCAAAGGATTGGGGATTAGATTTTTCGCATAAAGAGCCCATTCTTATATTTAGAAAAGAAGTTCACATAACCATTACTGCCAGCATTCTTGTTAGAAACATAACATGCGCAATGGAGACCATAGATCATGTGAAAATGGATGATTACACGTTAGTTTATCAATTTGACACTCTAACATACAGTGTCCAAGCCAGGCCTCCATCCCCAGGAACCTATGTACTTAGAATTTACGGAAAGAAAGATGGTGAGATGTCACAGCCGGCGCAGTTAATGGTTAAATATCTTCTTAAATGCACAGATGTCAACAACTACGTAAAGTCTCTGCCATATGTTTTTACACATGCCCAAACTTACCATGTTACCCTCCATGAACCAAATACTCGAGAGCTTCCAGCAAAGTCGAAAGTTAAAATCCGTCTATCTTCACAGTATCTCCGACAAATTATGGTGGAAAACATCCCTCTTGAATGCGACGAAAACGGAACCTGGGAAGGCAAAATTACAACACCACAGTCTGGAGATGCGATCGTTATATATGGTAGTACTTCTGATGATGCAAATGGAAAATTTCATTCACTTTACAAATTTTACATTGTCGATAAAAAGCCAAAATAGTTTGAGTTCTATAACACATTCGTAGATAAAAAAAATTGATCAACTGTGAAAATCATAAATGAAATGATCTGTTTCATTTAGTTTTAGTTATTTTATCTATTTTTATATCTATCTATATCATCAAGTTTTGAAGATCGTACGCATGAAAATGTATCATGTACCGTCCTTTATATATTTTTTTGGAAATTTGTGTTTCGAATTGCTTAGACCATGGATATAATGGCTATTATATCTATGCTTAGACTGTCATCAACGAAAAATATTGTGTTAACAGCATTTTGATTGGTTGTAATATAATTCAGAGGATGTTCTTATCACTGGAAGTCTTCATATTTCGGTTTAAATGGAAAATATTTTTTGAAGCATGCAAAATCTGGCACAAAATCAAAGCAATACAATACATGGAATTGCACATTATCCATATAAAAAAATCTGAAATTGATCTACATATGTACCCGATCAAATCGTTGTACGGATCATATCTAAATGTGTGATTGACAATAAGATAACAATCAAACAAACGAAAGAGACCAAAGTTCTTTCAAGGGAAAAAAATCGAGACAACCAACGAACATTAAAGTCGGTAGCGTAAAGATGAACAACAAATTAACAATAACACTACAACCACTGAGCTCCTCAAGTCTGTTCAGTGGTTGTCGTTTGTTGGTGTGGTTCATAAGTGTTTCTCGTTTCTCGTTTTTTATATAGATTAGACCGTTGGCTTTCCTGTTTGAATTGTTTTTACACTAGTCTTTGTGGGGCCGTTTATAGCTTGCTGTTCGGTGTGAGCCAAGGTTCTGTGTTGAAGGCCGTACTTTGGCCTATAATTGTTTACTTTTTACACATTGTCACTTGGATAGAAAGTTGTCTCATTGGCACTCATACCACATCTTCTTATTTATATGCTAGGCTTAATGTTACTATTCCTATCCTTGGACATCGGTATATTAGCTGCGTTTAAGTAGTATTCAGAAAAAGATGTAGTATGGGTTCAATATTTATTTATTGTTTAACGGTTAGAATCACTAGGTTAGTTTGCATATACAATTTAAACACCAAAAACAAGAACAAATGAATATATATAATATTCCATTAGGTTCTTTTTTTGTCATATATCTCTTCAACTGTTTCGGTTCTTGTACATCTTTGGCAGTCAAATATTCGGCCTTGGGCGTTCCTGATGAAGGTATATTCAGAAAAGCGCTTCGGACTCGTTGTTTTCAATTAATAACCACTTAAAAATAATTTAGTCTTTTGTTGGCTTGTAAGTCAACCAGTTTGTGTATCCTCATAAAACTTTGTAGTCACAGAGGGATCTTTCAGTAGAGAACATGTTAAGAAGTAGGGCTAATTTCTTCTTCTTTTTTTTTTCTCACTCAGTGTCAAAATCGGATAGTTATTGAAACGTATCGAAATTTAATACTGCAGAGTGTAAATAATATACTTGTAAATTTCCAAGAATTTTATATAAATCTATAAAACCAAAAAGGTAAATAATACTGCAAATTGATATTGAAGGCAGGTTTGAATCGGACACTTAAAAAAGACTTCTCGTATTTGATTTTATTAAACTCTGAATCATTTTAAAGATTGGTAAAAAAGCAATGCCAAAACTCATTTACACTATGCAAATTTGAGGTGCCGGTATGACCCTTGTAGTCGTGTTGTTAAAAGAGACCTCGACTTTTCTTTAGAGGGAAATTAACTGTTATCCGCATTCTGAAGTGGACTGGAAATAAGTGTCCAAAAGTCATCAACAAATCTCCTTTAAAATCTTGGTTAAGTAGTATAACAGCTTTTTAAAATGTTTTAGACAGGTCATAGAAACTAAACATTTAAATCGTCTGCAACAAAATCAAGAACGAAAAAATAAATAAAAGAACTTTGTATTTGTAACAACTTACAAACATTCCACCAATGTCGCTGTCTCGTGTAAATACTGCATTGAGCATATGTAATTCAATAATAAAGTCTGGGGTTTTTTTTTCCAGTCCTACAGGATTCCACTGACGCAAGGTCTGCATGTAGGTCACCATTCCTCAACAACAGTTGAACTTTCACCTCTTTCAATCAAAGGTTCCCAAACTATGACATAATAATGTTGGATTCCTAATAGAGAAAAATATTATCTTTGTTTTTCTTAATCCCATGGTCTATTTCAAGTTGTTTCGTCAATGGTATTACATATCAAATAAGAATGGGGTCAACGTCGGATTATCCCTGCAAGATCGACAAACATGCGCAATCATTCTACACACCAAATATCGTCGACCTAATCCTTGTTGTATTTGAGAAACGAACCAAATCACGGCAAATTTACGTTGATCAATGAACCATTAAAATGAGGTCAATGTCAGACGGTTATATACACCTTGAAGTCATTCTAAACGCCAAATTGAATTCATCTTTTATTTATGTATATGCGAAACGGACCTAACTGCTAAACCTTCACTTTGGTCACTGAACCATTTACTATCAAGGTCAGGTGAACCCTCTACTTGACATTGATTCTACAATACTAAATATACAGTTTATTAAGCAGTCACTGAACCATGAAAATGAGATCAAGGACAAGAAATATGACAATAAACAAGATGTGAATTAACAGTAACTGCTTGTTTGGTGGAGAAGGAGTAAGAGACATCCTACTAATTCACCAACAAAGAGATCAACTGTGGTTACAGTTGGTAAGAAGTCTTATATCCAGAAATAAAAGAAGAATGTGGCCATAAGACACAGTTGCCTCTGCTTGTAAATACGTAAGAGTCAATGTACTAATTCAAACCTACTGACATTTTGTTTTCTTTGAAACTTAATCACATTATTTCAGTATGTTGTCATTAGAGATTGCTCAGAGGTTTGAGTGCTCTCATGGTTCATTAACGTTTCATAACATTTGAGGCAAAGTAAAATTAGATAGGAAACAGCAAATTTACCATTCTTTCATTTATAAAGGGACATAACTCAAGAAAGGTGAATGTGAAACCACCAAAAATCGAACTTGAACTGCATTTGGCGGTAATAAGCATTGTGTTAAAGTTTCATAACATTTGGTTGAGGCATACTAAAGTTACATAATGAAAACCAATTTTCGATATTTGTACAGATGGACATGACAAGGGTAAACCTTAATGCCCCCTCTCCTGTGGCAGGGGTATAAAAAGTTATTGACTGAGGCAAGGAAGTATATTAGTTATACATCCTTGACTGAGGTTATCATTTTATTTTATTACTTTGGTAAATGGAAAATGAGTAATGGTTTCTAATGTTAAAATGTGATTTGATGATAGATGGGCAGAGAGTAAACTATACTACATCCACAATTGACAGGTGTCTCATGATCACATGCTTGCTATTTAATTATAGAATTGAAAACAACACTTTATGTCTATTTTTTTATTTTACTTTCTAAGCACTAATTTCTCAGGTTCACAACCGAATACTTAATACATACACGATTATAAAACTTTATAAAATTTACACACTGATTTTTTTGTACAGAATTTTCATGCATGTAAATGTTTACCATATAAAATGACTTAGCAGCTATTGCAATCCATTTTTTTTCAAATTACTTGTATTACATGAATAATATGCTCATTGAATTTAAAAAAGGACAGTGTATTACTTGCACAAATCTTATAATAATGGTAATCAAATAGAAATGCAACTGAAATTTGACATTTCTATATTATTCATGTATAAAGTGAATTGCATATTTCATTATTAAAACTGATTTTTTAAATAAAATTTAGTTCAAATTACAAGGCAAACAGTTACCATACAAGAAAATTGAGAAGCTGTAATTGTTTACTTTGAATAAAAAATACATTAAACAACCTTGTTATCAATTAGAGTGTTTAAACCTAAAATGCTTATTTACAATATTTTACATACTGAATAAAAAAAATGGATATGTATAAATAATATCATTTGAGGAACAGATTCATATGTGAATAAAACATGCCTAAGAACAACTTATATCTTCTTATTCATATCACAGTAACTAAGATCTGGTTATAATTTAAGAAATAACTGTATCTTCGCTGTTTAGTATATCTCGGGAAGAAACAAGAATGTGTCCATAGTACACGAATGCCCCACTCGCACTATCATTTTCTATGTTCAGTGGACTGTGAAATTTGGGTCAAAACTCTAATTTGACATTAAAATTAGAAAGATCATATCATAGGGAACGTGTACTAAGTTTCAAGTTGATTGGACTTCAACTTCATCAAAAACTACCTTGACCAAAAACTTTTAACCTGAAGTGGGACAGAAGAAAGGACAGGTGAATGGACGCACAGACTGAAAAACATAATGCCCCTAGGTGGGGCATGAAAAAAAATTGTAGCAATTAGAATTAAGTTTGTTTTTGACACAAAAATGTATTTCTTCCTCTCTTTCTCCTGTGTAAGTTAAAAGGGACAGTCATTATAATTTGTTTTCTATTATCTGTACAAAACTTCACATGTGAAAAAGCAAATGTTTCTCATATGTAGAGAAGCAAAGATAATGTTTTCATTTGAGATTACCTTTTCTAAAAACTTTCAAAATCAACATCAAGGGGCAATAACTTAAATAAAGAATGAAATGCCAATTTTGATGGTTTACTGTAGCTTAATATCACAGACATTCTGAACTGTTCAGGCAGTTTAATTTAAAAATAATGATCCATCCTTTTATTACATGTGAAAAATTAAGAAAAAATAAAACAGTACTTTTATTTGAATTAAACCAATCAAAGTATTAACAGAACCAATATTATTTTATCTTTTAATTCAAAAACAGAAACAATTTGACTGTCATTCTTAAAAAGAGTAAATTTCAAATTGGTGGTCCGTAGACACATTTGACATTTAGCTGATCTTGAAGATTATATTACAGTAAAATAATCTATTATACATGGATTCTGAATGGACAAAGGGAATCTACTTACTGTTTATACCTGATGGGTTAGATATTACATTCATGTTATTTTTTTAATATTCATAAGGTGATTTTTAAATCATAAGGTTGTTATATTACAACATTTCTAAGAAAATCCATTATCTAGCAATGTATGGCACAATTTTTTGTTTGTAAGTTCTTCATAAAGATGTTAGTAACTCATGAAAAAACATTTCTTGACACAGCACCATTTAAATTAAACAAAATTATAAACAAAAAAACCAGAAAATAAAGATTAAGCTACAAAAGAAAGAGATGGAAACAGATATAACATGTGTAATAATCTTTTCTAATGCTAAGTCTCATATATGGATGGAATGTTTCAGTGAATCCAGCACTTATTATATATATATATTTTATTCATTTCAGCTGTTTTATTTTATGACCAATGAATCTGCAATGACAGTATGACACTTAATTTTTTTTCTACTTTGTTGACTTTATAAAGAATAATGGTAAACAACAATACACCATCAATTTTTTTAGCACAGCGGTTAAATTTGAATTCTATCAGGCTTCAAAATTTATCTGTTTTTGATACAAAAAACATGTTTCTCAAGTTTCTTCAAGTTTGAAATGCAGATTTTGAGTTGACATATTTGTTAACTGGACATGACAAAAACAAAACATGTGTTGGTCAATTTAAAGCAATCACAAACAACTGTCTACCTTTTTAATTTAAGGATATCTATTTTATGTAAATTAAGTACATATGTCTGATAGAGTAGATGAAAGATATAATGACTACCTGCCCTATATCCAGAAGGTACAAGAAGCATAAATATTAGTATAAAAATATCACATGGTAAAGAATTGTGTTGATATATATGTTAGTCATTAGAATCTTTCAGTGAGTAACAATCTAAGCTAACAGAGTCTGGATCTTCATAAAGAGTCATTGTGCTGGGATAACTTGAAAATGTTGATAATGTTGGTGACACTTCCTGAAAAATAAGGAAAGAACATCAAATATGTATTTATGATCCACAAGTTGGGACTCCCACTTTTATCAATCAAACAAATATGGTACCCAAACAGAGAATGTTTATTTACAGGGGGTTTTGGTCATTTTAAATCCCATGGAATCTCCTTGCTAGAATGACAAACATCTGTGGAACATGTTAGATTTTATATGTTCTTCACAGTGATAACCCTGTAAGCCCCCCCCTCTCCCCCCAACATTGTTAGTCTATGTCTATCCTGTAGGCAATGTTGCATATTTTCATGTTTAGGTAATCGGTATCATATGTGAGCAATCACACATATTTTAATGAAATTTTGCATGCAACTAAACACAAGCTTTTATTGGAACACAAAACTGAGGTTATAAAAATGTAGGACCTTAAGATATAAATGCTTTCCATTTATTGTGTGACAAACTTATTGTGGTTTCATGCAAAGCTTATCACTTGGACATACTAATGTATGGAGCCTCATAAAAGCTGATGCATTAGATATGACACAGAGGGCATTATAGGATAAACAGCAATCTGAGAAATTCTTAACAGGACTTATTTTCTTCTACATAGGTTTAATATTTTTATTTTTATCTATAATGAACCATAAACTTACTGTAAGATCTACACAACTGGCTAATCTCTTCCCCCTGAGGTCTCCACCAGGTGAAGGTGGCACACCTCCTGGACTAAATACATGAGAAATACTAGACACAGCTCTCTTTAGCTTGGGTGTCTTGTTAAAGGAGAATGCTCTGCTCACCCTCTTCCCTAACCTAAAATAGAAATCAAAATCTGAATAAATATTGTATATTATAAATTTCAATATAATTTTCCATGACCGTTGGTGTAGTTTTTGTAAACACACTTGTTATTCAGAATAGAGCTTTAAAGCAAGATAATTGATAGTTGGTGTTTCATTTTCAGTACTCTTGGCTACATCATGACAGCCAGTTTTAATTGGTGGAGGAAGCCAGAATAAAGAATGATGACATTCATTTATAATACAATCAATATGATGACAATATTTCAGAGCAATTGCTTATTTATGTAAATGACATAATCAACTGCATGCATGAGATGATGTCACAGAGAAATAAGTTATAAATAGCTCAGGCCTGCATAATTGGAGTCAACATCTGACAGACTACCAGTAGGTCATATCCTGGTGTCAAAAAAGATCCACTGCATTTATGTTTGGTATAGAGTTACAACTTCACAATCAAATTTATCTTTAAAATATAATTTGCCTGCCCATCCCTTTATACAGTAGCATTTTATAATAAACATTTGAATCAACAGAAACCAGTTATGATACAGTCTAAGAGAGTAAATTAAAGGAATTGACTTTGTATAATATTGTTCTTGATTTCAAACATAATAGACAGATAATTGTATGGTGCCAGGTGCATTTCTAAGAATGAGACAATTGTTCAATAACTTTTGAAAATCTAATGGATCATCCAGCTACCTTCTGAACATGATACTTTATATAAAAGTAATGCCACACATGCTGTTGTATTAGTATCCTTGTCTCACATTCTTTGTAATGAGACAAAAGCTATTTAGAGCTTGGTAGATTTAATAAAAATCATTTTATGATATTCCTTGTCAAAATTTTCTGTTCCACTTGTTCTAATCCATTTTTATGTAGTCATCAATTTTGTCTTTATAGTTCATAAGTACATTAAAAGACGGAGATTGGACAAAAGGCAATGGCAAATCCTTTCACATACAAAAAGAATAGAATAACTTATACAATTCATATATTTCTTTGTATGAAAGATCATTCAGTATCGCTTTGTTAGGGGAGGCAACCCTCCCTTCTTAAATTTAGTAAATACACTACATGTATAATAAATACAAAAATGTATTCATAAGTAAGCACTCTTTGGTTACTCCTTTTGCTTATAGGCAGAGTTCTTTTTAATTCACATGCTTAAATGTCTAGCCTGATTCACTTACTGTTAATTCAGAAATTATTGTGAGGTTATTAAAAATGTGAAAAATGCAACTTGATGATTATCGCACTATATTAAGAACTTGCATTCTGATATCTGATACATATATCTGAATGCAGATTTTTCATGAAATCGCAATAATTAATTTCACATTATAGTCTATTCTTCAAAAATCGCAATAACAAATGAACGCAATAATTTCTGAATTTACAGTAGCATGATTGAATAATGTTGAAAGTCTGTAATATGGAGGTTTTACTACAAATATCATATACACTTAAAATTATCAATGATCCATGTAAATGAGGTCAAGGTCAGATGAACCCAGCCAGATAGACATGTACACCTTACAATAATACCATTCACCAAATACAGTTAGCGTATTGCTGAAAGTATCTGAGAAACAGACCTCATAAAGAAAATTGAACATTGACCAATGAACCATAAAAAGGAGGTCACAGTCAAATGAACACTACCTTTCTTGACACATGGCTGGAAATATTCATATTGCCATAAATTTATTGAAATAAATGCAAAAAATTCCAAAGAAAATATAGCAAATATAATCCAAACAGTAGTTAATTAACTATCCAATCTGATCGTAATATTCATTGTTTATAGAACACACACATGCGCAGTAATTCAGTCATGTTCAGCTCTGAAAAGTGGTCACGAGGATTGTAAAACGCATACCCTTACATTATGCAACTTTTGTAGACGGCGAGACAAAAAACATTTTTCAAGAATATTGGAACATGTGGCAATACATTTTCATAACAATACCTAGCTGCTCTGCTCAATGTATGGGTTTTTCTTTCAACTTCACTGGTACTTATCTGTAAGTCTTTACCCTCTACAGAAAGAACAAGACTATCCTGAAAACAAATGCAAATCAGATTCTCATTAAAAAGTATATTCAAAATTCCAAATAAGTGTAAATCTGTCTGTGCAATGTCTGTTAATTCTTCAACACAAACTTTGAAAACCTGAGGAATAATTTAAACTGAAAAGGAAAAAAGTACTGGAAATGTTTTAACATGGGATCCCTTTGTTGTTTCTGAAAATTTTCTTTTGATGCTATTCATTGAAAAGCAGTTGTTTCCAATAAACCTGGTATGGAATAATAGTAAACCCAATCAGTAGCTGTGTTGTTTGTTTTTGTTAATATGCATTCCTTAACTTAGAAAAAATCTCGTATGAAATGGTGGTGTGTTTGTTTTTGTAAATATGCATTCCTTAGCTTAGAAAAAATCTTGTATGAAATGCTGGTGTAGGGCAATATCAACCTTGTGTTTGTGTGTGTATTTGTGCGCCTGTATACCGCCACATTATTTGTCACTTTTTCAATTGTGCATTAAATTGCAATATTATCACAAATCCTTATGACTACTGAAAATTCAGAAATTATTGCCAGGTTTTTATTCATGCGACCACGGCGGTATCGCAATAATAACTCTTTTCTGATATCCGATACATATATCTGTATTTAGATTTTCCTGAAATTGCAATAATTAACCCTATAATTTTGTCCTTTCTTGAAAAATTGCAATAATAAATGCACACAATAACATCTGAATTTACAGTAATCCTTAACACCAATCCTCGTAAGAAATATGCAGTTAAAGAAATGAATGTGACCAGGCAAATAAAAATAAAGTTTTCAACACTGTATCAATTGAATCTGTATTTAATGGAAGGGATTTGTCATTAATATATTTCTGTGAACAACTTATTTACAGGCCCTGCAAAGGAGATTTAACATAAAATCTGTTAAATCACAAAACCTTCACATTTCTCTTTGAATATGAACATGAAATTGAAACAATCTCTCTAAACTCTCTAGCATTAAAGAATGTTTGATGAAGATATAATACAAAACTTGAGTTCTAAAGTGTCTATGATCTCCTTATGTCATATTTTCACTGTGACCTTGTAGGTAAATATGGCCACTAAGCATTCACTAACTGACAATGATTGGATGAAAAAGTGCTGCTGCATGATGCTGTCAATCTTGAATCTCCTATTAAAAAAGTCATGATGTGATCCTGACATCTGACCTTAAATTTACAGGTTTCTGGCTCTTCTTACAAAGCATTGAACAATTTTTACTGAAGATAAGATATTGAACTGGTCCTCTATTGAGACTATTTAAAAGCATTATTAATTAAAGTCATAAAGTGACCTTGATTTTGACCTTCAACCTAAAACAGGATTCAATGTATCTTCATGAAAGAACAACTGAAAATGTTTAATGAAGAATATAATTAAAAACAAAACCTCTTCATTGCCTACAAAGTTGTTATTAATTAAGTTACACATAGACAGAGATGGCATTACTATTATCATCCTGCAACTTCATTGCCAGGGGAGGATAAGAAGATTTTAAAGTTTTATACACACATAGATTGATGGTAGCATTTCATTCTTTGTTTATCAGAAGATAATAAAGATCATGAAAGTTTTATACACACAGAGAGATGGATGGTATCATTACTATATTTGTTTATTAGAGGATAATAAAGATCATTTAAATTAAACATACATAGTCCGATACACAGTTCAAATTGACAATACTCTTCCCAACACTAGTAACAAATTCTTTCTTTGTTGTTTCTTCACTGTCTACCATAAAACTATATAGTTTACTGCTTGTTCCCTTGGTATCTAAAGTACTTTTACAGATCAGTCCAAAAGCATTCCGACAATCTGCAAAACAATGTTTATTATAATCTGACATGTCTGAGGGTTAATACAAGAAAAATTCGTAAGGGTTCTGCGGAACCCAGTGTCTCGCCTACTTTTGCTGTTGTCTATGTTTTCAGTGTGATAGGGGAATGCACATAATTGATTTACAGTTAATGAAATAAAACGTTTGAAATGGTTTATGAATCTAATAAATGTTTTAAAAACTTTAACTGCAGACTGTATGTAATGTTAACTGGAAGAAAAACTAAGTCCATTTATAAGTAATATACTGAAAAACAGGAAATAAATTTAAAAAAATTTTCCTCCTGGTCAATTTAGAGGTAAATTACGGAAAAAATGGATTTTTTTTTTACAAAATTTACTTCTGGATACTATATTATGATCATAAACAAGCTGCTGTCCTAGTTTGGTAGAAATCTAGGATAGTTTAAGAAAGTTCTTAAAATTTCAAAATCTTTAACCACCGAGTGAATATTTGTGGACACTGCCGTAGCTCACGGCGCAATGTAGGATCACTATGTCTCGCTTTTTCGACAAAAGTCGAAGGATCGACAAAAATTGTTTTCCCCATAAGTTTCAAAATGCTGAAAAGGTCAAAAATATGATATCAGGCATGTTTATTTCTATTCATTTAAAGGAAATTCCTAAATGCAAAATGTTAAAATATTTTAAAAGAATTATTGATACATTGTACTATAAATGATTTTAACAAGTTATTTCTTTTCAACAAGGTAATGCTCTACAAAAAATCTATTTCATTCACACAGCAATATATCCATACTTAAAAACAACAAGCTTAGTAGTTAGTGTTAAGGATGTGTATTAAAATAGAATATTGAATATTCAGTGCAAACAATGAAAAAAATATTGAAATCTATAAATAAACTGCTAACACAGAGATGTCTCACCTTTTTGTTATTTTGATCATAAAATGCAAATGTTGAAATTAAAATAGCAATACTTTTACATGTAAGTTATTGCAAAATATTCAAAGTCTATGAACCATGACAGAAGGTACAAGGCCAAACAATCTCCATGGAAATGAGATGTGCCAATGATAATACAACTGCATACCAAATATCATTGACCTACCACTAGTGGTTCCCCATAAACTGACCTAATCACAAACTTATACATTGTTGACACCACCATTGTCAGAAACAGCATATCTATGTCTTGCTTTTTTTCCTCCGTCAAGGTGAGACAAAAACTATATCAGCTATTCTCTTAGCATTAATTCTATTTAGATAACAACAGTAAGAAGGCTGTTGTAAATAAACACCCAATCCAACAAATAGTTATATCTGTCATACTTACAATGAAAAAATAAACAAACAGCTGATTGTTTATATAATGATTATTCTATGTTTCAAAAAAATTATAACTCAAACTATTGCATGGTTTCCATTTAAATGGTCTAAATTTTTAATTTTGTTGAGGTACAAATCGCTGTTGTCCTTATTTGATTCAATTATAAACCGTATTTATTCTCAGTATCTTCAAAAATGTTCAAACATTATTATGAAATTCAATAAAATGTCAGCCATTAAAATGATTTCCATCAGAGGGAAATAACTTAAAATGGTCTAATTAAATGATGAATAGCAGAACTGATCTTAAATTACAGCAAGGCGTTATAAAATAAGGCGGAAAAGGGGCATGGTGCCATATTTTTTTCTTCAAAAAAAGGGCAGGACGTTTAGAAACGCAGCAGGGGGGCCACATCCTCCCAAAACTGCCTCATCACTTAATGTTTAAAGACTTACCTTCAGTTTCATTACAATCTAACACCCGTTTTATTGTGGGTAATGGTATCATCACTAAATGTTTGAAGGGCTTCTGAGGTGTTTTGTGAGTGGCTGGACTTTTCATGCTAGTGGTATATTTCGACCGCCGTTTGCACATCTGAAAAGTTGATCAATGCGATTAAATGTTATGGCTTCATTTCAAACTTTTTTCATGTACAAAATTGTAATTTCAATGTTCAGTGGCCAGAGAAATATAAAAATAAGAAGATGTGGTATGATTGCCAAAAGACAACTCTCCACCAGAGTTCAAATGCCATAGAAAGTAAGCCGGATTAACATTACAATGCATATGACCTCTCTTAAATAATCTCACTGAAAAGTTAATTTTTGAAATGGTACACCACAAGACTATATCACATGTTGCTGAGATACCTGTTAAATGTTACACTATTTACTCACATAGGTAATTATATTAGATGTTAATTGGTTGAGAAATAAAAAGGCAATTCAAACCTATACTTCTGTAGATTGATTTTCATTGACATGCTGAAGCAAAAATTATAAAGTACTTGAAAATTCATTTTCAGGTCAACCATACAACTTCTTAATGTACATAAACTGTTAACACAGAGATATGTCTCGCCTATTTGTTATTTTGATAATGCAAATGTTGAAATTAAAATAGCAATACTTTTAACATGTAAGTTATGCAAATACTCAAAGTCAATGAATCATGACTGAAGGTACAGGGCTAAACAATCTCCATGGAAATGAGATGTGCCAATGCTAATACAACTGCAAACCAAATACCATTGACTTTTCACAAGTCGTTCCCTTTAAACAAACCTAAACCCAAATATTAACTTGTAAAGTATGTAAAAGTTTCAAAGTCAATGAACCATAATTAGGGCAAGGTGTTATATAATCTCCATGGAAATGAAACTTGCAAATGCCAATACATTTGTATACCGAATATCATTGACTTAACATTAGTGGTTCATCTTAACCCTTTCAACGCTACACAAAAAAATAGAAAAATGGCTGCTGCTGCTGCATTTTTTTTGGGTTCATTCATTAGAACAGTATATTCCTTTTCAGACTGCTGTATCTTTTTTATTATTAGAGATACAGACAAAGTTAGTGCATAAAAAATGCTCAGGAGAGCATGAACTGTAATGTTATGCAATTATTTTAGTAAAATTTTCATCAGGCTACCTGCATTTTCAGGTAATTAACAGATAAAAGGTGTAAATTATTGTATTTGTGTTGAATTTTGAATAAAAACAACTTTTAATCTTCATTTATTTTGTTGTTCTATCTGCCATATAATAAAGAAGACACCAGTTGCTCGATTCCATAGCGTATTGCACCATACACAATGTATAAAGTAAACGTGGTGCAAATAAGTAGCTCCGTCCTCAAAATTTCCAGTCAACCTCCGTTTTTCCCCTTTTTCTACATCTCATATAGATCGATCAAATCATATTTCCCACACGAATTGAATGTAATAAACACATTGAGATAACAGTGAACCTTTAAACTATTTCTCGTACCACTAGAACTAGACCTAATCACAAACTAATACATTGTTGACGCCGCCGCCGACGCTGGAAACAGCATACCTATGTCTCGCTTTTTTACTCTGTCAAGGTGAGACAAAAATTGTGTGAAGCAGTACAGGCAACTTCTAAGAAAGACAAGTAAAATACAAACCTCTACACTGTCTGTAAACAGGAATAAAGACATAGGTAAACCTTTTCCACATAACTCATCTGACAATTCTATCACATCTATCTTGGATACAAATCTTCTGTGTGATGACAGTAGTGTAGCCTATGTAACAGAAACAGTCAATCAAATTTTTTTTTTAAAAATGTAAGTCTTTCAAGGAAGGTGTCACTTGCTGCTTTCAATCAATATAAGTAGAAATAGTGGTCCATGTTTTGGCATGGGAAACCCCAAAAATCACTCAGATAAACATTTCGAATAGCAGATTCATAATGTCTTGTCCTTTTAGAAGAATCTGTGCAAGTTTGATTGAATTATGTCCAGTTATTTTCAAGGAGTTATGGTTTTTTAACATGAAGTGAAAGGGGGACGACAAAAGTTGACCGAAGTGATCCCTAAAGGGTTCAAAAGCTTCACTATCAGGCGACACAACAAAAGAATTAGTTTCCTTATATCAAAAGTGTCTTGGATCCAATAAAACTATTTTGGTAAAGACTGTCTAAGAGCTATTCCTGACATTTATAAGTCATTATATATTTCTCTATATGATAAGAAGTTATAATCCAGATGGAGAATGTTGTATCTTTACTGTCGTAAGCCTGTTCTAATTTTCCATATCATATATTGTGTAGTTAAAAAAAGATTGGCTAAATGCCTGACACAACCAATTATTCTGTGCTGATAATCCTGGAAACTTATCCGAGGTCAATAAATATTTAATCAAAAGCAAGGGTCCGGAAATGGTCATATTTGCCAGTCATATTCTAAGTTGCAAGCTATTTGTCCTAAACGAAAAATTGGGATTTAGGACAATTTTTTTTTTTTTTACAGAAATTATTTCCGTCATTTCATTGAGATCAGGTTTCTTAATTGCCATTTTGCACTTGTTTTTTGTTTTAAAATCCCTTTCCTGTAATAAAACAGTCACCTTTTACCTGTGTTTTAAATTCACACCTGACAATGATCACAAGCTCAGATCTAATATCATAAAGAAATTAAAATTCCATGACAACTGTATTCATTATTTCATTACTTTGCAGCAAAGACAATCAATAATTCTGATTTGAAAATTAAACCTTAATTTAATTTACGTAGAAAAAAATAATTTTTCTCGAGTAACACATGTGCTTTATTAACTATGTAATACACATGCGTGAAATTGTCTTCAGCAGATAGCACACTTAATCGTGAAATGCAAAATGATTTCAGGCTTAATTAAACGAGTGCAACTAATATCTGTTATATTCAAACACTTTCAAAGATAATAAAATTTAAAACCCGGTGATTTCCTGTCAATTTGATAAACAAAACGAATCCCGGAAACGAATCCTGAATTAATCGTACTTTAGAATTGTCGCAAAACTTCCGGTTTACATTTGGTCTAAAATCGAAAGAAACGTTCTGAGAAATTTACCATTTTGAGTCATTAAAATCATTTCAAATTTAAACTGTTGCCTTCCCAAACTGTTCTTGAACGTTTTGAGTAAAATGGTAAGAAAATTCACGAAGTAAATGCGATGAAACAGCCAATACAAGTTCGTTGATGCTATGAATCTAGTGACCATTCGATATCGACAATTTGAAAAAGGGAACCAACTTTTAAGACATCTCAAAATGACCGAAATTGTGTGAAAAAATTTCCGGATCCTTGATCAAAAGATGATAAAAATAACAAAATTCAAAAAGGTAATGAACTACACTATGTATAACAAATTCAAACTGGATGATATATTTATTTAGGCATCTAAAGGATACTCCTATATATTGCTTTCAATCAATATAAGTAGAAATAGTGGTCCATGTTTTGGCATGAGAAACCCCAAAAATTTTTAAAAAAATTTAAGGTAAAAAAAAATGTTTTATGATATAATAAGAATGTAGTTATTGAAGTTTTGTTTTTTACACAAAATTATCCTGCACTGTTAGTAAATTATCTGATCAGCAGAAAAATTCACATAAGTTGAAAAATTTTACTGTGATATCATAATGGGAATATTTTTCAGATTTTGCATAAAAAGGGACTGTTTCAGGACAAATTTGATTTTTTTTTTTAAATAGAGCACAAGTGTATAAAATATGTTGTAATTTTCCCTTTATTATCATTCCATGATTTGCTATGGCTTAGCTGCACAAACTAGAACTGTTATTACACTCGCAATACTATATAAATATTCATAATCTCTCCTTTAACATATAGGCAAGGGATTATATCCTTTATGCACATCCTCAGGCAGTGTTCTTTAATAATCTGTGTACAGTTTCAACAATATCCTTCAGACTTTTTAGGATATGTAGTGCTTACCACAATTTACAATATTGCAGTAGGTAAATTAGTTTATCTCCTTATCAGCTTTAAATTCCTTTAAAAACATTCTAAGGATTTTTTCTTCAACTGTGTAAAGTTGCAATTGCAAGGCAGATGGACAAACAGAAACACCAAATTGTAGTTAGTAAATTCAATTACGTCCCCTTTAACATGTAAAAAGGGATTATAATCCTTTCTGCATATCCTCAGTTAATTTTCTAAAACTTCAATATTTGTCTAGCCATTTCTGATGAGCTGGGCTTACCCTTTAACATTTAGTCAGATTTATATCCCTTTTATAAATGCAAATCATAAAGTTACAAGGCACATAGGCAGACTGACAGACAGATAGGCATACAGAAGGGAAGACAGGTTATTTCCTCTTCCCCTTAAAACTGCAAATGGTGTTAAGTAATTTTGCCAAGTTTGCTTCCAAAATTAATTGTCAGACAACATTTTGTGATGGAGTGACAGTTCTGATAAGACAATATCAATATATCACCAAACATATGTGGGGATGACATAAAATAGCATTGATATAAAACAAGATTGCACACAAAATTCAAAGTATGGGAAAAAAGGAAGTACTTGCACACACATTACAACTCATCACTGTGAAGCTACTTACCAGATATGAAGTAATCGTGTAAAATAGTACCTAAGAAAAGTGTGACATAAATATTTGTTTTAATAAAAAAAAAACAGATGGATGGACAGACAGACAGACAAGGAGATAGCAATATAGCCCACACTCATAGAGTAGGTACATGTATAACTAAGGCTGTCTACAATACAGATCTAAAAAGTGTAATTGGTCATTTTTTTATTACTGGTTAATTAAGTTGTAGTTTTTGCATTGTTGTGTAAATTCCATGTTTAGAACAATTGGTCTAAAATAACCTGGCTTTATTAAACAGATTTGTTCTGTATTTACTATCAATTACACTTACAGGACAATTATCTATATCATTCATTATATCAAACATCACAACCTGGTTCTCTGTTTTCCTCTTGTCTTCATTTATATGACTATAAGAAATTAAAGATTAAATTAGAAAAATTCTATTACCATTAAATCAGAAGTTAATTTGATAACAATATGACAAGCTCAATTTTACAATAATTAAAACTTTCTATTAGTACTAACATTTGACTGTAACACCAAAAAAGGTATCCAATTAACAAATTTGCCATATTATTGGTGGTTGAGGTTACCTGTTGATTAATCTTGAATAATGGCATTATTGATGATTTTTGAAAATTATCATTCATTAATATGACATTGTTATTAGCTGTTGAAGATACCCATTAATAAATTAAGCACTATTGGCTGATGAAGATGTGCATATACTTAAAATGCCAGTGAAATTAATATGAAATTTTAAGAAACGACAATAACATTTTACATTTTTATCTCTTATTTCATAATCAGAATGATTGAACATCTATAGGGATACAATGTAGCACCATGCTATACTTTTTTTCTTATAACACCTCTATATTTTTTTCATACCAAATACCCTTATCATATGTTTAATGGCATGATTTTGAACTTTGTTTAATGTGAATGTCTACAAACACTACTTACGTCATAACTTCTTTGGCAACTTGCAGTGCCTTTTCTACTTTTGTATAATCTGGATTATCCTTTGTTGTATGCTTCAAAATATCTGTAATCAAAAATTTCTTTTTTCACTTCTTGAAGAAAAAAAACTATGAATGTCTCAAGGACACCATACCCCACTCACACCACCACATTTGCATGTTCAGAGAACAGTGAAATCAGGGAAAATCTCTAATTTGCAAATTTAAAAGTTCACATCATAATGAGCTTGTGTAATTGGTTTCAAGTTGATGTGACCACAACTTCATGGTACACTACCTTGACCAAGAACTTTTACCTAAGAATGTACTGGATTCACAGTATCAGGGAAGATTAGTTATATAGCTGACTGTGTAATCCTCTTTAAATAAAGAATAATAATTATCATCCTTGTTCAGTGAACCTTCAAATCAGAGTCAGTGACTCATTTCACAAAAAAGCTTACAAGAAAAAATGACAGTATAACTTACGATCAATTTTTGTCGAAATTTTATTTTTATTTTTTTGAAAAGAGCCCCATAACTGTAATTTAGCAAAAAATTAAAAAGTTCACAGCGAAAGAAACAAGTGTATACTAAGTTTAAGTTGATGCTACTACAGTTTCATGGTTAACTACCTTGACAGGAAAACATTATGCTCCTCTACTATTGTAGGTAGGGTATAAACATTTAAACTTAAGGAGAAAATATATTAAAGGTTAATGAAAAGGAAAAGTTCACTAAGTAAGCTGTATCTGTTTCATTCACTGTGTGTTTTCTGAGTTGTCAGCACATTAAACTATGGTGACTTGATGTCATATCTTTTATAGACTCTTAAACAGATAGTAACTACGATTTTCATTAAAATTATTTTTTCAATCTATATGCCAGGTTTTGTACAAAAAGTTAATTAATTATAAATACAACCATCACTGTTTACTTTCCATTTACCATTTAGAAGCTTTTTATCGTTTTACACCTGAATTTACTTTTTGTCTACCAGACAAAAATTCGATGTGAAGCCAACCCTTATTCATATGACCTATGTTGACCATAACTCGACAGTCCTCAATGTGCAATCGCACTTTGTCCCTCAAAGGGAAAATGTCAAACAGAGGAATGTTACCGCAGGAATGAAACGTGTATTGACAGTTTCTGCGTGAAAAAGGAACAGAAAAGAGGTGCAGACAAGTTATAATAAATTCAAATCAAATAATGGTGATGAGATCAGTCATTAGAATGACTTTAAAAAAACTGTCACGCAGTCGAAGTCACACAGAATTAGCCAACAATTAAAAGGTTTGCGAAATGTTTACATTTCTAAATTATTCCAGATCGTATGAAAACAAATTACGACGTGTTCAAATTGTTATTGTCCAAAAAATGTTTATTAATTTACGGGCAGTGATCTCTAAACTTAAAAGAAATTAAAAATCAACTTCTTACAATTTAATATTATTCTTCCGGTGTATCCTTCATGATAACCCCAATTCAATTCACAAACACATGTCTAATATCAGATCAGTGTTGTTTTGTCATACAAATGTAAAAACAAGTGTATAATATCGCCATTATTCGAGAACCTTTTTCGATTAATTTGTACGCTTTTGTTATTTTTTTGTTATGTTTACATAATTTGATAAATGGCGTCAAATATGTACGTTTTATTCTAAGAAATTAGCCAATACTTAAGAAAACAAAAAACCACGTTCATATCTATTTATACCTGGGTCATTTCGCTCTCTGTGTCGGACAAGTTAGGGAAATTAACCGGATGCATAATAAATGAGATGAATAGGCACGCAACACAATATAAATTTTCAATTACTAACACTTCTGTAGCTTATATCAACATTTCAGCGATCTTATTGTGAATTTTAAGTACATATCTTTGATTTTATCTGACAGCTTTAAAACTTGATAATATTTTTTTCAAAATTGTAGCTACTATCCCTTTAATTATCTATTAAAGTATTAAATGATGAACTGTTTATTATTATAATCATTTGATAATGTACATGTTTAGGTGGTTGTTATCAGTTACTAGGTACTACTAAAACACTGATCTGAACAAAAAACAATACTGAACAATGTTCATTTTAAACATTTAACAAGCCTCTATTTCTGCTTGAAGATGAGATTCATTATTCTTTCAAACAGTAAACAATATGAATGGCCTATGATAAGAAACTTAAAGAAAAATTATACCTAATAATGTCAGTCAGCATTAGGGCTGACAAAGTACACAGCTCAAGTTAAATACTTTAATAGTGTTTACCTATCTGCCTATCATAAGTGATGTTACAAGTTAAACCTTCTAAAAAGGTATGGATTGCTTCACAGTATCATCAATTATGTCAACATGAAGCAATAATTGTTGACTGGGTCTTGAATACCCATACTGTAATTTAATATCTTCTACAGTCTGGGACATGTTCCAAAATCTTAAGCTCATTCTAGCCACATCATACAGCAACTAATCAGAACCGATATTTGTTAAGGGCATATGATATAGTTTTGATCCCTAGGTGATTTTTTTACGACAATTTGCATACATGCTATTTTTCACCTAATCAATTCAAATATATAATAAAAAATATTCCTTCATGTGCTACTTTAAGAGAAAATCCGTTTGTGTTCCGCGGAACCCAGTGTCTCGCCTACTTTTGCTGTTAATCGCAGGCTCAACAAAAATGAGATGAGGAAAAAATTTAATACAAATATTCCTCTCGATACAATTTTTTTATTGTAAGAAGCTTCTGTCCAAGTTTGGTAAAAAATCCAGGATAGTTTATGAATCTAATAAATGTTTTAAAAAATTTAACTGCAGACTGTATGTAATGTTAACTGGAAGAAAAACTAAGTCCATTTATAAGTAAAATATGGATAAACAAGTACAAAATTTTAATAAAAATTTCCTTCTAGATACTAGCTTTTGATCATAAACAAACTTCTGTCCATGTTTGGTACAAATCCAGGATAGTTTAAGAAAGTTATTAAAATTTTAAAAACTTTAACCACAGAGTGAATGTAATGTTTCCTGGCAGAAAAACTTAGTCCATTTATAAGTAAAATACGGAAAAACGGGATTTTTTGTTTTTTAAATTTACTTCTGGATACTATCTTATGATCATAAACAAGCTTCTGTCCAAGTTTGGTAGAAATCCAGGATAGTTTGAGAAAGTTATTAAAATTTCAAAAACTTTAATCACAGAGTGAATATTTGTGGACGCCGCCGATGACGACGACGACAGAATGTAGGAATGCTATGTCTCGCTTTTTCGACAAAAGTCGGAAGGCTCCACAATAAATGGGGTTGAAATTTTAGACATTTACTAAAAATTTCATTATTTTTTAACATTTCTATCCTTTTGATAGACATACCTAACTTTTTTGTTTCAAAAGATAAACACAAGCAGATTTTTGTAAAAACATTTGGAAAATCTTCTTTACATAGTATGCTCTAAATTCGTATAACAATTCTTTGGAAATAATAAATTTTTATCAAAGTTTCATGATTTTAGAAAAAAAACAGCATTTTTTGCTGTATATTTATCTGATTTTAAAAAATTTCATTGGTGACTTTTTCATAAAAATTGGTACAAACAAGTGAAACTGCGAGCTACTGCACACTGATGATACCCCAAGCCAAATATTTGACGGTAAACAGGATGTTGTTGAGTGATGAATCTGAAAACTCATCATACGGTATAGCTGACTTGTATACACACTGAAACCAAATTTCAGAAATCCTTGTAATGTAGTTCCTGAGAAAAATGTGACTAAAATTTTCAACTTGGATGTGTGTGTGTCAAATGATGCAAGTGTTCGGTAAACAAGAAGTTGTTGAGCGATCAATCTGAAAATGCATCACACAGTATAGCCGACTTATATAAACCCTGAAACCAAATTTCAGAAATCCTTGTATTGTAGTTCCTGAGAAAAATGTGACAAAAAATTTAATTGTGACTGATAGACGGACTGACGGATGGATGGGCAGACAAATGTAAAACAGTATACCCCCACCTTTTTAAAGCGGGGGTATAATAATCTTCATACGTATTCAAACCTAATGTCATTTTAAAAAAGAGGGGTCCATGAACTTGTTTACAAGTTAAATCAGTCGAAAAATGCATCTTGTCAGAGTTTTGACGTTGAGAAAAATAACATTTTACGTTAGCGTAGTCATTACCTCCCCTTTAACTGTATCGTATGCCCTTAAGTACTAATTTCAAGATGACATGAATATCAAATGAACCTAATAGCATCGCACTGTGAAGTGGAGCAATAACAATGCATAACACTTACTATTAAAGCCAAAGTGGAAAAGTAAAGTGCACCGACTGACATATCTGTACATATTGCAAGGAAATGCAGATGAGACTTATTCAACTGCAAATCAAATATTACTGACTTATTGTATAAAGTAATTTCTGTTTAACTGACATAATAAAAAAATCCAGGTCTGTACTGCTATAAACATTCTATTATCATTGCAAATGGGGTGGACACTTGCTTTTGTAGTCTTCAAATTTCAATGTTATTTTGTTTTTCAATGAAATGCTTACATGAAATATGTTAAGATTGAAAAATTCGTAAGGGTTCCGCGGAACCCAGTGTCTCGCCTACCTTTTCTGTTAATCGCAGGCTCAACAAAAATGAGGAAGTAAATCAATAAAAATATTCCTCTTGATACTATCTTTTGATTGTAAGAACTTTCTGTCCAAGTTTGGTAAAAATCCAGGATAGTGTATGAATCTAATAAATGTTTAAAAACTTTATCTGCAGACTGAATGTAATGTTAACTTGAAGAAAACAAAATTTCCTTCTAGATACTAGCATTTGATCATAAACAAGCTTCTGTTAAAGTTTGGTGCAAATCCAAAATAGTATAAGAAAGTTATTAAAATTTAAAAAACTTTAACCACAGAGTGAATGTGTTGTTTCCTGACAGGAAATCTAAGTCCATTTAAAAGTAAAATACGGAAAAAATGGATTTATTATTTTACAAAATTTCCTTCTAGATACTAGCTTTTGATCATAAACAAGCTTCTGTCCAAGTTTGGTACAAATCCAAAATAGTATAAGAAAGTTATTAAAATTTTAAAAACTTTAACCACAGAGTGAATGTGTTGTTTCCTGGCAGAAAATCTAAGTCCATTTAAAAGTAAAATACGGAAAAAATGGATTTATTATTTTACAAAATTTCCTTCTGGATACTATCTTATGATCATAAACAAGCTTCTGTCCAAGTTTGGTAGAAACCCAGGATAGTTTAAGAAAGTTATTAAAATTTTAAAAACTTTAACCACAGAGTGAATGTAATATTTCCCGGCAGAAAAACTAAGTCCATTTATAAGTAAAATACGGAAAAAATGGAATTTTATTTTTACAAAATTTACTTCTGGATACTATCTTATGATCATAAACAAGCTTCTGTCCAAGTTTGGTAGACATCCAAGGTAGTTTAAGAAAGTTATTAAAATTTCAAAAACTTTAACCACAGAGTGAATATTTGTGGACGCCGCCGACGCCGCCGACGGAATGTAGGATCGCTATGTCTCGCTTTTTCGACTAAAGTTGAAGGCTCGACAAAAATGACTGAAATTTATACACTAAGAACATTACATGTCACAGCATCTGATGTTTAACAAAGTTGCAAAAGAATTTTGAATGCAATTTTTGATCCATTAAACATGATGATTAATTTCAAATTAATTATTTTTTTTAATTACTTTCTCAGGTCTTAAGAAAGTGAGAAAATATGCAGTAAAAAGCTTAGAAACCTAAACCTAATTCTATTTGGTCTAAACACATGAAAACAATATACATCTTACCATTTAATAACAAAGATACACTAGGTAACCTTTGTACTGGTCTGATTAATAACTCTGTCAAACTCTGTCTACCACATTCAGGCTTAGATAAACACACCTGAAACAATTATAAATTCTATATCAGCTTTATTTAACAAGATGATGTGTTTGCAAGGTGTGGATGCCCTGCCTAAAAAAATATGATGAACAAATGTAAAACTTAAGATGACCCCAAGTCAATGACATGTAATTAAGATAATTGGAATGATCAAAACTGTTTTGAACAACATAATAAAGAGATATTGGTAAAATATCACTGATATGCCATTATAAATGTATGGAATATTGAAGAAACTAGAAAATTAAAAAACAGTTTTTGGCAAATGTCTAATTGTAATTGAATGCTATATTTATTAAAACAATAATTTCTAACAGCTCATACGACTATTAGTGGTCCCCTCAATGTCTAATTGTTCAAGCAAAATTATATGATATAATGTAATGCAGCAAATATTTGTCTTTGGAATTTAAAAAAGACAGATCCTAACTATAAAAACAATATATCAAAAGCTAAAAGGTTTTTGTTTGGCTATTATATAAAATCGCAGTAACAAAATAACTCATCAATTATCAATTACAATTACTAGTATGCTAATAAACACACAGGAAACATGTAACAAACAAGAACAAAGACTCACAAACAAAATTATTTCCCATCTCATTTCTTTATCCTTGATTAACAATCTTCAAAGAAGTCAGTTTGATAAAGCACAAATATAATCCCTATGACTGGAAACAGTGAATGCATCCATAAATAAGATCTTATAATATCAGGTTTGTTTATATAATAAATTATCTATCCAACTTGAAATTTAATTTGTTGATCCCTGCACTCACTATGGTTGAAATCCAAAATATGTCAGCTTTCACCAAAACCCCTTTTGTTTGGCCTATTTGGGATCTAAATGTCACTTTATAATATATAAATTGAAATAAATTTGTCTATTTCGCTACATGTTCATGCATCAATTTGTAAAACTTTCAATCCTGAAATAATGGACTTAATATTTTGGGACAAATAGGGCCCTTACCAATGCTTACAGCACCTACTCTTTTTACCAATTGATAACTTAAATTGCCCTTCCCCCTTAATTTTCCACAGGAAAACACAACTGATAATTATCTTTACACCTTTCCTTGTTTGAATTGTTTCACATTTGTCATGTCAGGGCCTTTTATTGATGAATAATGATATGTGTTTTGTTCATTGTTTGATGTACAGTGACCTTTACTTGCTTAGATTCACTTTGGAATAGCTGTCTCATTGGCAATCATACCATATCTTATTTTTATATCTTACTTGATTAACAAGTTTTATTTTTTGTACATGGTCATGTCTGCACTAACTTATTGGAAAGACTCACTAAAAATGAAGATTTTAAAAATGTAATTATTCTTAGGATAGATAGTACAATGTTACCAATCCATCTACAAAATAAAGTGACTGGTATAATAATGTCTACTACAAAATGAAATACTTACTTTAAGAAAAGCATGGAATCTAGGGTTGGTTTTATCAGATTTTGCAATTGTTTCTTTAGTTTGTTCAAAAAAGTTCACAAATGGAGGATAAGCTTTCATCAAAGCTTCTGCCTGTAATAATAGTAAATAATTACATTGTAAAATGAACCACGAGTAAAGCTGTAGTGGTGTGTATCCTACGTAATAATATCCATATTTGTTTACACTTCTGATTTAAAAAAAATATTAACATGAAATGTGTTGTTCATATAGACAAACATTGTGGTAAATTATTTTGTTGGTATGTCCATGTCCTCTATATTGCGGATCTCAAAACTATCTAAATAAAATGACCCGATATTATGCATTTTTCACCAAAAAGGTGTAGAAGGGCCTTTTCTTGTGATGTCGAATCTACACTTATTGTGATGTCATGGATTCAGAAATCATTCCTTTTTAATTTTGTATTATCTCTTATAACTTTAAAACAGACATACATGGAAACCTTAAATAATAAGGTCAATTTTCATTAAAACATTACGCCAAATATGGCCCTTATCGCATATTGTTCTTTGTAGATTTTATCCTGTTGATCATTTTTGATATCTGAAGTTTCTCTCGATATATTATAGTTTTCTAAATAAAAGACAAAACTTGCATTTCACTCCTATGTTTTATTTATATCCATGTCAGCCATGTTGATTGGCAAGCAGGATCATCAGACACATTTTTTTAAACAAGATACCCCAATGATGATTGTGGCCAAGTTTGATTCCAATTTAGTTCAGTAGTTTCAGAGAAAAAGATTTTTGTAAAAGTTCAGAGCTGATGACGCCAGAAGCCATGTGATGAGAATAGCTGTCTTGGGCCTTTGGGTCAGGTCAGCTATAAATGTAAAGGATGACACAAAATATATATATATATTTTAACAATTATATACTTACATGCTCAATAAAAATATCACCAACAGACACTTCTTCATTCCAATTGTCAACTATCTGTGATAGCCTTTCTCTAATCTTACAATGAACTTCATATATAGGAGGAATATTGCCGAAAATTAACTTGACCTCTTGTGCTCCTAATATTGCACCATTGTATTGATTAGATTTTTCAATTTCTGTTTTAAATGTCTACAATTAAGAGAACAATTACAAATACAATCAATAAGCACTTCTAAGAAAGGTTTCTTAAAAAAATAAACTTAGTGAATTGAATCTTCAAAAACTTAATAAAATATTGCAAATACTGATGTGTCGTAATTCATTTGTTGTAAAAGTTCTTTATATGAAAGAATAGCCAATCATACATATGTGTATCATTCTAATATTTTTCCTTTGGCTGTCCATTATTTCAGATATGAACAGTTGGATAACATAATGAACTGTTGCAGATGATTGATTTCTTTTTGGCAATTCTGTTAACAGAGACAATTTCAAGGTATCTATTTTTACAATGGACTGGTTATAATAGAAACAAAATTCATAAATCCAACCCTCGTATGCTTATGGTAATATATATATGTCATGAATCTGAAATCTTTCAACTAAAATAGTGAAGATTTAAATTACTGCAATGAGAAAACCTTGAAAATAATATATATCACTTCATGTCCCAAAGTTAAAATCAATTTTCTTTTCTTTTCTGAAAAGCAAAATTACAAAAGAATGTATTTGCCAATTAATCGAAAATTTGATGTAAATTTTAACTTTCATTTATGTCCCCAAATCACACTTATCATTTGCATACTTATTTACATGTCGGAAGAATTTTTCACTTATAACATTTGTGACAGATACATTTTATTCTCTAAGATATATATACAAGAAAGAAATATTTTAATTGAATTAAAGTCACAATTTTAAAATTCATTGCTTATACAAACTGCATTTGTAAATATTGAAGACTTTTATAAATCCAAGGTTAAAATTACACCAAATTCTAATAAAATTAAACATGTAAACTCTCCAACACTTATATTAGAAACTAATGCCTTGTAGAAACATACATACATGGAAACATGTATGAAATTTTGTATTAGTCAATAAGTGTTCTACAAGGATCAATAGTCCTTCACCTTTCATTTGATACCTTAATTACTGAAATATATTCTACATAGTTTTATATACACTTATGTGTAGGAACTGAACTATTTTGTTTTAAATATGTACTACTTTCCAGTATGTTCTTTTTTGATCGGGCCCAATTTGGTGGTGTTACATCTTACAAAGTCTATCCGAATCATTTTGAAAAGAATTCCACACAAACCGTTGCTAGGGGCCATCTCTTACTCAGTGAGGTGGGCATTTTTTTTTTTTGCTCCTTGTTGAAGGCCTCACTGTGACTTTGAGATGAAGAACAGCAATAAAAAGTGCTGTTCCTTTGTTTTTTGTGTTTTTTTGCTGTGAATGTACTGATGTGTCATGGATGGATACCCCATATCCTTTGTTTTTCTATTAATGATACCAATGTTTGTTAATACAGTATCTTCTGGTACGAGTTTTAAAGTCTGAATTCACAAGCCTGATGGTCGTTTTAAAATTACGTACACATATGATTTATATTTGTATATGCATATTGGATGGGTTAGAACTCAACAGATGAAATGGTTGTCAAGTATATATATATAACCTGCTAGGTTGTGATCATGGTTTTTAGTTTGATACTGGATTTTATGTGTTTTTTTCTGGCTAATTATGTGTTGTTGGGTTGCTATCTCATTGTTTATCCCTTCATCTTAATTCTTTTAACAAATAAATATATTAAAGGAAGACTTACATTTATAACAGTGTGTAGAATTCCTACGTAATTTTTCTCTGTCTGTAACAATTCTGTAACAACCTGAAGTCTTGGGGACATCTTAGGAATTTTCTCCTTGTAACTTTCTACCGATTCTGTGTAAAAAAAACAAAAAAAAACTAAAACTTTAAAGAGTCATCTAAATAGACATTTTACAATAGCAATTGGTCATTTTTCATAAAGTATGAAGCTAGAAGATTTATTGTCTATCACAATTAACACAAAGCATATATAAGTATATAAACATGATTGCTATGTAGCAAAATGTCCCCCACACTGTATTAATGAGGAATTATATTGTGGTACAAAAGTCAAAATATGATACAAGTCCCATAACTTCTAAAAAATGATCAGACCAAAATGACTGTATAATATGGTCAACTACACATGATGGCGAAAATCCTACCAAGTATGAGAGATTTCTGTCGAAAAGGTTTCAGAGAAGTTCCCAAGGTGACTATTGTAAATTGGTAAATACTTCATCTGTTGTTAATAAATTAAAACTTATAGTAGCTTTCTAATAATCTATCTGCAGCATTAACAATTCTTATAAATATAGATAATAAGAGAACATTTGAAGAAAATAAAAATTAAAACGTAATTAAAATATGACATTAGGACAAGGACAAATATACTTTATTTAACTAAGATGCGAGATAGCTTTAATATGCATATCACTGGTCTTTTGTAAATACCTCTTCTTTTAATACACCTTTATACAAAATGTCACATGGTTGAAAATTGTAGAAGTTGACTAGAAAAAAAACAGGAACTCTCTTTCAAGCTTGCAGAACACCCTACCAAACTCCTGAATTTCACCAAAAAATAAACCGATTTGTTTTTAGTGAAACCAAGCCACAAAATGAAAATATAAGAATTTATTGACAACCTTTTCTTAAAATTGATGCAAAAAAAATTTGAATTTTGAGTGAATTATAACTATCAACCTCATATAGTAAACTTACCTCTGAAAGAATATTTATATGTCTGAGGGCATCATCAACATATTCTGCTAATATGTTGGATATTCATGTAACATCATCAAATCTTTATAAATATCCTGATAAAGGTAAAATATATTTGATAATTGAATTGTTCAGTGAATGAATAAAATTGTCCAAAACAAGTTTGAAATGACCCACCTGAAAAGACATCAGATTTGTCTGGTGTATTTGAAGCATCTAAGAAAGAATTAGGACTCATGGAAACTCTATCAGTTGATCTTCTTTTGAATGGTGAGTCATACTCTCCATCAGCTGCCAATTGAGCAATATTTTCTTTCAATCTCTTTCTCTTGCGAGATTTGGATCCAGACATGTTTCTACCAGGCATGAATATATTCCCATTCACACCATTGAAATCTATTTTCTGATGATATTCATACAATGTCTCATCAGCACATGCTTCCATCTGAATACTTCCCCAAAACCACTGAAATCAAAATATTTAATATGTTGAATAAATGTTAATGAGTAAGCATATCAACAACACATTTAACAAAATATACATCTGGACAACACCATACCATCTCCATCAACAAGCCTTAAATTGGCCCTAGTCAACAAATATGACAGATACAACTTTCTATCTGACACCAACATCAAAATCTCAGTTTAGTACTTACTACAGATTCCTTATATTATCATGATATTAATAACATTAGACTAGTGAACACAAACCAAATACTATTAACTTATTGCAATACAAACAAGTGAAACTGTGAGCTACTGCTCACTGATGATACCCCCGTCCAAATATTTCGGTAAACAGGAAGTTGTTGAGTGATGAATCTGAAAATGCATCATACGGTAAAGCTGACTCGTATAAACCCTGAAACCAAATTTCAGAAATCCTTGTAATGAAGTACCTGAGAAAAATGCAACGAAAAATATTCATGGGACGGACGGATGGACTGACAAAAACTGAGAACAAATTGATACCCCTGCTTCTTAAACTTGTAGACAGCTCAAGTCTACTTTCAGTCAGAAATCCTAGTAATCATTTTGTTAAACAAATAAAATAGATAAACAATAATGAAGTTCATGTCCTTGTCCAATATTGATATCTTTATATCTAAGTGTGGACCTCTATAGATATTTATATTGATATCTTTATATCTTAGTGTTAACCTCTATATATATTTGTTTAACCCCGCCGCATTTTTGCGCCTGTCCCAAGTCAGGAGCCTCTAGCCTTTGTTAGTCTTGTATTATTTTTAATTTTAGTTTCTTGTGTACAATTTGGAGTTTAGTATGGCGTTCATTATCACTGAACTAGTATATATATTTGTTTAGGGGCCAGCTGAAGGACGCCTCCGGGTGCAGGAATTTCTCGCTGCATTGAAGACCTGTTGGTGACCTTCTGCTGTTGTCTGTTCTATGGTCGGGTTGTTGTCTCTTTGACACATTCCCCATTTCCATTCTCAATTTTATTATATTGATATCTTTATATCTTAATAGTGTTAACCTCTATATATATTTATATTGATATCTATTATGACCTCTAAATGGCTTTTTGGTTTCATGGAGTACTGTCTCAATGGCATTTACATCTAGTCACTGGTTAGAATAGTTGTAAATGTGAAGTGCTTACAGACAAATGCTAATACAAACAATCTTAACAGTATCAGAAACCTGTATCATATTATTGACTCATAAGGATCTTTACTGGAACATCAGCTGACAATCACGCTGTCACATCTGACAGTGTGGTAGCTTGGAATAAGTCATGATTGATTCCAAATCTTACCTCCCCTCGGACAACATAAAAATTGGTGTTATCTAACAAGTTGACAGGAATGTCTTTGACCTGTTGATCATCATAAACCAAATGTGAACAATCGTCATCTCCAACTGCTGCAAATGTCCCACCTAAAAGTAAAAAAGCTAAATATTACTTTAAATTATTAGGTTTTATATCATCCGTTCTGACAAATGTATTGTAAAAAATCTATCGACATTCCTATAGCTTCCATAAAGTCTTGTGAGATGAACATCAATTTGGCTATTTGTTTATAGTTTCAATTCAAACTATACGGTGTTGTAATGTGTCATTATTGATCTGTCTTTTGGTTATTTGTTTAACACAAGCTTTAAAGCAATACCTAGTGCTTATGGTATTCATGAGTGCTAGCCAATGAAAGTTTGTGGTAAGTTTCTGTCAACACCTGTCATTTTTTCTTCTTTTTATATAGGGAAATCCTTCTTCTTTACAATTTCAATGCAATGTTAAATATTCACAAAATTCTATATCATAGTTTATCAAAGTTGTCTCCCAACAGAAATTTCTATAAAATTTAACGTTTAATATATAGGATACGCCATAATTAATCATTACCATTTTCAATAGTTAATTCTTCCATGTGTTTTTTTTCTTCATCAGAAAAGCCATAAAAACACAAACAACATTTATAAAAGGGTGGCATTCTATGTTGCATCTGCAAATAAAAAACCAAAACTAAGATCAGTTTTTAACTCAAAACATAGTAAATATTCAAAATCTCTCATTGCATGTTAATGTTTTTTGTGGACTTGTTTGTCATTTCCTCTTTTCTCTTTTGGCCATGGTTTTTTATTCAGTTCTTATGGAGCTTTCAGTTATTGCTTCTTGGTACCTTTTTAATGGTCAATTTTTTTTTTAAATATCTATGTTTGTATTATTTTGAGCCCTTAAAAACATCTTTGTCATTGAAGAATATTAAAAATACTTTTGAACACAGACTTACTTTTATAAATTTATAAAATTTCATAATATCTACCAGCACTCCAATGATGATGCCTAATGTGATAGACTATAAATATTTGATTATTATCTTACTATCATACTTTTGTAGACAGATTTGACTTCCATCCTGATTTCTGTCAATATTACCTTAATCAATTAACTATAAAACAGATACCAAAAATCAATCATACCATAAAATTTATTTTAAATTTTGTAAAATTATTGATAAGAAATATGTTTCAGAGATATTTTATGGCATCTAATCCAGTCAGGGGAGTTACTTGTACAAGTGATTTTTAAAATCACTTATTTGCGTGATTTTTTTATTTTTGCATAGAAACATAGCGATCGGTAAAGAAAATTGAAAATTTGAATTTCCCGCAATTTGTAGCTCGTTGTAATCTCGCGAGATTTTGCGGAAACCACGTGGTTTTCCAAAGATATGGTGGGAAAATACTGTAAACATTGACAAGATAAGGAGTTTACAAAAATTGATTGAAAATTACTAAAAATAGCCTCGGAATATTAATAGTCTGGGGATTTTATAAGATTTTTGCTGATACTGTGAATATTTTTCCGATAAACTTCAACATTTAAACTACGTTTTGACGTTGAAAAATATAAGTACTCTCGATTGAAATGCAAGTACTCGCGTGGTCAGAAATTTGGACCTTCTGAAGATTGGAAATCACGCCAATGAGTGATATTTTTTATTCAGGTACAAAAGATCATTTCAGCAAGTGATTTTTGGGAATGGTATTAACTTAAAGGGGATTAACTCCTGACGACTTAAAAAGTTTAAACAATTTCCCCGTGCATGTTTGTCAGAATGTCAGAAATTAATTTTGGCACGATAAAATAAATATGAAATCATTGTGCGTTTTCTTTTTTTATTATAATTTCACACTGCAAACGGAAATATTAAATATTTATTTGATAAATACAGACTTAATAAAGCAGATCTTTTTACCAAACTTCGTAACAACTAACATGCAAAGATAATTTTTTTTTGCCAGAAATGGTAAACAAATAACTTGCATATTTATCTCCAAGTGTATTTTTTATATAGTTTATTACATTTGTACATGCAGTTGTATAAATTGTGCATATCATGTACTATGTGTTTCAGGAAAATAAACAGATAAACAGTTGCATATATAGACTATGTGATTAACCATTACTGCATTAGGCATTAAATGTTCTATCACATTATCATGCATATTTCATATTTGTTGTTTTTATAAGTCCCCTAACTACCAACAAATTCGAAGGGGACTTTAGGTTTGCACTCCGTCCGTCTGTCTGTCCATCCGTCAGTCCGACAAATCAGTTTTCCACACTTTTTTCCTTCATGCTTGAAGATATTGACTTGATATTTGGTATATAGTTTAATTATGACAAGTTACAGATCAAGTTTTCATATTGTTCCGGTCTGATGATTTTGTGCAGAGTTATGGTCCTTGAACTTAGAAATTTCACTCAAATAATCAGGTTTCCACACTTTTTTCGGTCAGGCTTGAAGATATTGATTTGATAATTGGTATATAGTTTTATCCTGACAAGTCACAGATAAGTTTGAATTTTGTTCCAATCTGAAGATTTCGTGCAGAGTTGTGGTCCTTGGACTTGGAAAATTCACTCAAATAATCAGTTTTCCTCACTTTGTTTCGTCATGCTTGAAGATATTGATTTGATAATTGTTATATAGTTTTATCATGACAAGTTACAGATCAAGTAAGCATTTTGTTCCAGTACAATGATTTTTTAACGGGTAGGGGACTATATATTGCCATGCAATACTCCCAGAATGCTTGTTGATCTAACAATCTAACATTCAGATTTATGCATGATATATGAAATTATTAAAAATCACTGTGCAGTAAGATTATTTGTACCATCATAGAAATCACTCTGTGCAGTGATTTAAAATCATTTGTACAAGTGATTTATATTATTTAATGTAAATCACTCTGTGCAGTGATTTAAAATCATTTGTACAAGTGATTTATATTGTTATTTATCCTGGTCTTATGGGTTTTTTGTCGAGTCTGCGACTTTTGTCGCAGAAAGCTTGACATAGGGATAGTGATCAGGCGGCGGCGTTAGCTAACTTCTTAAAAGCTTTATATTTTAGCTGGAAGACCTGGATGCTTCATACTTTGTATATAGATGCCTTATGTTACGATGTTTCCATCTGTCACATGTCCATTGTCCTTGACCTCATTTTCATGGTTCAGTGACTACTTGAAAAAAAAGTAAAGATTTTTTGTGAAGTTAATTTCTCTCTTATTATGAGTAATAGAATAACTATATTTGGTATGTGCGTACCTTGCAAGGTCCTCATGACCGTCAGACAGTTTTCACTTGACCTCAACCTCATTTCATGGATCAGTGAACAAGGTTAAGTTTTGGTGGTCAAGCCTATATCTTGGATACTATAAGCAATAGGTCTAGTATATTCGGTATATGGAAGGACTGTAAGGTGTACATGTCCAACTGGCAGATGCCATCTGACCTTGACCTCATTTTCACGGTTCATTACTTAGTATTAAGTTTTTGTGTTTTGGTCTGTTTTTCTTAAACTATAAGCAATAGGTCGACTATACTTGTTGTATGGAAGAATTGTAAGCTGTACATGTCTGCCTGGCATGGTTCATATCATACAACTAATGTTCTCCAGCTGAGCCTAGCAATATTCAAGGTAATTTATACACTGTCCAACATTGCCCTTAAAATCTGGGTTATAACGCTAAAGTGCCCTTTCAGACAACTAGCACCCTTCTGCCCTGAGATTCAAGCTAGAACACTGATATGACATTGACCTCATTTTCATGGTTCATTGGTCAATGTTTAGTTTTCTTGATTAAGTCTGTTTCTTAGAAACTATAAGCAATAGGTCAACTATATTTAGTGTATTGAATGATTGTAAGGTGTAAATGTATTTCTTGTTTGGTTTATATGACCTCGACCTCATTTTATTGGATCATGTTAAGTTTATGTGATAGTTGTAGTTAAGCTTTATATTTGTGACTATCAACATGATATCAATGATTAGTAAAGAAGGCGAGACATTTCAGCGTTTGCACCCTTGTCTTACTATTAAGAATGCATTTTGACGTCACAATGTCCATTAAAAAAGCATGCATAGTACAAATTCATATGAGGTAAGAAAACATATGATCTGACCATAATGAAAATCACTGTGTAGTGATTTGAAATCATTTAATTTGTACAAGTGATTTATATTATTTAATGTAAATCACTCTGTGCAGTGATAAGATTTGAAATCATTTGTACAAGTGATTTACATTATTATTTATCCTGGACTGCGTGGTCATATGGGTTTTCTTAACTATTATAACAGGTTGGGAACAACCCCCAAATGAGGGATATCCCTTTAATGAGGGACTGTCCCTCAGACAAGGGGTCATTTTACTGTTGTAAAACGTAAAACTTATATTTTTTAACTTAAAAACAGTTTATCCCAAACTTTGACTGACCAACAAAATGTCAGACAAAAAGTCATTCGGTCAGACAGAAATTTTCAAATTTTTTTAGTTGAAAGTATAGACGAAAAGGTCAAATTTCTTTTTCAGTCAGACAAACTCTTAAACTGTTTGGCATAGACTGTTAAAAGGGAAAAAAATTATTATACATGTATTTCATAATTTGGAACAACTTTTCTAAAAGACGGGTACACTTATTTTTAATAATAAAGAAGATATACATGTAAGTCCAGAAATATTACAAAATTCTTGGACATGTTTTGACCATTTAATACAAGATAGATTTACAGTTCTTTGGGAAAAGTTTCTTCAAATAATATAAATATTTGCTCATTTGCACATGTATACCCTGTGATGCGTTTTCAGATTCATCACTCAACAACTAAAGTTACTTCCTGTTTACCGAACACTTGTATCGTTTTACACATGATAGCCAAGTTTTGGACGATCAATGCATTTGAATGAGAAAATATGGTTTAACACCCCTTATACATTAGTTGGTAAATATCACCATGATCACTGACAAGTTCAATAAATAAATTGGGTCAATTGGCTATAAATACCTTGTGTGCTATAAATATTTCTTATCAATTAAAACATTCAAGGCGTAACAATAATCACAAATACTACAAAATATTCTTGTCAAAAGCTGTATTATATATATTATCTCCTTCTGGCATCAACACTTTGTGGTGTAATTGTCAGGAAAACCTTCATGTGCACTCCAATACCCCCCTCCCCCCCAAACCAATACACTTAAAAAGCATTTGTACATCATCATCATAATGATCAAGTTGATCTGTGGCATTTTGAAGCTAAAGTAAAAAAAATCACTGGTTGAAGTGATGCACGTAGAAAAATTAATTAAAATCACTCTACACAGTGATTAAGATTCAAGTTCACTACATTAGTTAAAGTTATTATAACTAAACAACTAAACATACTAAAAAAAACGATTGTGAAAATTTGAGATATTTGTACTCTTGTCCACCCCCCCCCCCTCAAAAAAAAACCAACAGTTTCCTTCAAGCTACACCTTCAACAATGAGCAAAGCCCATACCGCATAGTCAGCTTTAAAAGACCCCTCTCTGGATTATGAATTTTACTCCCAATTTTCCGACTAATAAGCGAGTAGGAACGGTAATTTTAATTTAGACCTGGCCTAACATTAATTTGTTAGTTTGTCTGACCTTTCAAATAAGTGAGCAAAAAAAATAAAAAAGAAAGCATAGCACCCTCCCTTTTTTCAATTGATAAATGGTTTGGCAGTTATCGTGTTTTTGCCCTATGAAATATTCTTAAAAAATTAAAGATTTGATCTGATTGATAATTTTTTTGTAATCAATGAAAAGATGTTACTTTAGTAAGTCAGTTTTTGAAGGTAATTTGAAATTAATTTAAGGATCCTGACCAGGGACATGACAATGTGAGAGGAATAAACATTTTTTTAGAATTGAACCCTGATTTCATCCATGTATAATGGTAAATATGGAAACGAGTTCATGTAACCTTTTTACAGATAAATTTTAATTGCAATTTGAAATGATTTGGGTTTTAAGCACCTGGATAAATCAATTTTTTCTTCATGAATGATCTTGTGCTGGACAGTCAGGACCCCTTGCTGAACCAGATTACAACAAAAATGTTATCTGAATATAAATTTATAGAAATAGTTATATTCTGACAAAAAGATTCAAATGACCTAGGACTGCAAAATTTGACAACTTTTATGACCTCTGCATTCTGTTTCAACCCTTACAAAGACTAAAATCTGCAACAGAGTTCAATCATTGATGATTAGTCCTGGTCATTAAATAAAGATTAATATTCTGGTACTGGATTTCTAATAGAGGAGGGGTTTCTAATTGGAAATCACTTCTACCAGTGTTCTGTTGAAATCACTCTGAACAGTAAATAAAAGTCACTCAAGTCATCCCCCCTTTTTAGCTGACTGAGGCCGGAAGTGCCCTATGTGAGCTTATGTCATCACTTGGCGTCTGTCGTCATAAACTATTTCAAAAACTTATCCGCTGAAACTACTGAGCCAAATACCTTCAAACTTTAAATGAATGTTCATTAGGGTATCTAGTTTATAAATTGTATCCGAAGTTTTGATCCACCAACAAACATGGCCACCAATTCATTAAAGAACATTTAAATGGTATTTTTAAGCCACTCATTATTAATATATATTGAAAAGCAAAAATAATCATTGATGAAAGATTTAAGCAAAAAATAACAGGTAGGTGATTCAGGCTCTTGAGAGCCTCTGGTTTATTAAGATTCAATTGCTGTTGCACACATTTTGTTTCAGCCCTCTGAAATTATACAATTTACAACAGATTTGATTTGATTGATAAATATAGTTATTTTTTTAATTTGAATTAAAAAAAAACATATCTGTTTTTCACCATAGAAGTTAATTGGAAATACTGCTGGTATCAGAGATAAACACACATTTTAATTCACTCTGTGCAGTGATTTTAAGTCATTTGTACAAGTGATTAACATTCTAATTGAATGAAAATCACTCTGTGCTGTGATTTAAAATCATTTGTACCAGTGATTTACATTATTTCAAAATGTATGTGATGAAAAACACCCTTTGAAGTGTTTTATTTTTATTTATACCAGTGATCAATACTATTTTTTTAATGAATGATTATATTCCATTAACTTCACTACAAATTATAATTATGACCTGAAAATCTTATTTATTACTGTTTGAGTCTTTAGTTTTCTACAAATGTATGTAAAAATGTTTGTGATTTTTTTTGGTCATATATATATATATAGCATTTTCAGTTTATGAGTTTTTATTGTTCCTTTTTATGCCCCAGCTGTAGCGTAGGGGCATTAAGTTTTACCCTTGTCCATGTTGTCTGTACATCCCAAAATTGGTTTCCGTTCTCTAACTTAACTTTGCCTCAACCAAATGTAATGAACCTTATAGACAATGCTTATTACCGCCAAACTCAGCACGAGTACAAATATGGTAGCATCAGTTTTACAGTTTGTGAGTTATGTCCCTTTATTACAGTATATGCAAGCAGTTTATTTGAAAGAACATTTGAACAGATTGCTACTAATCATTTCTAATGGTATTGTTTGTTCAGAAAATAAATTTTTCTCCTTACAAGTTAGTTTTTATTTATTTTCACTTTTTAAACAGGTGTCTTCTATTAGCTAATGTCAAAATGACCCCTGTTGTGATGTTGTCCTCTGAAAGAGGGAGATAACCCTGGTTTCTTATTGAAACTTTTCCAAACATAATAATCACTTGAATGAGTGATTTTAAAAAATATTTCTAATCACTGGTAGAAGTGATTTTTAAAAAGTAATGAAAGGGAATTAACTCTAGTTTTGTTGAAAAAATCACTTGAGAAAGTGATTTTAAAAATCACTTGTACAAGTAACTCCCCTGACTGTAATCAGGACTTGTCCAGCAGATGCACAGGTTCATCAAATGGCACATCCAGTCAGAAAATAATAGTCCATGACAATATATTGGTATTTACAAGAACTCAGTAGCAAATATAAGTTTTAATTTATATTTTGATTATCGGCTGACATTTTGAGAAGGTTTGACTGTAAATATCTTACTCATTATTCTACCAAAAATCATTTTAAACATAAAGGCTGTTCCAAAAAAAAAACATCCTTTGGAAACAGGGAAGGCACTTTGAAATCTCTTTTAAGAGTGGGTGTCAAGTACAGGGAAAATGTAAGTAAAATTCTAAATTTGCCTTTTTATATGGTTACCCCTTTTTTCCCACTTTTACACAAGATAATGTTCAATACAAGAGCCAATAAGACAATAGATCATAATGACTATTCGATGTATGTTATAAGATACCATTTTCTCATCTGTAGCTTTTACACCCAATGTGTTTCTTTCTTCCCACACTCTATAAATCCACTTAGCATCCATGATTGGAGTACCATAACCAACAGCAAACTGAAAGAATAAAAAAGTAATGATTTAAAAAAAATATTTTTACAAAGAAATAAATAAACAGCTGCGCCATGAGCGCATGATACGCCCGTTGTCTTGTGTGTGAATTTTTATGCAATAAGCATAAATAGTTTCTGACATACGGCGTGACATGCGAAAACCCCCCTTTTTTTTTACAAAAAACTCAATATCTCTAAAATAAAATTTTGAATCAAAACCAAAAAGTATACAGATCTTAAGATTAATATAACTAAGAAGTGTGTAAAGTTTTAAGCAATAATCATAAATCGTTTTTGAGATACGGTGCGACATGTGAAAACCCCCCCTTTAAAAAAAAAAAAAATCAATATCTCAAAAATGAAATTTTGAATCAAAACCAAAAAGTATACAGATCTTAAGATTAATATAACTAAGAAGTGTGTAAAGTTTTAAGCAATAATCACAAACTGTTTTTGAGATACGGCGCGACATGTGAAAAACCCCTCCCCTTTTTTTACAAAATACTCAATAACTCAAAAATAAAATTTTGAATCATCACCAAAAAGTATACAGATCTTAATGTTAATATAACTAAGAAGTGTGTAAAGTTTTAAGCAATAATCATAAACTGTTTTTGAGATACGGCGCGACATGTGAAAAACCCCTCCCCCTTTTTTAAACAAAATACTCAATATCTCTAAAATAAATTTTGAATCATCACCAAAAAGTATACAGATCTTAAGATTAATATAACTAAGAAGTGTGTAAAGTTTTAAGCAATAATCATAAATTGTTTTTGAGATACGGCACGACATGTGAAAAAAAACACACACCTGTTTTAGTTACTAAGTCCAGTAACTCAAAAAGTTTTAATCTTATTTTCACCAAAAAGTATACAGATCGTTTGACCATCATAAGAAACAACTATGTTAAGTTTCATGAAATTTGGATAAGTCATTCTCAAGTTACGGTGCTACATGTTAACGCCGGACAGACAAACAGACAGACAGACGGACGCCGGACATTTGTATACCATAATATGTCCCGTCAAAAATTTGACGGGCGTATAAAAATAAATGAAGAATGTGTCTGAGGACATGAATGCCCCCCCCCCTCAAGCTTTGCAATTTTCCAAGTTAGAAAGGGGCATAATTCTAGAACGGTAAGTGACTCTCTACCCAAATTTGTACACTGTCTGCATGTTGTGGTTCTTAGCATTGGGAATGAATTTCATAAAATTTGCAAGAGGCAAACTTTAAGAGTGCGGAAATGAACTCTGTCTGCGAGTTTTTGTTGTTAGCATTCTGTTTGAGTTTCAGAAAATTTGGACGAGGAAAACTTAAGTTAGAGTGCGGAAACGAAATTGGACATACTGAAGGACGGTCAAGGGTGACACTCAATCCCCCCATTGCCTAGGGCCGAGGCATAAAAAGCAACATGAAAGAACTAGCATTGACTTTTAATAAACTGTTAACACAGATATGTCTCGCCTGTCAGCAGAAAATAAAAAAAAAAAAAAATGGAGAATGTGTCCTCGGGACAAAGATGATGCCCCCGCTTGCATATGTTATAAAGGAGCATAACTTGAGAATGGTAAAAGTGACGCCACCCAAATTCGAACTTGATCTGTGGTTTGCGGTAATAAGCATAACATTCGGTTGAAGCAAACTAAAGTTAGAGATCAATAAACTGTTATCACAGAGATATGTCTCGCCTTTTTGTAATTTTGATAATGCAAATGTTGAAATTAAAATAGCAATACTTTATCATGTAAGTTATGCAAATATTCAAAGTCGATGAACCATGACTGAAGGTACATGGCTAAACAATCTCCATAGAATGAGATGTGCCAATGCTAATACAACTGCATACCAAATACCATTGACTTATTATAAGTCGTTCCCTTTAAACAAACCTAAACACAAACATTTACTTGCAAACTATGTAAAAGTTTCGAGGTCAATGAACCATAATGAGGGGGTGGGGATATATATATAATCTCCATGGTTATGAAACTTGTAAATGCCAATACATTTGCATACCAAATATCATTGACTTAACATTAGTGGTTCATCTTAAACTGACCCAATCACAAACTAATACATATATAAACTTAGCAAATAAACCATGACTGAGGGGTAAGGACCAAATATTCTCTATGGAAATGAGATGTGCTATGCTTATACAACTGCATACCAATTATCATTGACCTACCACTAACAGTTCCCCTTAAACTGACCTAATCACAAACTAATACATGAAAACTATAAAGCAAAAGTTTTAAAGTCAATAGACCATGACTGAGGGGTCAGGGCCAAATAATCTCCATGGAAACGAGATATGCCAATGCTTATATAACTGCAAACCAAATATCATTGACCTACCACTAGTGGTTTCCCATGAACAGACCTAATCACAAACTAATACATTGTTGACGCAGCCGCAAACATCAGCATACCAATGTCTCGCTTTTTTGACTCCATCAAGGCGAGACAAAAAATAATAATCAATTGATAAGTAAGTTTAAATATCTTAAAAACGGTCTTGCATTGCCAAGATCATAATTAATTAATATATTTGTTCTTTAAATTATTTTTAATATGAATTCAGAAAAAAAACCTTTTTATCACTTGTTGAAAACGTATAGTAAAACTCAGGTTATTTCAAATCGTGTGAGATTGTTTGCGGTATTTTCACGGAGACGGCCATTTTCCATCATCAAGTAGACGTTGTCAATGCATGTAAATATTTCTAGAACACTTCTCGAGTGTTCAAATATGACAAAATCACAAAAAGTAACATTGGAAAAGTTGTATTTGTCATTTAACTCTTTATCTACCACTGACGGATATATACGTGGTTTTTATCATCGTTCTGTCCGCAGTGACTGATAAATCCGCTTGCATCATCAAGCGTGTATTCGCAGTGACTGATAGATCTGCTGTAAACATACACTTGTGCAGTCCCGGCGACAGATATTTCTGTAAAATATACCATTGTTAAAACCCTTTAGATTGTACAAAACTGTTGGGGAATCCCGAAATGAATCAATGAAATTCGGTTTTACAAATGAATAATCTTTCAACTCATACATTCCTTTTCTATAAAAAGTGTGTGTTTACATATAATTATGAATTTTACACGTGTTCGGAATGCGACTAAAACAATGGCGGATGAATGGGCTTCTTTGTTCAAATCATATAGCGAAAGTAAAGAATTTGAAGGATTTATGCAATTAGAAAGCAAAATTGGAAGTATAGGAAGGGATAATTTAGCTTGTCGGAACAAGATTGTGAGTCTTCCGAGGATGAAGAAGCCAAACATGGACAAATAATTTGAAAACTTTTTACGTCCATTTACGGCAGCTATCAAGCTTGATAATGAAAAGAAAGAAATTGATTTGGTATTTGTTTCATTTTTCAATTAATATACAATAAATACTGATTACCTAATTAAAAATTTAATTAGAGTACTCATAACACAGCCTTAACAATTTGTGAAAAATTCTCTCACTGCAAATTATCTCTGGTAGTTAACCTACAATTCAGCTGCAGTAGCTAACTAATCAGCAGTGTGTAGTAGTGAACTGTAAAGGTACCTGTGGTAGATAAGAAGTTAATACTGGAAATTGAGGAATAAGTACATGTCAATTGAAAACAAATACGGTGTGATATGTGGTGGAAAATTTGTACTTAATGGTTTACAAAAATATACAATTTTGGATATTAAACAGTGTCGTCCTTTAGTAAATTAATGTTAAATGTATTCATCACAATATAATTTCAAGGACCTTCAGCTAAAACTAAGCACATGCAGCAGTCTGTAACATCAAATCCTGAACAAAAAACCGACCACGTTTTGTAGTTTATACATCGTTGTGCTGGTTCCCAGCTTACTACTAAACTTTGTATGTAGCTTAAATACAAGCTGATTCCAGTTTACATTGTGCAACATTTGAAAAGAAATGAGAAATTTTTAATGAAGCATAAAATTTTGATATCTACCAGTAAATATTAGATTTCAAATTTAAATTGCATATCAATATTGATTAGGTAAATGATAACAGTTTTGATAAGAAAAAAGAGCACCCTCTACAATTTCAATAACAAAGATGGTGGAACATAAAACAAACATTGCAAAATCAAGTTTTTTTCTTGTTTCTTGCAATTTAATGTTGGAGTATATAATCTTGGACAATTAAATTCTGAATTTGGGGAAGCATTTTTTTGTATTTCGTCAAATATCAGATCATCTGCATTTGGATTGAGAATTTTTCAAAAAACATGAGGCGGCATTAGGAAAATTTACTGAAAATCAAGGACAACATAAACTTTTCCCTGAAGCTTCTCTAGAGCGAAGTGAGGAGTCCTAGGACGACTTAATCACTCACTTCGCCTTTTGTGGTGACCCCTGGATCTATCACAAGTGGTTCCTATCCAATTGACTTAAGCAGAAAACTTAACATTGAAAATTGCTTATTAATTCAAAGTCAATGGACCATGACCTAAGGCCAGGGCCTCAAAATAGTGGTCAAACTGATATGTACTAATAGTAATGCAACTTTATGTTCCTATCAAATTAACTAAAGCAGAAAATTGAACAATTGTTGACGCATCCTCTGCTGTCACCACCAGAAAAGCAACACCTATGTCTCGCTTTCCATGACCTTCGTCGCAGGCAAGACAAAAATAAGCTTGCCTGCTGAAGTACTTGAACAACTACAAAATGTGAAGCAGGAAAATGAAGTGAGCATCATAGGATACCTCCGAAACACATGAACCTGAGGTCAAGGTCATTCGACATAACTGGTTTACCATGTTTACACAGTCTTAATAAAAACAACCTCTATACAAAATTTTTTTAAAACTGTAAGTGTAATAAGATAAAAAGCTATAGAGAAAGGGGTTAGAAGATTAAAAGGTTTTTGCATGCAATAACACAGTTTGGTGATACCAAACTTCATTTGCTAATTGTGTAGACAAGATTATTCAAAAATTTCAGTAATATCAAACATTGGTTGTTTTTTTGCTTTGTTAAAAACTTAAATATACACAAATGAGTCTAGCAGGGTTTTAGCTAGGATTCACAATTTCACTTCAGTTATTTTCAGGGGACATTCCTGATCAACAAAAGCTGAGTTCCTTTTTTTTTTAAACCAGGAATAACAGCATAAATGAACTTGTAATAACTATTTCACTGCATAATCATTATCCCTGTAGAACGTTTAAATCAATATTTGGAATTCATTTCTATAAACTTGGAACCAATGATTTGTACATATCCTTGTTGGAACGATTCTAATGATTTTATTGTAAATTAATAGATCACTTTCACTTTTGATTTATAAAAGAAATGAAGACAGAAAGTAACAAGAGGATAATAAATTCAGAATGAATCCGGAATCATCTACGGATTGGTTCATGTTTAACAAAAGGTAGGAAATTATCGTTTTTTAAATTAAGTTGCTTAGTAAGAAATATATTTGACTCTCGTTTAATTTGATACTAATTTGATTTCGTATTTTACGTTTGAGTGTTTAATCTATAAGAATACTTTCACGCATGCGCAGTACATAGCAAAGAAAGCACCTGTTTGACTCCTGAAAATATTTCTGAAATTTTTGAATAAATTTCTATCTTTTTAAACGAAATTGTCGAAAGCTTTTGATGAAAAGTTATATAAAATATGACGAAAAAACGTTCATATGACAAATCTACAAGAAACAAACCGCAAATTGTGATCCTTTGAGAAATATCGAAATTCAAATACAAACTGTCCGGGGAACACAATTTTGTTCAAATGATGAAACTATGATAAACAAACTGCAAATTGTGGTCATTTGAGAAATAATGAAATTGAAATGCCTACTTACCGATTTTACTGGGAAAAATAATTATGATGGTCAATTATGAGGTTTGTTAATTAACGGATAAGTGACCCATCTGATGGCGATAGCATGACCTGTTATCACAACTTATAACACGTCAGGGATGGGCACGATTACTGACAAATGTAATCGATTAATAATCGATTACATGAAGGATTTTTGTGCAATCGATTAATAATCGATTACTCAGATTTTAGTATGTAATCGATTACAATCGATTACTTTATCAAAAGTAATTACATTACTTTTCGATTACTGTCAATTACATGCTTCAAAATTTCAACAAAAAAATAAGTAAGTAAAACACAATTATGTTGCTCAACATTTATATAGTGGAAATTAAGAACTTTACCAAAAGCAGCATTTAAAGCATTGTTTCTAAATTATAAGTTAACAGCTGTTTTCTAGATCAAATCTCTTACTGAGGATTAGAAATATTTAAAAATCTTGAAATTTTGACTTTCAACATGAATGAGAGATGACGTCTCATTGCAACAATCACTTATTCATATTATAATTTTTTTCAAAAATTTTGCTTTCTTACTTTTTTAAGTAAGCTTTTATGTTTTACTCTTTAAAACAGGTTGTAAGCGTTAATTAGCCAAGGGTCATAAACTTGTCAGAAACATGAAAACAGGTAGAATTATAGTATTTTCATGCAAAAATATTTTTACACTTTCCAAATTAAAGTGACGAAATTGTTTTGAAATACTTCATTTTGAAAACTGTTTCATAAATGATGAAAATGATGAGCGCTAGCTAAATCACTGAGTTTAGTCACTGAAACACAGACCTTATTAAAATAAAAGAATTTCTATTCTTGAACATGCAGAAAACCAACCTTTAGGAAACGCTTGTGCCTTTAGGCAAAACTATTTACATACCCTGTATTTGAAACCATCTATACAGTTAGCTACCAGATGGGTTACTTTTGGTGATATATCTTTTCTTACACTTCCACCCATATGATGAATTAAGTCAGCCAAAGGACTCTACAAAAAATAAAGTATATTACAACATTATCAATATTCGGAACAAATTACAGAAAAATCATAACAGCTGGCATCTGTAAATGGCTGGGAATGCACACACCAACACTGATTTGGAGGCATGACAAGTGTACAACAGGAGTCACTTCATTGAGGAAAACTCAAAATAAATAAACTGTTTACACAGAGGTTTGTCTTGCCTGTATGTAATTTTGATAGTTTAATTGAAAATGTAAATTTGAAATGTCAACACTTTAACATGTAAAACTATGCAAACTTTCAAAGTCAATGAACCATGAAATTGAATAAGGGCACAGGTACGAATTATCTCTTTAGAGATGTGCTAATGCTAGTACAACCACATATCAAATATTATTGACTTACCATAAATGGTTCCCCTTTAACTGACAATCATAACCCGTAACATGGCCAGTGCAAACATTTCAAAGTAAATCAACCATGATGGAGGAGGCATTACAATATAATCTCCATGAAAATGAGATGCGCTAATGCTAATACAACTGAATACCAAATATCATTGACTTCAAAACAACTGAATACGAAATATCATTGACTTCAAAACAAATTTCAGTATGTTTTACTATGAACTATCAAAAACATTGTTTATATATAGTTAGAAAATTCAATGTTTAAACCATTCAATTTCCCGACATTGTTTCGGTTTTATGCACTGACCATATTCGAAACATTTTCAACTTTACTCAAGTTTCATTGTTTTATTCAGTGGGAAAAATTTGGTAATCAAAGTGCCAGCATGTCCTTAAAAATGATTGGCTGCTTAAAAGTTTGCATGGAGGGTCATGCCAACATGACCCCTTATGCTTTCAGATCTTGCACGAACAACAAAGCAAATCTAATTTAGCAAAGTGAAAGATCTGATTTTAATTAGATTGTACTAACCACTTCTTCTCTCCTACTAAAACCAGTAAAGCAAACAATAACACCCTGCATAGCTGTACAAAATAATGGTCTTGTGTGCTGTGGTATTGGCTAGAAAAAAAATCAAAATATTCAAGATATGAATCTAATTTCTAATAACTATACATTTGTACATTATATTCAATCAACAGGTGTATGACACATTGACTTTTCAAATTCTTATGATCCTGTTGCATGCTACTTCAGCTTTCATAACCAGTAAAACAGACATAAGTCCATTAAATATCTCTTTTCTCTATAATAATACTACAACATATGGTGTTAAATATATATTGGGACTGTGGACAAGAGTTTTTCTTTAAACACTGTAGTCTTTGAGTAATATTATAATCATAGACTGAAATTTGATACAAAACAGTCTATGAAAGTTACGAGTCCAGCAAATGATGGCAAGTATACTTCAAAAATCCAAATTTTAATACACAAACTGTAGTCTGTACACTTTTGGCATGAATGAAAATCATCAATTTTGAAGAATTCCATTTATCAGTGTTTGCAAGTGAAACAATTTGTTGTCACTAGACAGTCAGGGATATAACTCTATAGGGTTATTACAGAAAATATCTTGCATGTGTTATTACAGATCTATTCTTTCATGAGTTGTCTACTCTTTAATCCTTAAATTTTCTAAATCTGTAATAACATATGTTTGTTATTTGTAAAATAAATCATAAATATTTTAATTTTTAGTGGGCTCTAGGGAACTCTTGAAAATTTGTGCAGAAACTAAATGCATAGCCTTGATAACTAATTTTTGAATTAAATTAATACATTTTTCATTAACCATTGTAAATCAATGAGACAAAGCTTTTAAGGGATAAACTTAGCTGTAATAACAAGGCTTAGTTGTTGTAGGCATGTAACTTATTATATGAGACACTTGGGAATTACTGGGAAGCTTGCGCAGAACCTCATTACATGCTCTGATCATTATTTCTTACAATAAATTAAAATACATTGTAATTAAGCATGATGTATGTCTGAGCAAATGCTTTGGAGTGATGTAGAGAAGCTGTAATAACACCCTTTAGTTATTACAGGCATATTTTTTTCTGTAATAACATAAGTGTACTATGCATGATTGGCAAACTATGAACTGTTATATCTTTCTATAGTTAAGTATACATAAAGACAATAGTAAAATCAATAGAACTTGTATGCATTTTAACAAAACTAATGATGTATATTGTCCCTTTGAAACATGTAACATAAATATGTTATCACAGTTCTTTGATTTTTTAGTCCACAATAACAAATGTACGTTATTTTTCTCTAATAACCCTATAGAGTTATATCCTTGACTGCTAGATGTTCATGTACCTGTTTGTCTTTACACTTATAATAAGGGCATACAATAAAGAGGAGATCGTATGCTGATTTTCTTTCCTCCTAAAATTTAGAGTAATTGTTGATGCTGATTGATATGAACTCTCTAAATATAAGAAAAATATACTTTCATGATTTACTTTTTAAGATGTTAAAGTTTGAATTTGATGTAAAAATAACATTTCTAATAAAATTCAACAATACATAAAATTCTTTGAAGACTGTATTTCAAACTTTTGAAGTACTGTTAACCAACTATTATTTTGCGAGTGATTTATTTTCGCTACTAGAAAAATAATGTGAATGTCAATTGTAAAGAATATGTGAAACTTGGAACTTTCCTTATACAAATACTTAAAGCAGTTGAAGAAATCAGGAAAATTTATTACCATGACAATTGTTCGAGAGGTTCAAATGGGAAATAAAGTATCTGGGAACATAAGTTGGTTTACAAAATAATTTGTTTTATATTTGGTTGAGTTGTTGTCTATTTAACGTTTAACCTGTAAAAATTGACCTTATCATTTAACATGTTAACAATGAAAATGTGGACAAGGTAATGTAATAACTGTCAGAGACAAATGTACCCCCTTCAATCATTTTATAGTCAATTATAATTAACTGGAAAAAATTCCAGTTCTCAAACTTATTTTCTCTCCTGTAAAACAGGTTTTGCCTGTTATGTTTGTCTATTTTAAATTGGTTTTTTTAACTTGTGCTTAAAGTGCATTGAATTATATAAGGAAACACTTGAAGATTTCTCAATTGATGTAAGACCTTTACAATGCCTTGTATATAAAAATTAACATAATCAGTTTATGAAGTATCAAAATATTATTCAGGGGAATGCACTTATAGAGAAATCAGTTCATATTTCAAAGTACAGTTTAGTGCACTTAAGGCAAAAGTCACTGTTGAACAAAAATCCTTATCATATCTCTTTGACAGGAGGAAAGCTTACAAACTTTCAGAAATGAAATTTTCCAGGTACTTGTATGAACTAAATGCTTATAAGTGAAGCATATTACTTTTTTATCTATAGCACACTGAAATATGATAGGTGGGCCTACTATCCAGGTCTCTGCTTTATGTAATTTATGGAATACATGGCCTTCAAAGTTTTCCAGGACAAATGCTGTATCCCATTCTGAGGCATCCTGAACACAATCAAGTCCATCTTCAGAGTTTACATAGGCAATTTTTAATTCCTGGAAATGGAAAAAATGAGTTAAGTGAATCACAAATACATTCAAATTGAGTTTCCTATATGTGAGCTTATTATTACAAATTTAATGTCAATAACTTGCAATTTTTCCAAAATAGTAGTAGCAATTAATATCAGCAAATTCACAAACTGGTTGTGATCAACATTCCAAATTAAACAAGTACATTTCAATTGGCAAATTTGAAAGTATTCTGAAGCATTAAATAAAAAGGAATAGAGATAAATTTAGATCAATTACTCATATGGTCAGGTTGTGCAGAATATCTGCATTACTGTACATACCAAGTTTGAATCATATAATTTCTTTACTTGCATATTATGACTAATAAAATTCATAGGATCACCTGACTTAACTGGAATAAAATTGTATACCACTGGTATACCTGTATTGTGATTGCCAAAGTCAGGTGATCCAATTCATACCTCAAGTGTTGTTTTCAATTTTTCATTTTTTTGAGTATCTTTGCCAACAAGAACCACCTTACAACTGTCTTTTGTGTCTGAAATAGTTCAAATACAATAATCTCAATTAAAGTGGTTATCAGCAGTTAAAAAAATATGGAAAGAAAATACACCACTACTTCAGTACATGTTTATCATAGATGTATAAAAGCACACTTTGGAATCATCATAGTAACGGTTTTCACTTTCCCATTTAAAGCACATGATTAGCCTGTCCAACCAATGGGTATCAGATTATAAGACACTTTGTGACATTATGCTGTACTTTATTCTTTTGGAATTGAAAGGATTGTATATATATATATATAGACACTGGCTACGGTTACATTGAAATGTAACAACAATAAAAAAGTTATTGTTACATTGGAGACTAATTGCCGGAATGCAGGGTTAGGTAAGGAACTAATTAATTACGAATGTAACAATAATATTCTTGTCTACGGTTACATTGTGTTATTGTTTAATGTGACGTTAGATTTTTTAACCTTCTATATAATTTTGTTGCTTAATTCTTCGATATGTACTTCATAATAATAATAATAATTATAATATTTATTATTATTATTATTATTACAGGGCTCACACTACTTCAAAATCATAGGGAGAAGTGACTTCTCTTTTTGAAACTGGTAGGGAGAAGTGGTGAGATTTGAAAGAAAAGTGCTCGTTCGCTCGCGGCGCTACAATGTTTGGTTTTAACTATATTATAAAGGGCCATAAGAATCCTTTTTTTTAAATAGGTGTTCAATTCATACCCGAGTCAAAAAGTAACAGTTGTTTCAGTTTATGTCTTAAATAATCATTTATAGTTGCATAATTATATTAATCCTCTTGTCAGAATCTACCGACTAAATATCTAGCACTTAAAAGAACTTTTTTACATCAAAAAGGAAAAAAAAGTATCTTATAGCAATTTAAATGCAATTAAAAAACTATTCTTTTTATCTTCTTAATGAAATTCACTTTTTCTCATTAAAAAGATTTATAAATTTAACTAAGTTAAGCAACTTTAATTAATAAATTGAAACAATGCATTTAAATGGAAATATATACATTTAGCAAGGAGATTTAACCAAAAGTCTGTTAATGGGTGTGGAATGCGTAATTTTCACTTTTGGGGTCATTATTCTTTTGTCAGCTGTTCAATTCAGGCGTCTGTAGTTATTATAGTAAGAATACAAATTTCGGTCATAGCGGGTCCGCTTCCGATGAATCCTGCCTCCAATCCATGGTTCGTACAAATATTTCAACGGCGGACGAAGAAAATTTACAAAAATAAACAAAGTTTGATAAGCGATTAGGAAAGGAATATGACGCTTTTAATGCAATCAATGGATCAACCATTAACTAAAGGCAATTTTGATCACTTTCTAATGAAGTATCAAACTTTTTTTGCCGAAAATTAGATCTCAAGTAACAAATACCGGAAGTGAAAGAAAATACATCATAAAGTTGTTTCTTTGAAATAACGTACGACCGATCTGTAAAGTCAATACTTTCACATCTTTTCTCAAGAAATAAATTGTTTGTTTTTTATATTCTTCACTTTTAAATGAAAAATATGCTGTTTCATTGACCATGTTGACTTGGTAAGAAGGGGAAATTGCTATATATATATAGATTAACCCCATTACATTCTGTGTGTGCCTGTCCTAAGTAAAGTCTAAAGAGCCTGTAATTTTGCTAAAAATATCAAAAGGACCTAAGAGCTACAGTTCCGCAGCTATAAAATTATAAGGCTGTTAGTATTCTCGTTTGAATTGTTTTACATTTGTCATTTCAGCACCTTATTGCTTGCATTGCAGTTTTAGTTTTGATCATTACTGAAGGCCATATGGTGACCTATGGTTGGTGACCAATAGTTGTTAACTTGGTCTCTACTAGACTCTAGTGGAGTGTTGTCTCAATTTGGCAATCATACCACATATGATTTCTTACTTTTATATTATAAATCTTAAAATATTAAATGTGCCAGTCAAGTATGCGTTCTATATTGGGCAAAAGGCGTCTCTTAAGTACAATTTAGGATTCATTCCAGTCGCCATTCACATATTTCCGACCAAAAACAACTGGAGCCCTATAGTGCTCGAGTGAGTTGGGTGAATCTTAAACACGAAGGGAGAACAGTAAAACCCTGATTTGCCTTTGTTATTTACATCATCAAAATATTGAAAAATTGAATTTTATATGAGGCCTTTTAACTTAATGTTATAACAACGTGCCATCATCTAAGGGTACGTCGGGCTTTGTTTTACACTCCGACATTGTTTCCATAACTTGAAAATGGCGCTGTTCAAACAAACCTCAATTTTGATTGGCTTATAAATTTGAAGAAAAATTCCCATAGTTCAAAACAAAAACAGGAAGTAGCATACTGTCAAGAAAAATGTCAACAAATACAAATTAGTTCCAATTCCAAATGAATTGGACGACTACAATACAAGCTTACTGGTAATTAAAGAAATAGTAATTTCGATTTAATCCTTTTCTTTCGGTCAATTCACCACGATTTAATAAAATTGTTAGTTTTGATCATCAAGAAAGTGAAAAAAAATAGATTTTATGTTAATAATTTGTCAAAATGCAATTTATAACATGCTTTTTGAAAAAATATTATAAAAAACTGGGTCACAGAGCTATTTCAAGCTTCAGGCTGTGAAAAGTTTTCAATATTTTGTATAGCTTATACATGAAAAAAAAATAATTTGATATTGGAACTGAGAAGACTTAAAGTAGTAGGGTGCAAAGCGTCCAAAAAGTCCTCTAGTTAACGAGTTTAAGCTAACGGATTACACACGGCTAATTTTAGGAAAATCATTATATTTTACAATCATGATTGTCATCGTAAGTTCCTGTGGTCACGACTTTTTAAATTTCATGTTTTTACAGGGTACCCCAGATTCCATTTTGTACGTGGAATCTTTAACATGAAAAATAAAACTATTACGCTTTTTGTTGGTGGCTAAAATAGTACTTATAATATAGTTTATATATTAAATATATCTTATTACAAAAGCGAAAGTATTTAAGTGATTTTAGTATAAGTATTTCAGCATTTTAATAAGATTAAAATTTTACGCGAAATTTACCACATTTTCATCGAAAGCAAAATTATTACATGTTTCATCATGATATTTTTTACTCTGATTAAAACAATAAGACAGTGCATGCATATATGTGTGTGCCAAATTTCATGTGTGAAATAAAAGTCGTTTTGAAGAAATTAGCAATTAAAAACACAAATTAATATAAAAAAGAAGATGTGGTATGATTGCCAATGAGACAACTCTTCACAGGAGACCAAATAACACAGAAATTAACAACTATAGGTCACTGTACGGCCTTCAACAATGAACAAAGCCCATACCGCATAGTCAGCTATTAAAGGCCCCGAAATGACAAATGTAAAACAATTCAAACGAGAAACCAACGGCCTAATTTATGTACAAAAAAATGAACGAAAAACAAATATGTAACACATCAACAAACGACAACCACTGAATTACAGGCTCCTGACTTGGGACAGGCACATACAAACAGAATGTGGCGGGGTTAAACATGTTAGCGGGATCCCAACCCACCCCCTAACCTGGGACAGTGGTGTTACGGTACAACATAAGAACGAACTATAAAAATCAGTTGAAAAAGGCTTAACTCATCAGATGGATATAAATAGAAATACATCTAACAAAAACACAGAGTGGACGTGGCCTGGTACTTGTACATCCCAACAACAAAAAGACACTAAGTACAGATCTAAGAGTACTCGCAGTTACTGACAGCTAGTTCAAAGCCAATAACAACTAATAAAAAAAATCATGCATCTAAGACTAAATTATCAAACATTACACATTCAACATCCAATGGATTCAGTGTATAGACATCATAAACAGTCAGAGAAAAACATGTCCTTGTGCAAGAGACAGGTTCCAACAAATTGTAGATCCATGAATGTGCATATGTATAACAATAATATTTAGTTTGCTTTTAATTTACTGATAACAAAATCAATATCAATACCAATAAAAACAATATTAAAAGATCTAATTACAGTGTTGAATTGGTAACCTTTTAGAATAATTTTATTTAAAGGATCGATAAAATTACCAGGATTGTTTCTAAATTTCCGGGCACGGTAGACAACATCTCCGTAAAAATAGTCAACATTTTGACATCAATTAAACACAGATTTTCTATTGCCATTAATCATTTTGTAGCTTACACTATTAGGTCATTAACAAGGACAGTGATCACTCAATACATTTCTCATTTTTGCTTGTTTTGTGGTTGATTTATTTGTTTTGAATAGCCAGCTAACTTTGTAGATTGTTATTAGTCCCCTACCAACAAAGTCGAAGGGGACTTTAGGTTTGCACTCTGTCTGTCTGTCCATCCGTCAGTCCGGCAAATCAGTTTTCCACACTTTTTCTTCGTGCTTGAAGATATTGATTTGATATTTGGTATATTGTTTTATCATGAAGTTACAGATCAAGTTCGAATTTTGTTCCTGTCTGATGATTTTGTGCAGAGTTATAGTACTTGGACTTAGAAAATTCACTCAAATATTCAGTTTTCTGCACTTTTTTTCGTCATGCTCGAAGATATTGAATTGATAATTGGTATATAGTTTTATCATGACAAGTTACAGATCAAGTTCGAATTTTGTTCTGGTCTGATGATTTTGTGCAGAGTTATGGTACTTGGGCTTAGAAAATTCACTGAAACAAGCAGTGTTCTACACTTTTTTTCGTCTTGCTTGAAGATATTGACTAGATATTTGTTATATAGTTTACAACATGACAAATTATAGATGAAGTTAGCATTTTGTTCCAGTACAATGAATTTTTAACTGGTAGGGGACTATGTTTTGCCATGCAATACTCACAGAATGCTTGTTTTCTTTGGAGGAATATGTTTTGTGTCTGTTTTTCAAAACTTTAAACTTTTTATTGACCAGATATTTTTGTTATTAAGATATTTGGTATATTGTTTTATCATGACAAGTTACAGATCAAGTTCGAATTTTGTTCCGGTCTGATAATTTAGTCCAGAGTTATGGACCATATCTAATGTCAGAGTACTATGTTAAACCATATTTCTGTACAAAGGGAGATAACTCATTTTTTAAAAGACATTCATTGTTAAATTATTTGAAGAATTTTTTAGCAGGTTTGTTTGTTATTAAGTATAAACTAATTTTCGGAATGCTATATATATATATATAAAGAAAAATTTATGAAGAGAAATCCTTTAATTAGATAATAATCTATTTTAATTAATGTATATATTTCAATACATTACACTGTGTAGATAAATGTTGTTGACATTTTATAGATAAGTTACAAATCTATATTAGTTTGTGACAAATGAAAGAAAGAATATTTGGAACTATTAATTATATTTGATTATAATTTGAAAATAGATATACACTGTATGACTTCATATCTAATTTTAGAGAACTATTAAACATATCTAATGATTTTTCACTCATATAATCAGTTTTCCACACTGTTTTTAGTCATGCTTGAAGATTCAAGATATTGACATGATATTTACTTTTTGTTTACACCATGACAAGTTATAGAACAAGTTAGCATTTTGTTCCAGTAAAACAAATTTTTACCCGGTAGGGGACTATATGTATTGCCATGCAATACTCTCAGAATGCTTGTTCATTTTCAAAATCCACTTCCCCTCCCCCTTTCAAAATCAAATGGTCATCCCCTTACAAAAAGCTAATGAAAGGACGTCATCAATAGTCCAACAAAGTCGAAGGGGACTTTAGGTTTGCACTCCGTCTCGTCTGTCTGTCTGTCCATCCGTCAGTCTGGCAAATCAGTTTTCCACACTTTTTTTCTTCGTGCTTGAAGATATTGATTTGAAATTTGGTTAATAGTTTTATCATGACAAGTTACAGATCAAGTTCGAATTTTGTTCCGGTCAGATGATTTTGTGCAGAGTTATGGTCCTTGGACTTAAAAAATTCACTCAAATAATCAGTTTTCTGCACTTTTTTTTGTCATGCTTGAAGATATTGATTTAATAATTGGTTAATAGTTTTATCATGACAAGTTACAGATCAAGTTAGAATTTTGTTCCGGTCTGATGATTTTGTGCAGAGTTATGGTCCTTGGACTTAAAAAATTCACTCAAATAATCAGTTTTCCACACTTTTTTTTCGTCATGCATGAAGATATTGACTTGATATTTGTTATATAGTTTACACCATGACAAGTTATAGATCAAGTTAGCATTTTGTTCCAGTACAATAATTCTTAACCGGTAAGGGACTATGTATTGTCATGCAATACTCTCAGAATGCTTGTTTTTGTTAAATTGTTTTGTTATAAATTAGGCCGTTAGTTTTCTCAAATGAATTGGTTCAAATTTTTCATATCGGGGCCTTTAATACCCTACCATACAGTATGGCTCATGGGTTTTTCATTGTTGAAGGCCGTACGGTTGCCTATACTTGCTTACTTTCACGTCTCCTTATATTTATATTATACAATGAGTTTTACCTCAAATTAACATTATCAATGTTCCATATAAATGAGGTAAGGTAAGATAAACTCTTCCACAAAGAGATTTACACCTTGCTACCATTCCATACACCAAAAATATTTGACCACTACTTATAGTATCTGAGATACGGACTTGACCACTGAAACTAAACCTTGTTCACTGATCCACGAAATGAGGTCGAGGTCAGGTGAACCATGTCTGACGGACATATAAACCTTGCAAGGATACCATATATAAGTAACCAAATATAGTTATCCTAGAACTCATGATAAGTGATTATATTACTGTGATACATTCACATGACGAAAAAAAGCTATACAGTTTTTTAGCAGTCACTAAACAATGAAAATGAGGTCAAGGACAATGATTATATGACAGAAGGAAACTCCTATATACAAAGTATGAATCATCCAATTCCTCTACCCTCTGAAATATGAAGCTATAAAATAGTTTACGGTGTTGCCGCCGCCACCATCAGATTCAGTTCTGCATGCCCCATATTCTGTGACTTGCGTCGAATGCGATTTAAAAGAGAATAACTGAAATTAGCTCTCTAACCTAAACCTGGTCGGTGGGCTTCCAACTTAACAGTAGACAATGAAACTTAATAGCTACTACTTAAGCTTCGGTAATTTGTCTATGTTGTTTCAATCTGATTAAAATTCTTATCTATATAAACTTGCATGCTCGTATATATAAGCACATATGAGGGTAACGAAATCAGAGATCTATACTTCAATTATATTGATGTTGTTTACAAGTGTTTGTAAAATACATCAATGCTGTACATAATTAACCCTCTTTTTGTAGATATTCTTTAACTTCATGTCAATTGTAGGCCAATTTATGCTCAATAAGTCAAATACAGTACACTTGATATAAGTGTGTAAGATGGAGTGATTAACCTGTTTCTAATTGTCATTTTGTTTTCACATAACTTGAACAGAAACCCTCCTCCCTTTTCACCGTTTGCAGTTTTTTTCTTATTTCTATAAAGCAAAGATATACAATGTACTCAGACCTGCTAATTCAATCCATTCTGAGTTAATATTACACCAGTTTTGGAATAAATTACAATTTGATGTGCTTCCACACTCACCAAAGGAAAATTGGATATTTACCCAGAAAATCATTACGAACACCTTCTATAAAAAGACAGAAAAATAACATTTTGGGAGGGCAACTTATAAATGTTAATATCTAAAAACATCTCTAGAGATCACTTATATCGAATCTTGTGTAAAAAGTCAGAATTTGGAAATTTTAATAGGTCAAGGTCACTGTTATTTAACAGCTGAAAGAAAATTGTAAATGTGCAACCTGTAAGTACAAATGTCAATCTCGAACCATATTTGGCAACAGAAACATCTAATTAATCCTAAATATAGAAACTATAGTTATAATACTTTGAATTATTTGAATTTATTTTGCTATACACGCATATATGTAGGGGCGGCTAGCTGTCTAAACGTGACTCTGCTTTTTCCGTGAAATTTTAACTTTGACCTTTGACCTAAATTCAAGAAAATTGTGACCACTGTAGACAACGACGACATCAATATTTCGATGAGGCTTGTTCTCCTCTTTCCAATGATATAAAATACAGCGGTGTGTTATATCGTTAACCCAAATCGATCAAATTCGTTGACAGGGCACCCTATACTAAAGGTTCATCATAAACTTTTGGCAAATATGGCCATATTTACATCACAAATTTTCTTCTGAGTATAATAATACAGACAAATCTGTGCACTTGGTAAAGTTTTATGGCATGGCAGGAACTAGGTAATTAAATTTTAAATGCATTTTATGTTTCAGAAAATGTGTAAACACTCCAAACTACTCTTGGTTTTTGTTTTGAAGTTAATTAATCAAATTCCAAAAGATCACAATAACTACTAGTTTGAGGAAGACATAATAATATTTTGAGAAGGATATAAATATGGATGTTCATGAGACACTGACAACTGTCTCATAAAGTACAGGGAAATATAAACAAACCGTTCTTTTATTGCTATTATTCATCTTGATATTCATATTTTAAAAAAAAGAAACTTTTTATTGAGAGAGTTATCAGAATCTTATGTCAGCACTCAGTGGGGGGATACCAGTAATCATTTTGGATAAAGAAAACAGATGTTTTACAAAGATTTTATTTCATATATTTTTTGTCTCCCCTGCAGAGCGGGATTACAATCCAGCAGCGACAGCTATATAAATCTTTATATTCCAGAAGATACACGACCTGGTTGCTTCATATCTTGTATGTAGATCCCTAATGTTACAAGGTATCCATCTGTCATATGTTCATTGTCATTGACTCATTTTCATTGTTCAGCAACTGCTTGAAAAAAATTATAGTTTTTTTGTCATGTGAAATACTCACTTATAATGAGTAATGACAGAAAAAGGATAATTATCATGATTATATTTAGTAAAAAATGTATATGGAACCCTTGCAAGCCATACATGTCTGTCAGACAGGGTTCACCTGATCTCAACCTCATTTCATGGATCAGTGGTCAAAATTAAGTTTTTCTGGTCAAGTCTGTATCTCATATACAATAAGCAATAGGTCAGACTATATTTATTTATGGAATGATTGTGAGGTGTACATGTCCAACTGGCAGGTCTCATCTGACCTTGACCTCATTTTCATGGTTCATTGGTTAATGTTAAGTTATGTAACGGTTTGGTCTTTTTCTCAGATACTATAAGCAATAGATTAGCTGTATTTGATGTATGGTATGATTGTAAGGTGTACATGTCACATGTCTGTCTGGCAGGTTTCATACGACCTTGACTTTTTTTTATGGTTCATTGGACAATGTTAAGTTTCGTGGTTTTGTCAGTTTATCAATTACTTTAAGCAATATGTCAACTGTAGTTGGGTGTATGGAATGATTGTAAGGTGTACATGTCTGTCTGGCAGGTATTATCTTACCTTGACCTTAATTTTTGGTTCATTGGTCAATGTTCAGTTTTCGTTATAACATGTAGGTCTGTATCTCAGATGATATAAACAATAGGCTCACTATATTTGGTGTATGGTATGATTGTAAGGTGTACATGTATGTCTGGCCTCTGACTGACCTTTACCTTATTTCCATGAATAATATTAAGTTTATGTGATACTTGTAGTAAAACCTTCATTACAGACTGATCAACATAAGTTCAATCACAATATATGTAAAGCAGGCAAGACATTTCAGTGTGTGCATTCTTGTTTAAACAAGCTTGATGTGCATTATGATGTAAAATTTACTATTCTTTCCAACTTTATCCTTTGCAATTAACTTGTACAGTGCATAGGATTAAGAATTGGAGTAATATGTGTAAGAAAATTATAATTCATAATTTCAAAGACTGAAATGTTGTATTTTTTTTAGGCAAATGGGCAGCTGTCTAGTTGAAATCAAACAACAGACAGAAGTTGAGGCTACATGTATTTATCATAGAAAGAAAAAAGATTGTAAGGGGTTCTGCGGAACGCTGTCTCTCACCTGCAATTGCTGCTGTCAATGTAAAAGTGTAATACAGACTTAAAAAGTGAATCCATTTATCAGTAAAATACAGAATTTAAAAAAAAAAATTCAAACATTTTCTTTAGATGGTATTTCTTGGTCTTGAAGATTAGCTTCTGTCCAAGTTTCATAACAATCCATTATGGTTTACAAATTTATCATGTCAAAAAGATTTAATCCCAGACTGTCTGTAAATGTAAACTTAAAAAAAAAATATTTAAAAGTCCATCTATCAAAAAAATACTGAAAATGAAAAAATATATTTTCTAAAGTTTGCTTCAGACATTGTCTCTTAATCATAAAAAAGCTTCTGCCATTCATAAAATTCTATGAAGGTTTGACAAAGTAATGCAGGTGTAACAAACTTTAACCCCAGACTGTATTTACTGTAAAATAAAACTAAGTCCATTTATCAGTAATATACGAAAAATGAATATAAATGTTTTCAAAATTTTGCCCTGGATAATGTCTTTTGATCATAAACAAGCTTCAGTCCAAATTTCATAAAATTCCCTGAAATTTGACAAAGTTATTGATGACTGAAAAAAACTTTTAACCTCAGACTAAATCTTAATGATAACTGTAAAAAAAACCAAGTCCATTTATCAGTAAAATACAGAGAAATGAAAATAAATATTTTCAACATTTTGCTCTGGAAAAATCCATGGAAAGTTATTGATGTTTAAAAAAAACCTTTAACCACAGACTGAACCTAAATGTTGACACTGCCACCGACAGAATCTAGGATTGCTATGTCTTGCTTTCACTACATAAATGTCGCAGGCTCTACAAAAATGATCAGAATAGCAATGTTTGATTGTTTTAATGGCATCAAATCAGTGTCCTTTCTCTTCAATAATTCATTGCAGCCTTATTTGTTAATGACTGAATGTGAATCAATTTTTTTTATTATAGGGAGCTCTCATGACAGCATGTCATCTCTAAAATGACAACCTTTTTCTTGATTTATCAAAATCAATAATTTAAGATGGTATATATGTAGTCGATTATTGACAAGTGGAAAAATAGCTAAGAGAAAATTTAATTTACAGCTTGGTCATTAGAATATTTTATATCATTGTCAATCTTCTTTCAAGTTACATTGTATTAGAATAATGATTACTAAAATACTTGTTTCTTTTTTTTCAATCACAGAAAAATGTAATGATGTGCTCTTACAACAGGATTGTGAGTGTATTAAATCTTGGAAGAATGGGATTCCTAGATGCTTATAAAGTACAGAACAAATTTGCACGACAGCATTTAGACAGTATGGCAGGAGTGCATGGTGCAAAAGGAGAAAATGTTGTATTACTTGTGGAACATAACCCAGTTTATACCACTGGAATTAGATCTAAAGACTATTCTGAAGAATATGAACAAAAACTAAAGAAGCTAGGTGCTGAATTTTACAGAACAGATAGAGGAGGTTTAATTACTTTTCATGGACCTGGACAACTTGTTGCTTATCCAGTTTTAAATCTTAAATATTTCACACCAAATATGAAGTGGTATATTTGCTCCATGGAAAAGACAATGATCGGAACTTGTCAGTATTATGGTATGAATGCCCATACAACAGAAGATACAGGGGTATGGATTGGAGATAGGAAAATTGGAGCTATTGGTATGTTTTAACCAAATTACCACCAATAATAGCCATCTTTGTTTGTGAAAGACATGAAAGATATTCATTTAGATATTGATATTTTCCACAGTTGTAAAATGCTTAATACAAAAAGAGGGATAGAATGATTAAACACTTTATGTGGTTTGTAAACTGTTAAATGAAAAAAAAATATAATAAAACTGAATATATTTATTTTTAAGCTACAATTTGCCACCCTTTTGCTATCATAAAATAATATGAATTTCTCAATTAATACTAGAAAAGTTCTGATATTGATGTCATTAATTGGAGAAAAACTATATATATCCAAGTGGTTGATTAGCTGTCACATAAACATATTGTTTTCATCCTGAATATGCATTTAATTTGCCACTGGACATAAAACAACCATCCATCCATCATTAATAAATAACAGTTTATTCGTTTGTTTAATTAGACTTTGTGCTAATGAGTGTGAGAATTCATTTATAATTTCTGATATATTGTGTAGCATTAAATTTAATGCCTTAAAGATAATTTGTTTAAATTTGATAAGTAGTTATTATATTGTAGGTGTTCATGGTCGCAGATATGTAACAACTCATGGTGTATCATTGAACTGTAATACTGATTTGAACTGGTTCAAACATATAGTACCTTGTGGATTAGAAGGAAAAGATGTTACATCCCTTAGTAAAGAAAAGGGCTGTGATATTAAAATAAATGATGCTGTTAGACCATTTTTAGAAACTTTTCAAAGACAATTTGATTGTCAGTTAAAGTATATACATGAAGAGACAGAGGAATATAAAAACAAAATTAGTATACATGTATAACAATGTAACATGGTTAACTTTACCAACAAAATATATTTAATAATAACATTTTTATAGATCCAGACTTATGACTAATAAATTAATCATTAATTAAAAATGGTCTATTGGACAGAGTATACAAAATTGTGAATAACAATTTAAGGTTAAGAAACGAACAAAAAGAGATGTGAGGTATGTGTCATGAGACAGCAATCCAACAACACAATGAACCAAACAATATTTACAAAAGAGCCTTTTCAAATTCAAATAATTATACATTGTTTTTTTTAATTTTTATTGTATACTGACAAAGTGACATATCATGAATGGTCAGTTTTAGTCAACAGTCAAGTAAATTCCATAAGTTGGTAAAATTAATTTAATCTAAAATGTAGAAATATATTTAGGAGTATGATTATTCTTGCAGAATGCAATAAAATTTATGGATTGTCCTTTTAATATTCTTAGTTTGGCTTAATAGATAAAGTTTGTTATTATAATGTTATTATAATCATGTAAATCAGTCATTGAGTCTTCCTGGATTAACATATCTTTGCTTATTTTTATAAAGAAATCAGACAAAATGTTTTTGTTTTTTCTGAATTGAAAATCTGTACAAATTTATTCTTGGCATTTATAATAATAGAATTGTGTCTACATGACGTTTTGATGGTGCTTTAGAAAATTGTTTTCCTGCACTTCTAGGGGTAAAAAGTATAATATGCAATCAAAATTCTATTGTTTCTGGTTTGATAGCTATATTTTACAGGCCATATATATAACTCCCCACAATCTGTGCAAGTACATTACCACGAGACAAGTGAGACCCTTTTCATGATTCTAAATTCAAAAGAATAGAATAACCATGTAATTTACCAGCTAATTCCATGTAAAAACTGGTTCAATTCACAACTTTTATTTATTTAGGACTTGTACTAAAATTGGAATCTCTTATTTAGTATAAACAATTGTTCCCTTGTTAATGACAATTTAAAAGCATTAAATATTATCTTAGGTTTTAACAAAGAATATGTCAATCTTCTGAATATTGCATGGTTTTCTGGCGGATTGGCTCTTAATAGGAAACCTAACCAGATTATTTTGTAACAGTTATGAAATGTTGCCTTGGAAGTCACTCATTAAATCCCCTTAAACTTTGTTGAATCAAACAAAAATAAGTAAAAGTTAATATTGTGTGAATGTTTGTTACTATAAAAACTTGAAGACTAAAGTGGCATTGTGAAAGGAATAGTAAACAAAAAATTCGGAAGGGTTCCGCGGAACCCAGTGTCTCGCCTACTTTTTCTGTTAATCGCAGGCTCAACAAAAATGAGGAAGTAAATCAATAAAAATATTCCTCTTGATACTATCTTTTTATTGTAAGAAGCTTCTGTCCAAGTTTGGTAAAAATCCAGGATAGTTTATGAATCTAATAAATGTTTAATAACTAAATTAACTGCAGACTGAATGTAATGTTAACTGGAAGAAAACAAAATTTCCTTCTAGATATTAGCATTTGATCATAAACAAGGTTCTGTCCAAGTTTGGTACAAATCCAAAATAGTAGAAGAAAGTTATTTTTTTTAAAACTTTAACCACAGAGTGAATGTGTTGTTTCCTGGCAGAAAATCTAAGTCCATTTAAAAGTAAAATAAGGAAAAAATGGATTTTTTTTTTTTTACAAAAATTACTTCTGTATACTATCTTATGATCATAAACAAGCTTCTGTCCAAGTTTGGTAGAAACCCAGGATAGTTTAAGAAAGTTATTAAAATTTTAAAAACTTTAACCACAGAGTGAATGTAATATTTCCCGGCAGAAAAACTAAGTCCATTTATAAGTTAAAAACGGAAAAAAATGGAATTTTATTTTTACAAAATTTATTTCTGAATACTATCTTATGATCATAAACAAGCTTCTGTCCAAGTTTGGTAGAAATCCAGGATAGTTTAAGAAAGTTATTAAAATTTCAAAAACTTTAACCACAGAGTGAATATTTGTGGACGCCGCCAACGACGACGATGACGCCGACGGAATGTAGGATCGCTATGTCTCGCTTTTTCGACTAAAGTCGAAGGCTCGACAAAAATCTAAAAGATAAACTGAAATGGTCATCTTTTGTACCAGTACTAATAGCTGATCCAGGATTTTCTTTCAAAGCCAGAGTTTGTGCATACAGTGTTCCAACTAGGATTTCAAAAGGGCAGGGAGCCAATCATGAAAAGGGCACTTTAGCACGATGATTGATATTTCAAAAAGGGCATGTCAAACATTGTCTTATGTTAACTGCAGGGGTTTCAGCTAGGAGTTTTGAGGGGGTTTAGTCACTTTTACGCTAGATGAAAATCAACCTTATTTTGGGTAACAGTATTAAAGGGACCATGCAAGGACGTATATTACTAGCTCAGTCTTCCCTAGAACATTTTTGATGCATGGTACATGTAGGTCTAAGGTTAAGTTGCAATGCAAAGCGGCGTTTTGTAGAATTATTTTTATTTCATTAGTGAAATGACTACACTAGATCTGCAATACAGCTGGGACTATTATACTATTAGTATAATAGTCCCAGAATACAGTCAGGAACAATACCTTACATTTTCTCCAGGGGCCAACCTGGATCCCAAAACTTTTTTCCAAGGGCCCAGTAGAAATTTTAAGGCCCTACCAGGGTATTTTTACTACAGGAACACACTTATTAATAGTCTTGAATGTTCTTATAAAGGCAATAATATATGTTTGAAATGCCTAATACATGTAGCCCAGTGTTTCTGATTATGATAGAAATAAGAAATGAATTATAATAAACCACATTGAGTTTTTCAGAATTAAAATCCATTTAACCATGCATATATGTCTTTTCAGACTGTTAAACTTATATTTGTAATATTATATATAAAAAATATATAAAAAAAAAATCCCCCCCCCCTCTTTTCCATTTTACACACCCCTAGATGTAGAGTATTAAAGTATTATCAGTTTCACCCCAAGAAAGTATTCATTTTTAATGAAATAATCTTAGCAGTTAATCAAAATGAAAATCTTGCTGTCTATAAATAACAATGAAATGTAACTGTTTCTTGTTAAAGAGGTTTTCTGAATTTTCCCTCCAAAAAAGCACATGGCTTTCAACAAATGTAAACAAAGCAGTCTATTTGTGATCATGGATTACAGCTTTAATTAATTTAATTTGGATATAGATATTCAATGAAAGGTACAGTCAAGCATTGTTTTTACTTTCTTCTGGATTAAAACTAGTTTAAAAGATCAATTTAAAAAAAAAATCTTTGACATATAAACAACAGACGATCTACGGATACATCAAACGCAAATTGTCATCTTTTGAGAAATATTGAAATTGAAATGCTGACTGACCGAATTTAATGAGAAAAATTATTACAATGATCAATTATGAAGTTTAATTAACGGATTAATGACCCATCTGATGTCGATAAGCGGATTATCTGTAATCACAACTTATTACACCTGCTGTAAATGTTAATTAGCTGAGGGTCATAAACTTGTCATAAATATGAAGACAGGTAGAATAATTGTATTTTCATCAAAATATTACGGCAATAAAGGCATGGACTTACGAAAAGGGCAGGGTGTCTTAAAAAGGGCACAGGGCGTCAGAAAAAGGGCACAGGGCGGCACTCGGAAAGGGCGGGCGGACCGCCCTGTGAAAACGTCCTAGCTGGAACATTGTGCATACAAATAACTGGTTAACCAACATTTTTTTTGCCTGTACAAAGTAAGGCTATCTGGATCATTGTTTATTATTGGTGTTTGTCTGTTTGTACATGACATTTTTTTTAAGGAGTTGTGTGTTGGTGATTGATTTTATTTCTTGTATTGTCCAATTTTGGGCAATGTCAGTTATCATTTTTATGCATTTTTACAATAGGTATTACGATTTGGTGGAGATTTCTTTTCCGAATCCACTAAGTTGGTCAATCAAACAGTTTATCTATGTCTTTTTGAAGTTATTTATACTTTATTTTCCTGCTTTTTAAGCTTGTATTTTGTTATTTTTCAATTGACATATTGAGCCATAGCTAGTCTTAGACACAAATATTTTGTGAAACAAACTTGTCAACATTTCATTTGTTGCAGAACAATCCATGATAAATCAAAACATATTTGTAATGCAAGCAGGATAACTGTTATCTGATACATAAAAAGGTAAAACAACTTCATTTATTCAAAAACACCATTTCCATAACTATGATAAAACACTGATATATGTCTCTTAAATGGATCAACTACTAAATAAGCAAAAGTTTGTTGATGATCTGTATCTGTAGGGTAGATCTGAGAATCTTCATGCTGAAAATATAATACAAAAATTTTTCTTTATAGGACTTCACAGCAAAATGTTGTTTTTTTTATGAACAATGCTATATATATACATAGATATATACATTGTAGCTACTATAATAGCAAAAAATAAAATAAATTCCTTGGTAGTTTTCAAATATGTCTTGTTGTTTCTCAGAGTTATGGTTTATAGCCTAAGAAAATGGAAAATACATATTTGATGGTAATGTATCAATTCTGAACTAAATAGTTATTTATGGTTGGAAAGGAGTAGGGGCAATAAGGCCCTTATTAGGCCCAAATGTAACTGCAAATTTAAAAGTTATCATACATTTTCTTAAAATTGTCCTAACTAGACTAAGGTACAAGTTATTCAGAAAATAAAAACAAATCTCACATTTAACGAGTTACCATGGCAACAAACCATGACTAAATTTTGATATTTTGTAAAATTGCTTGATTTTCCTTGTTTTTCATCAAATTTTAAGTATATTTTCAATTGGCAAAGTATGTGCGCACCCAAGAAACAACTTTATGTTTGGTGAGATTATGTCAATAGTTTTGATAAAGCTTCTCTTAAATTATTTTGTTGTTTCTTGGCTGCGCACGATGTTTCCACAATGGAAATAAAGATGGAAAACTGCATAAATTCTGAATTTTTCATTGTTATCATGAAAATGCTACATATAATGACGTAATTGTGACGTCATCAGATAAAAATATTATGTTTTTCATTTATATTTCTTGACTCTATGCATTTCCAAACATTATGTGCCATTTTGAAATAGTTGTGTTGAGTTCTATTTTCTTGGGCCAAAACCGGGCCTTAATGCCCCTACTCCTTTTTCTCCTTTTACCCAAAACATGTAGTATTGTTTTAAAAAATCAATGTCAACAAAAGCAAACTGTTAAAAATGAAAAATATCAATACAGTGTCACAGGTGTTGTTTTAAGAGTTCAATTGAGATTATGTTAGGTAAAATAGGTCACATGTATGTTCAGTTGTAAATTGAATTATTTTATATGTACATGTATGTAAGCTGCATTTGTATTCTTGTGTATTAAACTTAGTGAAAATATACCTACTGAAAATTTCATAAAAATAAATACAACACGAAAAAAAGTAAATAATATACAGTATTTCAAATAAAATGCAGATTCTAAAACTTTCATTGCAGACAAAAAAGAAAATTCCATACATATTGGATACAATACTCATCAAATTTATATATTGAGAATTGAAAATGTTTATATACATGGTAAAAGAAGTCATTTTCTTACCTTTGCTGATATTTTGAACACATGCGATATTATGTTTAACTCCTTAGTTTCTGGATTTTTCTGCACACTGCAAAAGAATTAAAACAAGCATTCAAATGGAGGAACAATTTTTATACGACCGCAAAAAAATTTTGTGGTCGTATATTGGTATGACGTTGGCGTCGTCGTCGTCGTCCGACGTCGTCGTCCGAATACATATTGGTTTTCGCACTCTAACTTTAGTTTAAGTGAATGGATCTTTTTGAAATTTGACCATAAGGTTAAATACCACAAAAGGAAGGTTGGGATTGATTTTGGGGGTTATGGTACCAACAGTTAAGGAATTAGGGGCCAAAAAGGGGCCAAAAATGAGCATTTTCTAGTTTCCAGACAATAACTGTGGAACGGTGTATGGATCTCTCTGAAATTATACTACAAGTTTCCATACCACAAAGGGATGGTTAGGATTTGCTTTGGGGGGTTATGGCTCAAACCGTTTAGGAATTAGGGGCAAAAAAGGGGGAAAAACAAGGTTGTCCTGGTTAATGGACAAATACTTTAGTACAAAACATAATTTAAAGCAGTGTAAGGGAGATAAATCAAATACATCATTGAAATTATCTCCCTTACACTGCTTTTAAATTATGTATAAAGTAATGGTTAATGAACAATAAAGATAATCTAAAACAGTGTAAGGGAGGTAATCCAAATACAACGTTTTGGTTACTTCCCTTACACTGCTTTTAAATTATGTTTAAAGAAATGCATATTTATAAAGGAAGACCAGTAAAAATATCTGCAAATGTTTTCATCTTTTTTTTTTACAAAAAATCCATATGAAAGATTTGACACTATATTTTTATTAATTCTATTATAAAATAGATTAAGTTAGCACTATGGTAAATTTAAATGGGTAATTATGGTTGCCAACTTCATTGGAAATTTGAATTGAGATTATGACCATATCTTGAGGGAAAGAATTTTTTTGGGGGAAAAAGGGGGGGGGGATAAAAAGAAATTGTGGGGGGCCGATTTTTTCTCATTTCAGATTTCAGAAATTAAAAAGAATTATTCTTCAAATATTATTTTTTTTTCAAATTTCAAATATTGAAAAATTTCAAGAAGTAATCTTTAATTGCACAGTATGGCGCATTAGATTTGTAAAATCTTTGATCACATTTATTTATTTGTTATGCCGAATCTAACAGTGTATTTAGATTTTTAATTTTGGGTCCAGTTTTCAAATTGGTCTACATTAATGTCCAAAGGGTCCAAAATTAAACTTTGTTTGATTTTAGCAAAAATTGAATATATGAGGTTCTTTGATATGCTGAAATAAACATGTATTTAGATTTTTGATTTTTGGCCCAGTTTTCAAGTTGGTCCAAATTGGGGTCCAAAATTAAGCTTTGTTTGATTTCAACAAAAATTGAATATATGGGGTTCTTTGATATGCTGAATCTAACCATGTATTTAGATTTTTTATTTGTGGACCCCGTTATCTAATTGGTTCATATTGAGGTCAAAAGGGTCCAAAATTAAACTTTGTTTGATTTCATCTAAAATTGAATTATTGGGGTTCTTTGATATTCCAAATCTAACCGTGTATTTAGGTTTTTAATTTTGGGTCCTGTTTTTTAAATTGGTCTACATTGAGGTCCAAAGGGTCCAAAATTAAACTTAGTTTGATTTTAACAAAAATTGAATTCTTGGGGTTCTTTGATTTGCTGAATCTAAACATGTGTTTAGATTTTTGATTATGGGCCCAGTTTTCAAGTTGGTCCAAGATAGGGTCCAGTATTTAAACTTTGTTTGATTTCAACAAAAATTGAATATATGGGGTTCTTTGATATGCTGAATCTAAACATGTATTTAGATTTTTGATTATGGGCCCAGTTTTTAAGTTGGTCCAAATTGGGGTCCAAAATTAAACTTTGTTTGATTTCAACAAAAATTGAATATATGGGGTTCTTTGATATGCTGAATCTAAACATGTATTTAGATTTTTGATTATGGGCCCAGTTTTCAAGTTGGTCCAAATTGGGGTCCAAAATTAAACTTTGTTTGATTTCAACAAAAAATGAATATATGAGGTTCTTTGATATGCTGAATCTAACCATGTATTTAGATTTTTTATTTGTAGGCCCCACTATCAAATTGGTTCATATTGAGGTCAAAAGGGTCCAAAATTAAACTTTGTTTGATTTCATCGAAAATTGAATTAATGGGGTTCTTTGATATGCCAAATCTAACCGTGTTTTTAGATTTTTAATTTGGGTCCTGTTTTTTAAATTGGTCTTCATTGAGGTCCAAAGGGTCCAAAATTAAACTTAGTTTGATTTTAACAAAAATTGAATTCTTGGGGTTCTTTGATATGCTGAATCTAAACATGTGTTTAGATTTTTGATTATGGGCCCAGTTTTCAAGTTGGTCCAAGTTGGGGTCCAAAATTAAACTTTTTTTGATTTCAACAAAAATTGAATATATGGGGTTCTTTGATATGCTGAATCTAACCATGAATTTAGAATTTTTATTTGTGGGCCACGCTATCAAATTGGTTCATATTGAGGTCAAAAGGGTCCAAAATTAAACTTTGTTTGATTTCATCAAAAATTGAATTATTGGGGTTCTTTGATATTCCAAATCTAACCGTGTATTTAGATTTTTAATTTTAAGTCCCGTTTTTTAAATTGGTCTACATTAAGGTCCAAAGGGTCCAAAATTAAACTTAGTTTGATTTTAGCAAAAATTGAATTCTTGGGGTTCTTTGATATGCTGAATCTAAACATGTGTTTAGATTTTTGATTATGGGCCCAGTTTTCAAGTTTGTCCAAGTTGGGGTCCAAAATTAAACTTTGTTTGATTTTAACAAAAATTGAATATATGGGGTTCTTTGATATGCTGAATCTAACCATGTATTTTGATTTTGGACATTGGACCATAATAGGTAAATTAAAAAAATTCAAGTTCTTAGACCACATTCTTTCTGTGTCAGAAACCTATGCTGTGTCAAATATTTAATAACAATCCAAATTCAGAGCTGTATCAAGCTTGAATGTTGTGTCCATACTTGCCCCAACTGTTCAGGGTTCGACCTCTGCGGTCGTATCAAGCTGCGCCCCAGCGAAGCATTTTATTACATGATGTAGACTTAATTTAATAGTGCTTGGATGAATTTACTTTTTTTTTAATTTGGCATTTTTGCATAGCTCTAACTTTACACTGTAGTTGGGATTGGTGAATGTAAGTTCCCTTTCAATTTTGAAAATGTAAAGGAAATTTGCTTCTCCATATTTATGGACTTTTAATTAAAATTTTAGGCAACTTTTATAATGCAAAGAATATCTACATGCAAGTTTTTTCTGTATGGACACAGTTGGGCCATTTAACCAACTTCTGATTTAATGTCTTCTACATTACAATTTTCTATTTCACTATTCCAACCACTTTTAACAGGAATAAGACAGACCAGGCCTATCATTCTCTCTTGGCTGTAGAAAAACATGTACAACAGGAGTGGACATGCACAAATATGTAACACACAGTGTAACTTCTATAACTGATTAGGAGAAACTGACATGGTATTCATACAATAAACTAGCTGGGGAACCGTAGTTCATAGGTCCTAATGATATTTTTTGACAATTTGCGGAACATCTATGTCTACAGTTCCGCAGCTAACAATAAACAAAAATGCAAAAGTCACTATGGATTCATAACTTCAAAGATCACTTGGAGTCTAGTGACAACCCTGGTCATTTTCAAACTAAGTTTTGGTGAAGGTTGGACATATTGGTTAAAAATAATCTGGAAACAAAAAGTTTACCCTAATTTCAGTCTACCAATTGCAGCTGTGACCTTGTGACCTAAAAATCAATATTGATCTTCTCGTTCCATGGGGCATTTTCAAATTAAGTTTGGTTAAGACACTGTATATTGTTCAAATGATATTATCAAGAAACAGAATCATCAAATGTTGATGTCTGTATGGCATTCATCATAGTATGATGATCATACCATAAGCCAAGTTTGACTACATCCCAGCTCAACAAAAAACTATAAATACTTTTAAAGGGAGGCGAAAGATACCAAAGGGACATTCAAACTCATAAGTTAAAAAAAAATAACAACTCCATGGCTAAAAAACTAAAAGTAAAAGACCATCAGACAATCAACAGTACACAAAACACAACATAGAAAACTAAAGACTGAGCAACACGAAAGTACTTTTATTCGTGGGTTACCAATTTTGTGTTTTTTGTGGATGGCTCTATCCATGAATTTAAGTGTCCAATGATATATAACAACTGTTGTCCATGAAAATTCATGTTAAGCTTCCCATGTACATGTAGGTTTGACTACATGGATACGGCAAATAATCTAGAGAATACATCAACTATCAGCAAACATGCTATGAACTATATATACAACTTCAGACAGGATTTTACTCATTTAATCTTTACAAAAACTATAACTGTAAGACTTTAAACCTTTTAATTCTCATGAAAAATTAGATTTGATCAATGAAAGTCAGACTACCAGTGATGATTTGCGATGTTGAAGACTAAGCGTTCATTTTATCTCCTTATAATTCTCATATGAAAATAACATTGTAATTCCATATTTGGCTTGCGATTTTATTTCATAAAAATTAATTCTACTACTCAAAGTACATTTGTTGCATTTTTTTTATGTAAAATTTACCGCTTCTATAGTGATATGTTTGATGATCGTTAATCTGTTGATCATTCGTTCTCGGGTTAATTAATGTCATCACTTCTGATTACACATGTGCAACAATTAAATGTTTACTTTGCAATTTCTTTCAATAGAGACATTTGTAAGCATAGATGAATCAGCTTATTTCCAAAAGCAATTATTTCATTAAAAATTTGATGAATGTGTAAGTAATGAAAGACGAATAAGAAAGTATTTTGCAATCTCCCACAATTCATTATAATACAACATGATTATTTTCAAGGATCTTCATTTCTGATTCAATTTCTCCATATGCTTTTTTTCAAAAAACTAAAATCCACATATTTAAGAACCCAAGAACATGTTACTTTTGCTCAAACCACGAAAATTGATACCATCGAAAAAAAGTACTTTCACAGTAACTGAGAGACTGACCTAATTATGAAAACTAAATATTGACTTTAGTAAGTCACTGAAGCATGAAAATGAGATTAAGATCAGCTTCTATATGCTACCAAGAATTGCAGACTCTAAGCAATTCTACCAGCTGAAATATTAAAGTTCATACAATTAGTTGATTCACTGAAACTTGCAAGGGAGAATAACTGTAATATTGCAACCCATTACAAGATAATACACAAAACATCTTATGATTAAACAGTTTCTTATAGTTAATCCCTGGCTTATAAAACAATACCTTATCAAATCTTTATATATGTTTTTTGTGATGTCTAAGTAAGGATCAACATTATCTTCATATTGACAAAGTTTCCCTCCAATACAAATGTGTTTGAATATACAAAATAGAAGTTCTTCTCTCTCTGTGTCACTATATAAACAGTAGTGATCTGAGTCATCTATCAGTAACATCTGAAAATAATTAAATAATAGTACAAAGCTGTGGAAAACATGTACATATATTATGTGAAACTTCAGCAATTAAAAATGTTTTAAAATCTTTAAATTGAAGTGAGGTGAGAATTTTTGCTTCATGTAGAAATGAAAAATAGCAAATAAGTGCTGTTTCTTTGCAGTTTTTTTTTCATGTGTGTGTCATGAATTGATCATTTCCATTCAACAGGATAAAAAGGAAAATTTTTGCTCAAATATTCCTTTTTGTATATATCTTAACATGTACAGTTTAAAAGCTCATTAATGGATAAGACCCTATACCTACAAATTAATACAGGAAAAGTTTCACAAACACTATTGAAAGTTATGATCATTTTTTATCTGTATAAGTAACATTGCATCTTCTATAAATTTGAAGTACATGTATAATCATTAAAAAGTTGTTAGATTGGGTAATCTATAAGATCTCAAGTTCTGCTCATCTTTAAGCTGTTTGTCATTGACTCTACATACTCCCAAAGAACTTTTATTCAAAAATTCAAATTTTTTTGTCACTAGTTTTCCAAGGCAGATCTGTCAGAAAAACTAGTGATAGAGTGTTTATTAAGCAACACATATAAAGTGTTTTTTTAGGAAAGAAATCAGACTAGGATTCTAAACACCCAGTCCTTGGGTCAATATAAGGATCATCATTCTGCTAAACATGCTAAAGGGAATAACAAAACGAGTAAAAAACTACCATTTTTATAAAATTATCTGTGTTACGTCATTTTATGTAAAAACTATAGGTCAACTCAAACAAGATTAAGGTGATTGTATTGTGGTCTTGGGGTTAATATAGGTGTGATATTGAAAAAATTCGTAAGGGTTCCGCGGAACCCAGTGTCTCGCCTACTTTTGCTGTTAGTCACAGGCTCAACAAAAATGGGGAAAAAATTATTAAAAATTTTCCTCTAGAAACTATCTGTTGATTGTAAGAAGTGTTCAAGTTTGGTAAAAATCCAAGAAGGTTTATGAATCTAATTAATGTTTTAAAAACTTTAACTGCAGACTGTACATAATGTTTACTGGAATAAGACTAAGTCCATTTATAAGTAATATACGGAAAAACAGGAAATAAATTTTTACAAAATTTCCTTCTAGATACTAGCTTTTGATCATAAACAAGCTTCCATTTATAAGTAAAATATGGATAAACAGGATTTTTTTTTAACAAAATTTACTTTTGAATACTATCTTATGATCACAAACAAGCTTCTGTCCAAGTGTGGTACAAACCCAGGATATTTTAAGAAAGTTATTAAAATTTGAAAAACTTTAACCACAGATAGAGTGAATGTTATGTTAACTGGCAGAAAAACTAAGTCCATTTATGAGTAAAATACGGATAAACAGGATTTCTTTTTTACAAAATTTACTTCTGGATATTATCTTATGATCATAAACAAGCTTCTGTCCAAGTTTGGTTGAAATGCAGGATAGTTTAAGAAAGTTATTAAAATTTGAAAAACTTTAACCACGGCGACGACGACGCCGACGGAATGTAGGATCGCTATGTCTCGCTTTTGCAACAAAAGTCGCAGGCTCGACAAAAATCATATAATATTTATTGTTTATTCAATTCCAATAATGTGCTTGATTCATTGCATTATCTCCATTAATAGATAAACTCTTTTATGATAAGCTTCATTATTTACGTCATTTACATGTTTTATAAGTTAAACTGAATGACTGCATTTTTGAACTAACAAGGTCATTGTTGCAGCTTGAAATAGTTAAATGTACAAGCATATCTGCAGTCTTATGTTTATAATACAACACAGCATACAGAAATATGCCAATTTTATCATTCATCACTTATATGATTTGTCAGAATATGAGAATTTACCCAATTATAAAATATCCACCCCTTTACATTACTTACTGACATAGATTTCATGCCTAACAAAAAGGTGTAAAGATTAAAACCAGTTCATTTGATTTTCAGTTCCCTATACTACCATTATATATATAATTTGAGAAAAATTTAAATAAAAGAAGAACGTGTCATCAAGGTCACGAATGCCCCTGCTCAAGCTTTGCACTTTTCCAAGTTAAAAAGGGGGCATAACCCTAGAACGGTAAATGACTCACAACCAATATTCTAACTCTGTATAGTTGTGGTTCTTTGCATTGTGAATAAAATTTGCACGAGGCAAACTTAAGTTAGAGTGCAGCAACAAAAATGGGACAGCCAGAAGGACGAAAAATTCGTAAGGGTTCCGCGGAACCCAGTGTCTCGCCTACTTTTGCTGTTAATCACAGACTCAACAAAAATGAGGAAAAAAATTAATAAAAATATTCCTCTCTATACTATCTTTTGATTGTAAGTAGCTTCTGTCCAAGTTTTGTAAAAATCCAGGATAGTTTATGAATCTAATAAATGTTTTAAAAACTTAAACTGCAGACTGTATGTAATGTTAACTGGAAGAAAAACTAAGTCCATTTATAAGTAAAATACGGAAAAAATGGAACAAAATTTTAACAAAATTTCCTTCTAGATACTAGCTTTTAATCATAAACAAGCTTCTGTCCAAGTTTGGTACAAATCCAGGATAGTTTAAGAAAGTTGTTAAAATTTTAAAAACTTTAACCACAGAGTGAATGTAATGTTAACTGGCAGAAAAACTAAGTCCATTTATAAGTAAAATACGGAAAAAATGGAATTTTTCTTTTACAAAATTTACTTCTGGATACTATCTTATGATCATAAACAAGCTTCTTTCCAAGTTTGGTAGAAATCCAGGATAGTTTAAGAAAGTTATTAAAATTTCAAAAACTTTAACCACAGAGTGAATGTAATGTTTCTTGGCAGAAAAACTAAGTCCATTTATAAGTAAAATACGGAAAAAATGGATTTATTTTTTTACAAAATTTACTTTTGAATATTATCTTATGATCATAGACAAGCTTGTGTCCAAGTTTGGTAGAAATCCAGGATAGTTTAAGAAAGTTATTAAAATTTCAAAAACTTTAACCACAGAGTGAATATTTGTGGACGCCGCAGACGACGACGACGATGCCGACAGAATGTAGGATCGCTATGTCTCGCTTTTTCGACAAAAGTCGAAGGCTCGACAAAAATAGGAAGATGGACAGACGGTCAAGGGAAACACTAAATGCCCCCGTTGCCTATGGAATAAATATTTTAAATTTAAATTAGGTATATACTGTTAGTTTAAACGCGTCACCGGAAGGAATTGACATGAATTTTTGTCCTTGAAAATATTAAGATAAATAGAGTAATATAATAAAACCTTTCTGAGTTCATCTGACACAACCATGTCTTCATAAAACTCATCAAAACATTTCTGTATAGCTCCAGACTCCCTCACAATACCATCATTATGAATACGGTCAAAGAATGACATTGATAATACTGTACAAGGAACAATTTCTGCTTTTACACTGGTAGCCTTTACTCCTAAAATTAAAAATAAATGTTTGACAAATAAAAAGTAAAGGGTAATGCCGAAACACAATTAACAGTGCCTGCTGATGATTCATAGCCTGTTCAAACAGTTTCAGTCCTTCATGGACCTTCTTCAGAGGCAAAATGAAGGATTGATAGTGACACACTATTTATAAAGTGTCTGAAAGTTATCCATTACAGTAAAATTATCTGTTATTGTAACCGAATAATTATCTGTTATCCATTGCCTTATAATTTTTATCCCTTCAGTTAAATATCTCATGGAATTTTCATCAGTCAAAAATAAATGTTTGTATAATTAATTTCCTTTTCTCATTTCAAATATATATATATATATACAACGTCTAGATTATAGTCACAGATCTTTCTTACAAAGGCGCTGGATCATTATGAATATCAATACTGTACACAATAAATAGATTATATATATGCCTAAAAAGTGTACAAAACAACACCAATATTAAAACAAGAGTGCACACACTGAAATATCTCGCCTGTTTTACTTATTACTGAATTCATGTTGTAAGTCTGTAATATGATGGTTTTAATACAAGTATCACATAAAATAAACATTGCGTCTGGCTATCCTCATGCATGTTTTTCTACATATGCATTTTACTAACTTGATGCCTCCTAAATATTCCAGATCATTCTCACTACAATTCTTATGCACAACTTGGGGGTATCATGAGCTTTTGAGGTAGCTGTTTTTATTATATCATTTATTTATACTTGTATTCTGACAAAATTCTTCAAGATCATTGGCAGTAATTAATTTGTATTTAAGTGTTAATTGGGGTATATGCATATATAGTCAGATAAGCACTCAGAAACTTTTTAATCTTTGCCTCCCTCTTATTTAACAATATGAATTTGATGTGACGTTATATAGCAAGGTAAACCAGTAAAGGCAAAATTATTTATTGATCGGGTATCAGATAGGATCTTAAATACCCATACTGATCTTTTTCCGTATTTGATATCTTCTCCTGTCCGAGACATGTTCCCAATTCTATATCTCATCCTAGCCAATAGAATCTTTTCCAAATCATAAGGCAACCAATGAGAACCAATATCTGTTACATACTAATTTCCCGATGTCATAAATATTGTATGAAACTAATACTTTCGCACCGTGATGCGAAGCAGTTAGATCCTTGAATATTGTTTTTATTGGTATAAATATTGATTTTGTATATATATATATATCAGTAAATTAAAATCAAACTAAATATTATAGTTATATACATATGCACATTCATGGCTCTACAATCTGTTGATACCTGTATCTTGGCATTGCAAATTAGCATAAACATACATTGTATCTTGCTTTCAACTACTGTGTTCCAGAGGACAATATTGTTTCTTTAGAAATCAATGGGTTTCACTCCTTCTTCCCTATGTCAAGGAGGATCTTCAGAATTAAGCATGTCCTATCTTATCATATTGCAGAGATAAAATTCAATTGAATTTGGAAATGGTTCTTATGTTATTGAACAGAAACAAAAACTTTTGAAAATTATTTACTTGATTTAAAAGTGAAAGGAAAGAATGTTTTCAATATTAATTTCATTTAGTTTCAAAGACATTTCTTACCAAGGGTTGACCATCCACCATCTGATGATACCACTTTTAGTGTGTGGAGGACATTTGGATCTGTTAAAAAGTCCTATTAAAAAGAAACATAATCACATTTTTTTAAATAGGCAAAATAACCATTAATTAGTTATATTTTAATAACAAATCTTGTCAATCCGACATATTTACCACTGTAGAACAATAATTGTTTTGATTAAATGCACCATAATCCCAACACTTGACATGTCATAAGTTTTCTTTTCTGTTGTATGCATCCTTTGTAATAAAAATGAACAAAAATATAACCTAAACACAAAAGTGAAAACTAGCATTCAAATCTGTCACATATTAAACTTTTTTTTCATAAGCGTAACAGTGAAATCATTTGTAAACATGCTTTCTTTAATCATATCAATGAAAATAGGTTTGTAAACTGTTTCTTTAAATAATAAAAAGTCATTTTTGGAAATTGCAACTGTTATTTGGTCCAATCATAATGGGTGATAAAAAAACTAGAAAAAATTAGTAAAATTTCTAATAAAACAATTCTTCATTTTGAAAGGTACACAATTACAAAGACCTATACATGTATATTATATATAACTAAAAAAATTATAATGAATATCAAAAATCAAATTTGAATGTACAATGTACTGGTAATGTTGCAAATTGAAAACACATACCATTACAAAACTGTCCTTTTCATATGCTTGGAATGACTGGTCAAAACTGTACATTTGTGCACATATTCTTCCTTTCATAGACCTATAAAACAAACTTCATAGTCCTTGCATTGTGCTTATATGATTATTATATAAATGATGTTAAACAGAAGTTAATTTTTGTCATATTCTGCACATAACATAAAGAACAAAACACTTTAAAGGAACATTCTGGACTCTTTTTCTTTAAAAAAAGATGTGATAAAACACATGCATTGCCCATAATGTTTTTTCAAGTGAAAAGACAAATAAACTAGAGGCTCTAAAGAGCCTGTGTTGCTCACCTGTATCTTAAACAATGGCCACTTCATATTCCAAATCCTAATTAAAGGGGAATAACTCTATTAAGAGTTAACTGACAATTTCAGTCATGTTGACATCTATATTAGTAGTTTTTTGTAGATCTTATCCTGATGATCATTTTTCCTTTTTTTATTATCTATTATAGTTTTCAAGATAATCGGTAATAAATGCTAAAAATTAACATTAAAATTAAAGGGCAAAAACTTGTCAACTGAAGATTTCGGCCATTATGACTTATATATGTAGATCTTGTCTTGCTGATCATTTTTACTATTTTTAAAAGTTTTCCAATTATCTTTTATAGTTTAAAAGATAATACACAATAAAATGCTTCGCTGGGCGCAGCTTGATACGACCGCAGAGGTCGAACCCTGAACAGTTGGGGCAAGTATGGACACATCATTCAAGCTTGATACAGCTCTGAATTTGGATTGTGATTAAATATTTGACACAGCATAGGTTTCTGACACAGAAAGAATGTGGTCTAAGAACTTCAATTTTTTTAATTTACCTATTATGGTCAAATGTCCAAAATCAAAATACATGGTTAGATTCAGCATATCAAAGAACCCCATATATTCAATTTTTGTTGAAATCAAACAAAGTTTAATTTTGGACCCCAACTTGGACAAACTTGAAAACTGGTCCCATAATCAAAAATCTAAACACATGTTTAGATTCAGCATATCAAAGTACCTCAAGAATTCAATTTTTGTTAAAATCAAACTAAGTTTAATTTTGGACCCTTTGGACCTTAATATAGACCAATTTAAACAAGAGTGCACACGCTGAAATGTCTCGCCTTCTTTACTAATCATTGATATTATGTTGATAGTCCTAAATAGAAAGCTTTATTACAACTGTCACATAAACTTAACATTAACCAAGTAAACTAAACATTGACCAATGAACCATGAAAATGAGGTCAAGGTCAGATGAACCATGCTAGGCAGGCATGTACAGCTAACAATTCTTCCATACAACAAATATAGTTGACCTATTGCTTATAGTTTAAGAAAAACAGACGAAAACACAAAAACTTAACACTGAGCAATGAACCTTGAAAATGAGGTCAAGGTCAAATAAAACCTGCGTGACTGACATATAGATCATATTTCCATACACCAAATATAGTTGAACTATTGCATATAGTATTAGAAAAAAAGACCAAAACTCAAAAACTTAACTTTGACCACTGAACCATGAAAATGAGGTAAAGGTAAGATGACACCTGCCAGCTAGACATGTACACCTTACAATCATTCCATACACCAAATATAGCTGACCTATTGCATGCAGTATTAGAAAAAAAGACCAAAACTCAAAAACTTAACTTTGACCACTGAACCATGAAAATGAGGTCAAGGTCAGATGACACCTGCCAGCTAGACATGTACACCTTACAATCATTCCATACACCAAATATAATAGACCTATTGCATACAGAATAAGAAAAACAGACCAAAACACAAAAACTTAACTATAACCACTGAACCATGAAAATGAGGTCAAGGTCAGATGACACCTGCCAGCTAGACATGTACACCTTACAATCATTCCATACACCAAATATAGTAGACCTATTGCATACAGTATAAGAAAAACAGACCAAAACACAAAAACTTAACTATAACCACTGAACCATGAAAATGAGGTCAAGGTCAGATGACACCTGCCAGTTGGACATGTACACCTTACAGTCCTTCCATACACCGAATATACTAGACCTATTGCATATAGTATCTGAGATATGGACTTGACCACGAAAACTTAACCTTGTTCACTGATCCATGAAGTGAGGTCGAGGTCAAGTGAAAACTGTCTGACAGGCATGAGGACCTAGCAAGGTACGCACATACCAAATATAGTTATCCTATTACTTATAATAAGAGAGAATTTAACATTACAAAAAATCTGAACTTTTTTTTCAAGTAGTCACTGAACCATGAAAATGAGGTCAAGGACATTGGACATGTGACTGACGGAAACTTCGTAACATGAAGCATCCATATACAAAGTATGAAGCATCCAGGTCTTCCATCTTCTAAAATATAAAGCTTTTAAGAAGTTAGATAACGCCGCCGCCGCCGCCGCCGGATCACTATCCCTATGTCGAGCTTTCTGCGACAAAAGTCGCAGGCTCGACAAAAAACGGGACCCAAAATTAAAAATCTAAAAACACGGTTAGATTTGGCATATCAAAGAACCCCAATAATTCAATTTTTGATGAAATCAAACAAAGTTTAATTTTGGACCCTTTTGACCTCAATATGAACCAATTTGATAGCGGGCCCACAAATAAAAAATCTAAATACATGGTAAGATTCAGCATATCAAAGAACCCCATATATTCAATTTTTGTTGAAATCAAACAAAGTTTAATTTTGGACCCCAATTTGAACCAACTTGAAAACTGGGTCAAAAATCTAAAATCTAAATACATGTTTAGATTCAACCCCATATATTCAATTTTTGTTGAAATCAAACAAAGTTTAATTTTGGACCCCAACTTGGACAAACTTGAAAACTGGTCCCATAATCAAAAATCTAAACACATGTTTAGATTCAGCATATCAAAGAACCCCAAAAATTCAGTTTTTGTTAAAATCAAACTAAGTTTAATTTTGGACCCTTTGGACCTTAATGTAGACCAATTCAAAAAACGGGACCCAAAATTAAAAATCTAAATACACGATTAGATTTGGCATATCAAAGAACCCCAATAATTCAATTTTTGATGAAATCAAACAAAGTTTAATTTTGGACCCTTTTGACCTCAATATGAACCAATTTGATAGCGGGGTCCACAAATAAAAAATCTAAATACATGGTTAGATTCAGCATATCAAAGAACCCCATATATTCAATTTTTGTTGAAATCAAACAAAGTTTAATTTTGGACCCCAATTTGAACCAACTTGAAAACTGGGCCAAAAATCAAAAATCTAAATTCATGTTTAGATTCAGCATATCAAAGAACCCCATATATTCAATTTTTGTTAAAATCAAACAAAGTTTAATTTTGGACCCTTTGGACCTTAATGTAGACCAATTTGAAAACTGGACCCAAAATTAAAAATCTAAATACACGGTTAGATTCGGCATAACAAATAAAAAAATGTGGTCAAAGATTTTACAAATCTAATGCGCCATACTGGTCTTCCTTTATAAATATGCATTTCTTTAAACATAATTTAAAAGCAGTGTAAGGGAAGTAACCAAAACGTTGTATTTGGATTACCCCCCCTTACACTGTTTTAAATTATCTTTATTGTTCATTAACCATTACTTTATACATAATTTAAAAGCAGTGTAAGGGAGATAATTTCAATGATGTATTTGATTTATCTCCCTTACACTGCTTTAAATTATGTTTTGTACTAAAGTATTTGTCCATTAATGAGGACAACCTTGTTTTTCCCCCTTTTTTGCCCCTAATTCTTAAACGATTTGAGCAATAACCCCCCAAAGCAAATCCTTACCATCCCTTTGTGGTATGGAAACTTGTAGTATAATTTCAGAGAGATCCATACACCATTCCACAGTTATTGTCTGGAAACTAGAAAATGCTTATTTTTGGCCCCTAAATCCTTAACTGTTGGTACCATAACCCCCAAAATCAATACTACCTTCCTTTTGTGGTATTGAACCTTATGGTAAAATTTCATAGAGATCCATTCACTTTAACTAAAGTTAGAGTGCGAAAACTAATGCGTCTTCGGACGACGACAACGACGACGACACCAACGTCATACCAATATACGACCACAAAAATTTTTTTGCGGTCGTATAAAAATAAATCAACTAACGATTTTGGTCGTCTTGACATATTTGCAGATCTTGTCGTGGTGATCATTTCGCTATTCAAAGTTTCTATCTATCTATTTATAATAAAGTTAAGCAAAATAGAATATGTATCAGTATCAGAAAATTTTTGAACCTGTGTAAATATACAATAAAAGAGTGGGGTAGGAGAAGGTCTCATACAAAATTCAGAGAAAATGAATGCCAAATCTTGAAGCTTTCATGTCGATCCAGCCCCAAGTCGATCCGTCCCAAGTCGATCAGGCCTCATATTTAAAGTTGAATCGTCCCCAATATAAAAATATTTATAAGAAATAAAAATAAAAATATATATGAATTCAGTGTCATTCATAAATGTTTATGAATTTTAAAATAATAAAATTTGTAAGGGTTCCGCGGAACCCAGTGTCTAGCCTACTTTTGCTGTTAATCGCAGGCTCAACAAAAATGAGGAAAAAAATCAATAAAAATATTGCTTTAGATACTATCTTTTGATTGTAAGAAGCTTCTGTCAAAGTTTGGTATAAATCCAGGATAGTTTATTAATCTAATAAATGTTTTAAAAACTTTAACTGCAGACTGTATTTAATGTTAACTGGAAGAAAAACTAAGTCCATTTATAAGTAAAATACGGATAAACAGGTACATTTGTACAAAATTTTAACAAAATTTCCTGCTAGATACTAGCTTTTGATCATAAACAAGGTTCTGTCCAAGTTTGGTACAAATCCAGGATAGTTTAAGAAAGTTATTAAAATTTTAAAAACTTTAACCACAGAGTGAATGTATTGTTTCCTGGCAGAAAAACTAAGTCCATTTATAAGTAAAAAAAGGAAAAAAATTTAAAAAAATTTTTAATAAATATACTTCTGGATACTATCTTATGATCATAAACAAGCTTCTGTCCAAGTTTGGTACAAATCCAGGATAGTTTAAGAAAGTTATTAAAATTTTAAAAACTTTAACCACAGAGTGAATGTAATGTTTCCCGGCAGAAAAACTAAGTCCATTTACAAGTAAAATACGGAAAAACAGGAATTTTGTTTTTACAAAATTTACTTCTGGATACTATCTTATGATCATAAACAAGCTTCTGTCCAAGTTTGGTAGAAATCCAGGATAGTTTAAGAAAGTTATTAAAATTTCAAAAACTTTAACCACAGAGTGAATATTTGTGGACGCCGCCGTCGACGACGAAGACGGAATGTAGGATCGCTATGTCTCGCTTTTTCGACTAAAGTAGAAGGCTCATCAATAAAAGGTCAACGGTAAAAAAGTTGGCCTTTGACAAATATTTTAATATTAAATTTTCATAAGATGAGACATTTATTTGAATATTTTTTTAAATTTATATTAACATTTCCTATAGAAATATAATATTATTTTTATTTCAAATATTTGAAATCAAATCAATTTATCACCTTAAATGAATACAGATGATTATGCAATTTCAAGACTATCGAGTATGCATAATTATAATAAAACATATATAACAGAATTTAATTTAGTACCATCAACATTAATCAGCAGTAATTCGTATTTTTTCAATTGACTGTGATTTTAACAAGTCTTTCAACTGATGTAATAAAATAACATTTTGTTACATACAAAACTGTACAAGCCGATCCCCAAGCTGATGTATACCAACCAATGTCTCGCTTTCTTTACTAATCATTGATATTATGTTGATAGTCCTAAATATAAGGCTTTACTACAACTATCACATACACTTGACATGATCCAAGAAAATGAGGTCAAGGTCATATAAACCAAACAAGAAATACATGTACACCTTACAATCATTCAATACACTAAATACAGTTGACCTATTGTTTATAGTTTCTAAGATACAGACTTAACCAAACTAAACATTGACCAATGAACCATGAAAATGAGGTCAAGGTCAGATGAACCATGCCAGGCAGACATGTACAGCTTGCAATCCTTCCATACAACAAATATAGTTGACCTATTGCTTATAGTATTAGAAAAACAGACCAAAACACAAAAACTTAACACTGAGCAATGAACCATGAAAATGAGGCCAAGGTCAAATAAAACCTGCAAGACTGACATGTACATCATTAAAATTTTCCATACACCAAATATAGATGATATATTGCATATAGTATAAGAAAAAAAGACCAAAACTCAAAAACTTAACACTGAGCAATGAACCATGAAAATGAGGTCAAGGTCAAATAAAACCTGCAAGACTGACATGTACATCATAAAATATTTCCATACACCAAATATAGATGACCTATTGCATATATATAGTATTAGAAAAAAAGACCAAAACTCAAAAACTTAACTTTGACCACTGAACCATGAAAATGAGGTCAAGGTCAGAAGAAACATGCCAGCTAGACATGTACACCTTACAATCATTCCATACACCAAATATAGTGGACATATTGCATACAGTATAAGAAAAACAGACCAAAACACAAAAACTTAACTATAACCACTGAACCATGAAAATGAGGTCAAGGTCAGATGACACCTGCCAGTTGGACATGTACACCTTACAGTCCTTCCATACACCAAATATGCTAGACCTATTGCTTCTAGTATCTGAGATATGGACTTGACCACCAAAACTTAACCTTGTTCACTGATCCATGAAACGAGGTCGAGGTCAAGTGAAAACTGTCTGACGGACATGAGGACCTTGCAAGGTACGCACATACCAAATATAGTTATCCTATTACTCATAATAAGAGAGAAATTAACATTACAAAAAATCTTAACTTTTTTTTCAAGTAGTCACTGAACCATGAAAATGAGGTCAAGGACAATGGACATGTGACAGATGGAAACTTCGTAACATAAGGCATCTATATACAAAGTATGAAGCATCCAGGTCTTCCACATTCTAAAATATAAAGCTTTTAAGAAGTTAGTCAACGCCGCCGCCGGAAAGTCGCAGGCTCGACAAAAACTTCTCAAATTGAGAAATGTTGTTTGATTTGCCAAATCCTTCCTATAAAAGAGGAGACAGGATGGGTTGTTCTTTTAATTTTTTATTCATATCAGTGTGAGCTGTATTTTGAACGGTCAACCTCGTGAACACTCATTATGGAATTACCAAATGATTTGAAAGCGCTTTTAGCCACTATGAAGTTAGAAGGAAAAGAACCATTCATCCTGATTCAAATATGTCACATAATCCGCCGAAGTTTATATAAATTATTCATTATTTTATTATGGGGCCAGATCGACGTGGGCCGGATGGACTTCAGACAGATCGACTTTGGGTCGGATTGGTTTGGGGCCGCAACGACCTGATACCATCTTGAATTCCTGAGAAAATAATATGTCTGATCCTGCATAACATTATAATTAAATCATGAATTCCTGCCTGATGATTTAATTGGCTATTCATGAATCCCAAATTCCCGAAAAAAGGTCCATCCACTCTATGTAGAAACAGCAATGTTTTTCCAATTGTAATGTCTAATGTCATGATGAACTATAATTGTCATGATTGTAATGATGAACCATAATAGTATGATTTTAGACCAAAAAAGTACGACACACGCTTTTACACTCATTTTGACATTTCATGACAAGAATTCTCATTGCTAGAGGTTGGCAACTGTGTACCAGGCATCGGACTTTCTGGAACAATTTTGTAGCGTCTATGGCAACAATGTTAGATATTTAATATTTCTATTAAAATACAAAAATGTAAAATCATTAACAGATTTTCATTCTTGAATTTACCATTTAAGAAAGGATTCTTGACTTTCTTTGCTGTCTATCGAAGAAAATTTCTTTGAATTGAGATGTTGAAAAGAAAATTTTCTTGTTTTGACTTCCATGTTGGATAAGTTCTCGTCTACTGGTTAAAGCGATTGCTTTTCAGCAACAGTAGTATAGCATAAACCGAAAACCAGTCATCTCTCACGTGGATATGCTTGTTAAAATATTTTTGTTAGTTATAGTATTTTTCTTCTTCTAGATATATATAGTATAGTGATAGCAGGCCTTTAAGTAGTCTGTCTATTCTGATTTAATCGTACAAATTTTACTGATTATTTCTTCACGTGTCATTTCGGTCATATACAAGTTCGGCCTTGGTCGTTTCGGTCCATGTTACATTTTCTTCTTAATGTCCGTGTCTATCAATGTTTTTAATAGAAAAATAAAAGGTAAGTAAATATTTCTTTATTTGTGATATCAAATTTCTTAATAAAGATAAGTAAAAGATATGTCCGCGTTTACCGTGACCACAAAATTTACCGTAAGACAAACCTGTGCACTTGCAGATACATATAATACATTGTATTATATGTCTCTCAGTGGCACATGGAAATGTTTTAAGGCATGGTAGGAACTAGGTAAATAAAATTTGAATGCATTTTATGTTTCAGGAAATTAAACACTTACCTGGAATTTGAGATTCCCTTTTTTCAGCCTGCAGCAGGGGATAAAATAATTTTAAAAAAACCCACATGAGTTTCATTTGATATGCTCCACTCATTTAAATAATCTATTGCTGTGCAGATATCTATTGTCCAGTTAATCAATACAATTCAATACAATTATTTACATAGGGCAGCATCTCAAACATTTTTCCAAACTTAGTTTATTTAGGCACCTTCTGTGGGAACGGAAAAAAAGGAATCTCAAAATCCAGAACAATTAATAATATTCTGAAACATAAATGCATTTGAAATTTAATTATCTAGTTCCTGCCGTGCCTTAAAACTTTTCCAAGTACACAGGTTTAATATAAAAATAAAGAGATGTGGTATAATTGCCGATGAGACAACTCTCCACCAGAGACCAAATGAAATAAAAGTTAACAACTATTGGTTATTGTCCAGAGAACAAATGAGATAAAAGTTAACAACTATTGGTTATCGTACGGTCTTCAGCAATGAGCAAAGCTCATACCGCATAGGCAGCTATAAAAAGTCCCGAAATGACAAATGAAAAACAATTTAAACGAGTAAAGTAACGTCCTGAATTATGTAAAAACAATGAACGAAATACAAATATGATATACAGCAACAAACGACAACCACTGAATAACAGGCTCCTGATTTTGGGATTAGCGGGCGCCCAACCCTCACCTTAACCTGGGACAGTGGTGTAACAGTACAACATATGAACAAAGTTCTATACAAATCAGTTGAAAAGGGCTTAACTCATCAGATCGATAAAAAGCAGAAAAAACAAATAACAAATACACAGATAAGTATGATGCAGAGTACAATCGCCAGAGCCAGGTAAAGATTAAAATTTTCTTTTTTTTTTATCAGTAGGTTGAATTCTCGATTTTAGCAGATCAAAATTTATACTCCCGTATTACCTTTACTATATTTTTCAATTCCTTCTGATTAACTTTAACGCCACTTTCAGCATTATTGGCTATATCGTGTCGGCCAGTTTTATTAGCGGAGGAAGCAAGATTGCCCAGAGAAAAATACCGACCTTCGGCAGGAAAACAGACAATCCTCGAGATTGTAGTCGAACGCACCTGCCACGTGCGGGGTTCGAACTGACATTGTGTTGTTGGGTTGTTTCCTCATTGACATATAACGTGAGGGTACCCAAATTGCACCTATTTTGAAAGTTTTTTTTTCATCAACGTTTATTAAAGAATCAGACAAAAGTTTCGATTCTGTGTTTATTTTGAAGATGTATCCTTTTTATGATATAGTTTCACAAGTTTAAGTGTGAATGAATCAATCCATGCTGAATGATTGAAAAATGGGTTTGAACCATGAGGAGTATTTAAAATGAACTAACGTCGACTCCACTTCCGCAAAAACCGAACAACCGATGTTTTGTATTATTTCTCAACATTTTTAGAATCATTTGACAAAAAATCATGCTTACTATGCATTTTGTAAGAATTTAATGCCCGCGAATAAATCTTAATTGCTCATTTATAAAAGTTAAACTTTTTGTGCACGTACGTCGCATGCGGCGACGTTTCCGTAAATTTTTCTCTTTTCACTGGTTACGTCATCTGTTGATATACATGTATATACTAATGTCAGGAGCCTGTAATTCAGTGGTTGTCGTTTGTTGCTGTGTTACATATTTGTTTTTCGTTCATTATTTTGTACATAAATTAGGCCGTTCGTTTTCTCGTCTGAATTGTTTTACATTCGTCAATTCGTAAATTTGAGTATATCTAAGGAATGACTGTGTAATTTTTTCTATCTATGAAGAAGTAACATCAAAAATGTGGTGCACACGCGGGTTATTTAAAAGTGTGCACCACATTTTTAAGGTTAGTTCGAAAAAATATTACAGTCAGTCCTTATAATCTAATTCTAAATTTCATTTTCAAGGAGTAAATCATGAAAAAAACATTGATGACATCACGGTCACATGACAAAATTATGTCTATGAGCTGATAGACAAAAAAACTTTGAGCCAATCAGAAGACGTGTTACATTCAAAATTAAATTATTTAGCAATGTTGAAGACGTGAATAATGGCAATTTATAAAATTACGATTTTTTATGTCTGGCTAAGAAAAACTATAAGATTTCCACTGCTTTATTTGCAAAATAGGTGCAACTTGGGTATTCGGTGCAATTTGGGTACAGCGACTTTACCCCACATAGAAAATAATAAAACAAATAAATTAAAAGTCACAAATCTAATCAATACACTATCGTTTGAATATATTAGAGAAAATTCTTAAAACCATCTTTTTTTTTATAGAGGCTCAGAAAGGATTTGTATAGTATTACTATTCAAGATAAAGATAAAGATATTTTATTTTTCCACATAAAGTACCAAGGGAAACATATACATATAACAAATAAGTTCCTTCACAATATACAATATTTTTACAGGACATTCATATAATAAACTTGAATATAGATATAGAGTTATGCAGACTATTATATGTTATCAAAATATATAAGGGTTTCTACTCCCGAGATGTGGCAAATGTCTTCTCACTTGGTTTTATGTGCTAATGTTTTTCTCTTTATCTTTATTAATTATTTATATTTACTAGAAATGTATATATATTTTTTGATTGTTAAGCTGCAACATGTTACAAGGGAAGATGCTCTAGGATTGTGAACTTTTAAAAAGCTCTCGCAAACTCCTCGTACCTGATGCAGAGAAACAAACATAATCAAAGGTAACAAAAGTTCAATGTCAGTCACAGCGAATAACATATTATGTAGTAATGGGTTTTGAGAATATGAATCTTTGTACTCTTTAGCAAAGGCGTTATTTAATGCATTCTGAAAAAGGACAAGGACCTATCAGATTTCCCCTTTATTTGTTTCAAAGGATCAACAACGAAAAGTTGTAAAACGTAACGGAATTTGAATATTAAAGTATCTAAATAATGTACTTAATATTGTTTTATATACTAGTACATATATTTTTACATACACATGAATCCATTAAATTAATGTGTTATTCGTCGCTACACATTGGTGTTGAAGACAGATTTGATACAAAGTTACATATTTTACATGTTTTTGTTAAAAATTTTCCTTGAAGGGTATCATTATGCAAAACTGATCCATAAAAAAGGTATGGAGAATTTACTTTGTATTTGTTTCAATACATTTTGTCAAAATATGAAAGTTGCTAAAATCTCCTGGTTTTTGCATATTATAGAGTCTAAATAATACATGCAAAACAGATTTTACAATTTTACAAATACCCATAAAGTATGAATGTTCTTCATTGCCTATACATTGCTGTACAATATCGTTGCATGCATAGTAACTTTTGAATCAAAGGACATCATCAACTAAGATGAGCCAGGCTTTAATTAAAAGACAAACAAAGACTTAAAATGAGTTAGCAGAGTTTTGGTTGTTGTTATTCTTTTAGTCATTTATTTTACAAGTACTTAAAATTTGACAAAATAGATTGCAGTTTGAGCAATCTTTAGGCATTTATATATTTTATAATGTTGTAAGAACCTCAAAATACAAAAACGGAGCTGCGATTTACTTGTAAATTTGAACAAAGTTTGAAAGACCTTTTCAATATGGCCCTGATGTGAAATAAAACCAGAGGACATTAGTCCATTGTGCATTGGCCCTATCTCTTTGTAGTATGAAACTATAAGTTTATAAATCCACAAAGAAGACTTGACAGCTGATGCTGTTTGCATGAACGAAACATGTACTAATGTTCTTCTTCTATAACCGTTTTTCCTTTTTTGCTTGTTTCTTAAGGGTTAAGGGTTTATGACATTACTTTCATGTTTGTGTTTTGTTTATATGAATAATTAAATGTCAATCATACAGAATCACATTGCTTTCATGTCGATCTGGCCCCAAGTCGATCATCCGTCCCAAGTCATTCGGGGCCAAGTCGATTTGGACCACATTTAAAGTCGATCCGGTCCAATTTGAAAAAAAAAATATTCCAAGGATGAGGGGGTGGACAGGGTGGTACCCTTCTCCCACCTCCCGCCCCTATCTCCCACCTCCAACTTTTAGAATCTTTTTTTCTCTCCCACCTATTTTTTGTCACCCAACTCCCTATATTGTTTTTTTTTTTTTTTTAAATTTAATCATTTTATCACCTCCAATGAGAAGGGATGATGATGCAGTATATAGCATTTATTTTGATTTCGATTTTATTAGAAGTTATTAAGTTATGTATCAAGAATATTGGGTATTCATAATTATAATAAAAAACATATACTACAAAATTATAAAAACTATTCAAATTGAGAAATATAATTTGATATGCCTGCCGGCCGATAATCCGTTTGATACAAAGTTTATTATATGTTGTCATTGCTCATTAATACTGTTTCCTAATAAGTATTCCTTCAATCAGCAAAATTTACACATCTTTTTTATGTGCAAATTGCCACCAATACAGATACTATTAGTTACATAGTGT